TAAATAATGAGTATGCTTTTGGAAGTAGACAATTGGAGAATGGAAGCATGAATTCTGAATTTGATAATCAGCCATTAGCCACAAACTTTGCTCCCAATGCCACAAGTGTTGTGAAAGCAACTGTGATGGATGAAAACACAGCGTTAGCTATTAGTGGCAAGGAGGGTGTACCATATGATATGCATCTTATGACTGAACCATATGGTGTTCCTTGTATGGTTGAAATATTTCACTTTTTGTGTTCTTTGCTGAATGTTGTCGAGCATACAGGAATGGGCCCTAGATCAAACACTTTATCATTTGATGAAGATGTGCCGCTCTTTGCCTTAACATTAATTAATTCGGCAATAGAACTTGGAGGGCCTTCTATTTGTCGTCACCCAAGGTTGCTGAGCTTAATTCAGGATGAATTGTTTCACAATCTGATGCAATTTGGTTTGTCGATGAGTCCCCTTATACTTTCAACGGTGTGTAGCATTGTTCTCAATCTGTATCATCATCTTCGTACAGAACTCAAATTACAGCTAGAAGCATTTTTTTCATGTGTCATTTTGAGACTTGCACAAAGTAGATATGGAGCTTCATACCAGCAGCAAGAGGTAGCCATGGAGGCCCTTGTTGATTTCTGCAGGCAAAAGACATTTATGGTAGATATGTATGCTAACTTTGACTGTGACATAACTTGCAGTAATGTCTTTGAAGACCTTGCTAATTTGTTGTCCAAAAGTGCATTTCCTGTGAATTGTCCATTGTCTACCATGCATATTCTTGCTTTGGATGGTCTTATTGCTGTTATACAGGGAATGGCTGAAAGGATAGCCAATGGATCTGTAAGCTCAGAATATTCTCCGGTGAATCTTGAAGAGTATACCCCATTCTGGATGGTTAAATGTGAGAATTATAATGATCCAAATAATTGGGTTCCTTTTGTCCGCCGAAGAAAGTATATAAAAAGAAGATTGATGATTGGTGCTGACCACTTTAATCGTGATCCTAAGAAAGGTTTAGAGTTTCTCCAAGGAACACATCTTTTGCCTGACAAACTTGATCCCCAAAGTGTTGCCTGCTTTTTCAGATACACTGCTGGATTGGATAAGAATCTTGTTGGTGATTTCCTAGGAAATCATGATGAATTTTGTGTTCAGGTTCTTCATGAATTTGCTGGAACATTTGATTTCCAAGACATGAACTTAGACACAGCCCTGCGTCTATTCTTGGAGACTTTCAGATTGCCTGGAGAGTCACAGAAGATACATAGGGTGCTTGAAGCTTTCTCTGAGAGATATTATGAGCAGTCACCACATATCCTGGCCAATAAGGATGCTGCTCTTGTGTTATCATACTCAATGATAATGCTCAATACAGATCAGCACAATGTGCAGGTGAAAAAGAAGATGACTGAAGAGGATTTTATCCGGAATAATAGGCATATAAATGGTGGCAATGATCTGCCTCGAGAATTTCTATCAGAGATTTACCATTCAATTTGTAAAAATGAAATCCGCACAACACCTGAACAAGGTTTTGGATTTCCTGAAATGACACCAAGTCGATGGATTGATCTAATGCATAAGTCAAAAAAAACTGCTCCATTTATCCTATCTGATTCCAAGGCCTACCTTGATCATGACATGTTTGCCATAATGTCAGGCCCAACAATTGCTGCCATCTCTGTGGTATTTGATCATGCTGAACAGGAAGAGGTATACCAAACATGTATGGATGGATTCTTAGCTATTGCCAAGATATCAGCTTGCCATCATCTTGAAGATGTTCTTGATGATCTGGTAGTGTCTCTGTGTAAGTTCACTACACTTTTGAACCCATCATCAGTTGAGGAACCAGTCCTTGCCTTTGGCGATGACATGAAAGCAAGAATGGCAACTGTGACAGTATTCACTATAGCAAACAGGTATGGTGATTACATACGCACAGGTTGGAGAAATATTCTTGATTGCATCTTAAGATTGCACAAGCTTGGTCTTCTTCCTGCCCGTGTTGCCAGTGATGCAGCTGATGAGTCAGAGCTCTCTGCTGAAACTGTGCATGGAAAGCCTATCATGAATTCTTTATCCTCAGCTCATATGCAATCTATTGGCACTCCAAGGAGATCCTCGGGATTGATGGGTAGGTTTAGTCAACTCTTATCTCTTGACACTGAGGAGCCAAGATCACAACCTACTGAACAACAACTTGCTGCTCATCAGCGCACCCTGCAAACAATACAGAAGTGTCACATTGACAGCATATTCACTGAGAGTAAATTTCTGCAAGCTGAATCTCTATTGCAGCTTGCAAGAGCACTCATTTGGGCAGGGCGACCTCAGAAAGGGAACAGCACACCTGAGGATGAAGATACTGCAGTTTTCTGCCTGGAGTTGCTGATTGCAATCACTTTGAATAACAGAGATAGAATTGGGATTCTTTGGCAGGGTGTGTATGAGCACATATCCAATATTGTTCAGTCAACTGTAATGCCTTGTGCCCTGGTAGAGAAAGCTGTTTTTGGACTCTTGCGGATTTGCCAGCGGTTGCTTCCCTACAAGGAGAATGTTGCTGATGAACTTCTGAGGTCATTGCAACTTGTCTTGAAGCTTGATGCCCGGGTTGCAGATGCATATTGTGAGCAGATTACTCAGGAAGTCAGTCGCCTTGTGAAGGCAAATGCTTCTCATATAAGATCTCAGTTAGGATGGCGCACAATTACATCACTACTTTCCATCACAGCTAGACACATAGAAGCATCCGAGGCTGGGTTTGATGCACTATTGTTTATAATGTCCGATGGCGCCCACTTGCTTCCAGCTAATTATGTTCTCTGTGTAGATACTGCCAGGCAGTTTGCTGAGTCTCGTGTTGGACAAGCAGAGCGATCTGTACGGGCACTTGATCTCATGGCAGGTTCTGTCAATTGCTTGGTCCGGTGGACTAGTGAGGCTAAGGAAACAATAGAGGAGGAGCAAGTGTCTAAGCTGTCTCAGGATATCGGAGAGATGTGGTTGAGACTAGTACAGGGTCTGCGGAAGGTATGTTTAGACCAGAGAGAAGAGGTTAGAAATCATGCTTTATTATCTCTGCAGAAGTGCCTGACAGGAGCCGATGGCATTTATCTCCCGTATGGCTTGTGGTTACAATGCTTTGATCTTGTGATCTTCACGGTGCTGGATGACCTGCTTGAGATTGCACAGGGACACTCTCAGAAGGACTACCGCAACATGGAAGGCACACTTATCTTAGCAATGAAGCTCTTGTCCAAAGTTTTTCTTCAATTACTCCCAGAGTTATCCCAATTGACAACCTTCTGCAAGCTATGGTTAGGTGTACTAAGCAGAATGGAAAAATATATGAAGGTGAAGGTTAGGGGGAAAAGAAGTGACAAGCTTCAAGAGATAGTGCCTGAGCTGCTTAAAAACTCCTTGCATGCTATGAAGATGAAGGGTATACTGGCACAGAGGAGTGCCTTGGGTGGTGATAGTCTGTGGGAACTAACATGGCTACATGTGAATAACATTTCGCCATCATTGCAACTTGAGGTATTCCCTGAGCACAAACAAGGTGAATCAATAGGAGTTTTGCGGCCTGATGAAATAGGGTCTGTTCCTTCAAGTGAAACAGCAAGCCGGGAAGATGCTGGCATTGTTGGTTAATTAGAGTTGTTACTACCTTAATCGGTTTTGCTGTTTATAGTCATACACACCATCCCTGACCTTAAAATACTACTGATTGTGTAGAATTTGTGGATCAAATTTGCATCTTAATTTTGTTTTGCTATTGAAAGATGCAGTATTACAGGAGGGAAAGTATATAGTTCTCAGGTGAAACAGCAGCAAGTTGATTTAGTTAAATCTCACTGTCACCTGTCTATTGTCATTTGCTCTTTCCCGTTCCACACAGAAGCTTCTTGTTTCTGTAATTTAGATGACATATATTGTAGCTTGAGATAGATTTCTACATTCCAGCAGGGTGTAGTACATCTCCTTTTCTACTCATGGAGCTGTCAGGAATAGTAAGCATAAATTTCCTAAAATTTTGTACAGAACCTTGGTTTTCTCTTACTACAGCATGCATTTCAATGGGTATGACGACAGCTTGTTCTGATTTTGCACAGGCTTTCATATCTCTGCAAGTGTGATAAACCTTGATGTATTTATGCATGATATTTGAACTACTAACAGTTGCGTTTGTGCCTATATAGTTATTATTTACATCTTCTTGTTTGCGTTTTTTCTGAGCCAAAAATTGGTCGTTGACTTTAGGCACTAAATTGCATTCTTCTTAAATTTGTGGGCAAGCATCTTTCTTTCGCATAAAATTAGTTCCTGCGATTGTGTTGAATACTAAAAATGGACAATAGAGAATCTCATTCCTAACAGAAGTACAGATCACGAAATATCCAGCTTTTTGAGTATCTTTGTTCAAAAGTTTGCTGTTGTACCATCAATTTTGAATGGCAGCTGATCGAAGTGTTGAACCGTAACTTCAACTTTTATTATTTGTATTTTTAAATAAAATTTAATTATGGCCTAGATAAATTAATCAATAAATATTCATAAAAGAAGAAAATTTAAAAGTAAAATAAATTAATTTTTGCTATCAGTTAAAATTAATATATACATTTCAAAAAGATACATAATTTAATTTGTAGTTTGGTGCATAGATGCACCCTTGTTTCTTTTAACTCCTTTTAACCTTTTTATTTTCATTTTACTCATTAATTTATTTATATTACTCTTTGAATGGTTTTTATTTTTCATTCAATTCTTGAACTCCCTTGTTCTGTGGCTTCATTCACCTAAGGCTGCAATTAGTTCGTTCATCCAGGTTTACTGCTGTTGCAGTGAAAAGTGATGTCTAAACAGATTATTCATTATCGTAACCCAGATTTCGAGCGTAAGATTCCTCATTATTTGACAAACGAGTAATGGGCATTTTGCTATATTACAAGTTAGTTCTTCTGTACCGCTTCTTTTATACACTTAAAAAGAAGGAAATGTTCTTGAATGCTGTGTATCAAATTATACATTTTCATCCTGTACACAAATTGAATAAAGAGAAGGAAATACAATTCGGGGTTGGAACCGCTTGGCTACAAAGCAAGGCCTAATTCAGGTTTCAATTACATTAAGGAGAGCATAAATAATACCTTACTAATTTCTGCCCCTTTAAACCGATATTTTAACAACCATCAAGCTATTTGATCCTTTGGTGCTTATTTATCCTAAACCTGTCACATAAAATTTTTAACATAGAGAAAATGTGATTGAAATGCAAGATTGGTTAGTTTTATATGGTGATGATGTGGTCAAGTTATCTTCATGAACCATGATCTGCAGGCTCTGCCCCAATATTCAAAGGTTGACCAGGTCAGCAGTTCTGTTGTCAGCACTTGAACCTGCACATAAAGGTTCAGCAAAGTAAAATGAAAGCTTGAACTACATCAAAATATGCAGGATAAGGTACCATGATTTCTGAGTGAAACACATTTACATCCAATGAAGAAGCGATGGCAATGGTCTTCCTGGAGTCATAAGCATGTGCTTGAAAGATTGAAGAGGAAGCCACAAAATATAAAATGGAGGGAAAATAGCATACATTTTTATAATATATAGATATTGTGGCAATACATACAAGTAGAAAATTTCCTGGTTCATTTATTTATAAAAAGTTGAGATCATATAAATATATTGACAACTATGTATGTACATAGGTGGAAATGTTAGCGGCCAGACCTATAAAACTCATGTTATATCAATCTACTAACTATGCCGAACCAAAAAAAAAAAAAAAAAAAAAAAAAACAACTGATCAACTATATAGTAATTGTTTCCTGAGGTCTGCATTTCCTAATCCTGATATGGATACTGCCATCCTTTATGCTTCCACCATCCATAAATTGGCAGCAATGCCTCCGTGGTACCTGGTTCAGTACAGCCAAATCAAATGATCAATATAAAGGCCATATAAGCTCCAAAGATACAGAAATTTCAATTCTATTCAAGCATATTAGTATCATGAGAAGATAACAAGTTCTAAATCTAAAGTTTTGGTTTTGATTTTGTGTGTGTGTGTGTGTGTGTAGAGAGAGAGAGAGAGAGAGAGAGAGAGAGAGGGGTACATTCTTCCAATATTCTGGATCCAGCTTCAAGGCAGAGACCCTAACTCTTTGCACTTCTACATTATTAATGCCTTCTCTCTTGCACTTTGCTTTATTGCCTGCATGCCTCTTGTAGATAGAGATACTTCCACTCGTTCCCACCTTTGTAACCTGGTCCAGGAAAAATGTAGCCGGCTGCTGGCATGGGTCAGAGCTCATAGGTCTAGTATTAAATATGAAAGGACCATCCTTCCAACTTCGCCAGGTCCGAAAAGTCTGCAATGGCATCTGCAAATCTGCTGCTATCAACAATGTTGTATAGATTTGTATTGTGTAACCCCAAGAAATAGATATTGACCATCTACGATTATGATCATAGCAAAAACTTTGCTGCAGTATCCGGGCAGGGTCAATGTGGTATGCACTGATGAGCTTTTTAAGTGAATGTGTTTGAGTCTGGTTGGGAAACAGTGGGTCCAAATAGTCAAGGTGATGGAGTGATACAAGTGGTGCCAAGGGGTGTGCTGCTAGAAGACCATATGGATTCCCCCTTAAGTCAAGCTGAAAGAAAAGGACCAAAAAAAAACATTAAATTACTTATAGATGGAACAGTCCAAAGATTTGCACCCTGACTGAATTTACAAAAACTGAAATTTGCAACATGTTTCCATGTTCATTCCTTTTACAGCAATGATTAAAAGATTTACATCAAGGCTGATATCTCTAAACTTCCAAATTTTGTTCAAAATGGTAATAATATTATATACAGTAAAGGAGAGATAGGGAGATTGATCAACTTATGATATCTGTCTAATATATACCAACAAATAGTCAAATACACAAATGTAACCAGTGGATATGGAGTATACCTGGTGGAATCCACTTTCTTTGGTAAGAGGCACCCCAATTTCATGCACACAGGCCCACACCCTTTGATCAGAACCATAAAAATAGAAGTATCTTTGGAGACAACCATCCATTATTTTGGCTAGTTGAGCTGCTAATGCATAACTAACTGCAAATCCACCACCACCAAATGCCATGTTATAAGAATGCATCACATCTTGCTCCACACTCTCAGAACTTCCACCAATATAATACATTTGATTGTGATCATATTTTCCCAACACAGTAACTAAGTTCTCGGTAAAAAACACAGTATCATCATCTCCCATTACAAACCACCTAACATTTGGCAAACCGAGTTTAAAGCTCTCATAAACTATTCGAGCTATCCGAACTGCAGATGCTGAGTGCACATACTTAAACTGAGTCCAGCCCTGTGAGATTTGATATGGCACTAACATATCAGGGTGCATAATATCAAGTTTCTTGTCAAGCCAAACAAAGCCTCGAGTGGTGTTTGGATTCCACCATAGCTTACTGTAGTTGCTACGGTCAAGCCATGTGTTTGCTGAACCAGCAATGCCAAATAGAATGTGTGAGATGTTTGTGGGTTCATTGTCAGTGACTGAAGCATTGTGGAAGGCATGTAAATGTTCTGGTAATGGGAACCAACGGTCTGGTTTCGAGAATGCTGCATGAAGAGCAAGTGATATGGATGCAATAAGGCATATAAGTATGCCAATCCTTATTAAGGTTATAACCATATCAGCCAATTTGTCTGAAACTAAAGGGATTTTTGATACTTTAAGTGGGTCATGACAAGGTTCCATGCGAGTGTGATTCATTTTCTTATCCCTGTTACATTTGAAATAACTCATGAGAAAGAATTTAGGCATGAGTTATAACAAATCATAGAACTTTCAAATAAATAAAATTATCATAAGAACTATTTTCATTACATTGCTACTAAGGATGCTTTAACACATGAGGGGTGTTCTTTGATCTTACTTACCCAGGATATTCAAATAATTTGCTGAAATATTTTTTATCCAACCAGTGGATGCACCAACTTTCTTATTGAGTAAGGAGGAAACTTAACCCTGAAGAAGTTAGAACCATAAATTATTCCTATGGTCCTTTTTTAAATCAATAATTTTTCACAAATCTAAGCCATATACGTGTAAAGCAATAGACTCACATCTATTTCAGATTTATCACATCTCATAATTGCCCAGCTATGTAGTGTATTAAACATGTCCTTTTGCAGCACAAAAAATTAATAAATATGGTACAAGTGGAAAAGGGTACCCATCCATTTGATTCCTTTTATTTTTTCTTTCTTAATTTGTTTAAACATCTTATCCTCTAAGTCATATATACTCTGCTATTGATATAAATCCGTGCATACAATAAAAAAAACAGTAGCGTGAGGATTCACAATATTTTCATTGGCATTTCCCACAGATCTCTAGAAAGCGTCATAATATTGGGGTTTGTATGTAGAAGTTTAGTTAAATTTTAATTTTATATTTTTAAGCACTCTCCAATAAAATACCGTACAAATTATTTCTTCAAGAGCACTTGCAGCCCTTTTGAACCTACACGCTGAAGCTAGTCTAATACAAAAATATTCAATGGACTTAAAATATAACCTTGTCCCTTCTTAACAATGAAAAAGTATCCATTATTAAATAACAATCAAAGTCACATCACATAATATTAACAAAATAAAATTCAAACACATAATTAATCAAGTTCCATAACTATAATAAACCTCCAAGATGTTGACTTGGCTATTTGAGAAAGGAGATAAGTAGCATAGGAATGCGGTACTCTCATAAAATAGCACATAATATTAACAAAAATATATATATGTACATATCAAATCACATAATTAATCAAGTTCCATAACTATTCTCATTACATAGACCACTATTTTTAGACTTTTCTATTTAACACGGAATCATTCCTACAAAAATGGACAAAAACTCTCAGGGGTAAGACAAAGTACAAGTAATCTTATCCTTTTTATGGTTAACTTAATACCCTTGTTGCATCATCACAATTCACAACAAATGTACTTTCATAAATGATTTAAGTTAGATCTACATATAAATCATTTCAACCGTAGGAAGATTCCTATGTGATGTCCGATTGTACTTGATCAAAGACACAAAACAGATTAATTTAATTTTAACCGAAGACATAGAAATGAGAAAATTAAAACAAACTCTTGGTTTAGCTCGCTATTGTTAGACCCATGGGAAAATACAAACAAAACAACAACCAAGTTTTATCTCAGTAGGTGAGGTCAATCACATGGATCATTCCACGCTATTGAAGTCAGATAAAAACCAAAATTTTCCAGTGAGAAAATAAGAATGAGAATTAAAACTATAAAGAAGCAGGGAAAAAATAAGTTAGAAATAAGAAAGCAACACCGAAGCAACTTCTGACGTACTTATTTAAACCCCAACCGAAAAAAACATTTCTGGAAATTTATTGGGATAATCAAATTAAAAACTTTTCTTTAAACTTATCAATTCAAAGGCATAAAAGCCAGAGCAGGATTTCCGTTTGCACAATTCATCAAGCTTTTGCTAACCACACAATAAAAAGCTCAATAAACTTCACCCTTTCACCCCAAAAAAAAATTTGCTTAGAAAATTTAAAATGGAAAAAAAGTAAAGGTAATATAACGATGATCATTTTTAACTTCACACACAACAACAGACATGAAGCTAAGAGAGAGAGAAAGAATTCGAACAATTACGGGGAAAAAAAAAACAATCCTTCAAACAATCAGAGCTTCACATCATACCTCAGTTTAACGATCGAATTCAAACACTCTTTTCCTTCTTTTTTTTTTCTTTGATTAGTTGTATGATTCTGCTACTCCTCTTCTCATATTAATCCTGGACAATTCCATGCAATGAAACAGAATAACAAAATTTATAAAAAAAAAAAAACACAAAAAAAAAACATAAAGATGAAAACTTGAACATAAAAGTTGAAGATGGCGATGACCCAGATGAAGAATAAGAGACATGATGATGTACAAAAAGAAAAAATACAAAGGATTTTCAGCGTACACCGTCAGCAGAAGAGGGTAGTTTCCGAAATAATCAACAGAAATCTCCTTCTCTTTCTTTCCCTTTTTTTTTATTTTGATATTTGTTTTTGGTTGTATTGTGGTGCAGAATCCTCAGAGTGGTTCTGAGGTGATGATGATTCGCTATTCACATTCACATTATATACAAAAAGGAGAACCTTTGCACATTTACACAGAGGAAAAGAGGGTGAAGTGTATGGTAGCAGAATAATAATGACATTTCTTTATGTTGGGACCTTGCAGAACATCATGGTCATGTACCATGCATCATGCATTCATAGTATTGGTACAACATTAAAATTTTCAAGAGCTGGCAAATTTTTTTACAAGTTTGTTCTCTTTTTATTTATTTATTAAAGTAAAATATTTAGTTATAGAAAAAGTTCATAGCTGTGTTTCGAACACAATGAATGGTACATATCCTTACAGATAAATATGCTTTCAAGTATCAATGGTGGTAATTGTGTCCAAATGTCAATTCCATTTAGGCCATCTAACCTTATCTTTTTAGTTTTTATATCCAACTTCCACCCATGATAATAATAATTTTAATTCAAAACCGATACACCTTAATTATAAAAAAATTTCTATCTCAATGTAACATAAAAAAATTTCATTGTTCTTATCACATGATATTTAAAAAAATGCCTTTTGTTGTAGAGTATTTTAAGTTTATCGCTTTTATTTCTCATATTTATTGATATTTTATCTCCCGTCATTTTAAATATCTAATTTTTTATGATTAAAATTATGTTATAAAATTCTATTTAGTTAAATTTTATAAAATAAATATTTAAAATTTAAGAATAAATCGAAATAAAGTTAAAGCTTAAAATATTTATTATAAAGATGAAATTTAAAAAGTTGAGCACCGATTCTCTTGAAAAAATTATTAAAAGTGTATAATTAGTACACTTCTTCTGTCCTATTCCAATTTAATTAATCAGCCAGCATACATAACTCAAATTCATGCTTGGTATTTTTTTAATAAATACTTTATGAATAGGCTTAATGATCTTAATAATCCTTTTTTAATTACTTATTATTAAAATAAAACAAAAAATAACTAATTTTCTGTTTAAGACAAATTTTGTTACGTCAATATGTTTTTTATTTTTTAAATTAATCTAATTTATCTAAAAAAAATGAAATACCATCTATTTCGTATAAAACAGAGATGAAATTAGATGCTAATAATAAGTGTTCAAATTTTGTTAAATTTATTTTCATTTAAAATAAAATAATAGAATGATGATAAGTGTATAAATTCTGTTAATTTCATCTTTATATAAGACGAAATTCATATCACCTCTGGACAATGAGCAGCAGCTATCCCCAAGACAAAATCTTTACTTTGCTTTTCATTTGTAGAGTTCTATATTGTAACAAAAGTCCAACAATACAAACATACGGTTGTTAATGTCTCTTTATTCTTAATATTGCTTAAAGTTTAATTAATTCAATTTTTTTTATATTTGATTTAAATACACTTCAATTAAGAACAAAATGAAAGCAATTGTGTGCTTCTGCGTGTGAAAGTATGCGCATACAATTTTTTTTAGACTGAAACAAATAAATATTAGTCACTCTTAATAATTTTTATAAATCCTTTTCAACTTATTCATTAAACAATATTTTTAATACTTCTTTTATTGAAATAAACATAAAAATGATTCGTCCCATCAATTTTAATTTATCTTTTAAACTTAATACATCACATCAAATTAATAAAAATAATATATAAATTTCTTACACTTTATATTTTTAAATGATAAATACTTTTATAATACAAATTTATCACTTTTAGTCACTTATCTTTGAATCTAAAAGATGGAGTTAATGTTTTGAAATTTATTTTTATATATTTTTATCAAATTAAAAAGTCACATTTTTTGTTATACTTGTATATAAAAAGATAAAATTCTTATCATTAACAATAAAGACACTTATATTATATATAATTTTTTAGGTGATTTTTTTATTATTTAATTATATTAAATTTTATATATATATATATATATATATATATATATATAAATTCATTTCAATTTTGATCAAACGATGGTAGGAATATATAGTTGAATTTTGTTGAATATTAGGGTGTAGCCATTGATTATTGTCTAGGGATAATATGAATTTTGTCTCATATAAAAATGAAATTAATAAGATTTATACACGTGTTATCATTTTTCTGTTTCATCATAAATAAAGATAAATTTAACAAGATATTAATACTTGTCATCATCGTTTAATTTTGTCTCTATTTTATATAAAATAAGTAGTATTTTGTTCTTTTTTAAACTAATTAGATTAATTAAAAAATAAAAAATTAAATTTTATTTGACTTTCATATGAAACATGGATTAACGTGGTAAAAATTTATCCTAAACAAAAAATTAATTATTTTTTATTTTATTTTGATAATAAGTAATTAAAAAAGTATTATTAAAGTCATTAAATCTTATGAATATCGATTAAGGAATGTTGAATGCACTTTATTAATACTTTTAGTAATTATTTATTATTTATGTTGTAATGTATAAAGCAAATACATGATTAATGTTTTTGTTTTATATAAAAAATATTTGTTTTTAATCTTTCTTATTTATTATTTTGACTCTCATGATATATTATTTATCTTTCTTGTATATAAATGTAAAGATAAATATATAATTTAAAAAATAATAATCAACACTATCTTAAAATTTCAAAATGACTCAAAAAAAATAATCTGAGCTGATAAATTTAAATTAAATGTTAAATGGTTTTTATATTTTTAATAAAATAAATACTTCTAATAAAATATTTTTTTCATTGCAACTTAAAACATTACACGTTTCTTATATTAATTAAACAAACAATGTTTGGATGGTTTAGATTAAGGTACAGGTGTAAGCAGGTGTTTATTGTTCAGAATCCCAATCATAAATAATAGGGTGTGAGATCCAAGAAAAGTTGTGGTGTGGGACCCATACTACTTACAGTGACACTCGGCAAAATCTCATTGGCTCGCATACTACCTTCGCCGATCACCGCTTAAAAGTAAATTATAATTACTATAATATAAATTTAATTTTGTTAACTCTAATAGTTAAGATTGAATTTAAATAATCATTAATAATAAATTTTGGCTACGAATCATGTATTATATTTTAAATATTTAAACAGTGAAATTAACTATGTAAATTTGCCCCTCTTTCACTTTTTCCTTACTTTTCGCAATCTCGTATTCTAATACAAGATTAGTACAAGCTCTTTTTTTTTATTGTTACGGAAATTTACTTTAGATTTTCCTTTAAATATTCTCTTTGCTCTTTACATAATAAATAATTATTAATACTTTTTATCCTTATTGTGAAAATAAAAAATTATTTTTTATCCTTGTTTATTATAAAATATTGTATTGATTAAAAAAGTGTATTTGATGAGATGAGTGCATTAAATGAATAAAAGCAGTTGAAAACTTATGTATTTGCAATTATCCTTTTGTTCCAAACTGAACTTAATTGTGATTAATTAGATTTATCCATGTATATTGTTAGTATTAATAAAACGGAAATTCTCATTAATAAATAGTATAACTGACACATTAATTATTATATTTGTAAGTGAAGAATGCAGAATTGAGGAGTGTCATATAATAAAATAAAAATATGGCGTACGAAAAAAGGAAGAAAACAGAAACATCGCAAACTGAGGAGCCAATGAGAATGAGCCACGTACAGATCCTTTTCATGACGTGTCGGCTAAAGCACAGAAACATAGGGGCCCACTCTTTTGATAAGAGCACCTACACGCGACACGACATCACTTTCCAACTTCCTTATTCTTTTACATACGTACATATAAATTTGCTTAAAAAGAATGATTCAATTTAAAATAAATATTTATGAGAGTAAGGAATTAATAGTAAAATAAAATTTATTTATGTTTCTCATTTTTTGAGAAATTATTTAAGTTTAAAATCTAAAAAGATAACTAATTTTTAATTTATGAAAAATTATTATATTATATAAACATTTTCTTACAAGTTATTAATGGTTTATATTTATATTAAATTTGTTAAATAGATTAGAATTTAAAAACTTATTATTTTATATTTATATATATTTTATCTAAATGCATCGTGTTGGCTGCAGGGCAGTTAGCGTTAGATTATCATGAAAAGAGCGAAACGGGTACGGCGCAACAAACATGTGATGGATGTGATATCATTCATATTCATATGACCCATGCCATCTATTTTCCACATCTTCAATCCTACCACATAAATACGCCAATTCTTTTCATAAATATTATTTTTAACCTTTAAAACAATCACAAAATCAAAATAAGTAAAAAACATGAAAATTTGTTATCTAATAAACACAGTAATTTTTTTTGAAAAAATTAACTAATTTTTTTGAATTCTAATAATGTCAATGGGAATAAACCAACAAAGTGAGTCAAGTTCATACTCACGTATTCCGTTTTGTCTTATTTTAAGGGTACTCGTCAATTGGTTATTATTTACTAATTATATTTTAAAAAATATTTATATATTAGAATTGATCATATCAAATACTATTAAATATGATTATTTTAATATATTTTACATATATTCTTTAAGAATTTATAAATTCAAGTAAAATTTTGTAAAAAAAATATTTTATTGATAATAAAAACATAAATATAAACAATAATAAAAAAATTGATGAATAAAATGTTAACTTAATTATGATTTATAGATATTTTATCATAGATTGACAAATTAGCCGCTCCATTAGAGTGCCACTTATATTCATTCAACTTTTGTTTAATTCTGTATTTGACAAATCACTGTGAATATTGCAATCATTTTTACCCTTATTTTATATGAAGTCAATAATGATTTAGCTTAGCATTTATTGAAAAGGCGATTCCTTGGATTAAGAATAATCACAAGAAGTGAAACTAACCTATTTAATTTTCTTTGTCATCAATCATATTGCACTAACACCTCAAAATGGGGCAGTCAATGTTGTTGGTTTAATAATTCTATCATTTTCAAATTTCAAGTTTAAACACAATTGGACGTGTAATGGGCGATAGTTATGAAATGATAATAACCACAATGACTTGTAGTTTTATGTATCTAAATAAAAAATATATATATATAACTCATCCTTAATAGCTTTATAAAAAGAGGAAAAAATGTTATTCTTATAATTTCGTACAATTATTTTTATAAATAAAAAGATTTAGAAAAAAGGAATGTGTAATATAATGAATAATGTGATGTAAAATAAATAAATATATTATTTTTAAAAGTGTTATAAACTGTGTATAAAAATAACAATCGTTTTAAAACAATGTATTTATGCACATGATATTTAACCAACATCCTTCATTCAAGTAGTACTAAATTCCTTTGGAAGTGTATTGATATCTATGTAAATCAATAAATAATAAACACACGTTATATAAAATTTAAGCCATAAATAATATAAAATTAATGACATAATTTATAATTGAATACTTCATTAGTTTCACATTTATTAATAACTATTATGTCATAATAATAATGACAAAACAATCATTACTTAACAATTTCTTCTTTAGTCTTTGACCACGTATTTATGAAGTCATAGTTATAAGACTAAACTTTGGTAAAAAATAATAACTAGATAAAGTGATTCCCATAACAACGACTTTAGGATTCAAAGACATTGCATGTAAAATTTACGTAGTAAAGTCATAGTGTGATCAAATTACGGTTGGGTATCAATTAGATGACTTTGATTTATTGTTAGTGTGAATCGTTTTATAATTTGAACATAATTTCTATACGTTGTTAATATAATTTCTATATTACATTAAAAATTACATCAATTATTTATATACAAAAATTTATTAGCCCACTTAAAATAAAATTATTATTTCTTGAAAGTTACTTAGATAAATCCGAATTCTATCTCTGATTTGATAAACAAAATGAGAACTTGGTTGTCAATTGCATCATCGTGGGTTCCAATTCAAGGATTTACAAGTAATTCTCATAGATTGCATTGCTAGCTAACTTTTACAATTCCATGTTTGACAAGTAATGAATTCTCCTAAGTGAAACTACCATGCTAGCTAACACAATTTGGTTCAACTAACTCTCCATGACTACCAATGAATTGAAGGTGCTTGAAATTCCATAGTAGATATCTATAATTAGATCAACAACTACTAATTTCCCAACATCAAAAAAGCCCAACTTCATTGAATTCCTTAGTAGATACCTATGAGTATGAAATCTCGAATGAGGATTGAGAAGTTATCATTTATGTCTTTTGGGCATTGCAATAAATGTAATCACATGGTAAATGACTATGCTTCCTTAGATTTTATGTATAGGTCAAATAATTTCCAGCGTGAGGTGTTAGTCTCCAAAGCAAATGTATCTATTAGTAGAATCTCCAATTGTTGGATCATTGGTTTTTAGAACTATGTATACAAGTGATTTTAATTATATGAATGAAAATTTAGTAGCCTTGAGGACCAATGTATATGTAACAAGGGATTGGTGTAATTACTCCCACCAAATCTCAAACAAGATTTTGTAATAAATGTAAACAAGTTGAAATTTTGCAAGCTAGCAATGGTGATCTGATATGATAGGAAACAACTTTTTTATATCAGCATTAGGCCCAAAATCTTAAAGGCCCACGAAGTTTATTTAAAGCACTAGTTGAATGATGAGTCTTTCCACACAACCAAAAAAATGAGATGAGTCTCTCCCAACCAAAAATGGGAATGAATAGTCTCTAGATCCAAAAAAACAAAAGAATGATGAGTCTAGGGTCTAATTTACCAATTATATTTTAATTAATGAAAATGAAATGAAGGAAGCATTTAAAAAAAATATGAAATTAGTTTATAATCTAAATTATTGCATAATTCTTTAAATAATATGAATTTATTGGCTATGAACCCCAATGCACTTTAAATAGATTAATATTGAACTTAAGGCATTCAACATTAGTATAGTTTATTTTGTTATGGAATTTTAGGTGCAGATAATTGATACCTGATAAAGAAAGAGAGGAGATTATCGCCAGGATTTGTGTTGAAGATAATTATTTGTACCATGTATTTTAAGGTATTTTAACGTATTATTTATTATTTGATGAAATTTAAGTTTGTCGGAAATTGAGAATGAGTTTAATTATCTCATGAAATTTATATGAATTGTGAAATATTTAAAATAATGTACTCAAAATATGTTAATATTATTTTAGTGCAGACAAATTATGTTAGGTGAATAATCCAATTTTTTAACTATTTTTTTCGTGACCTATTATTATAAAGCCAAGGGTGTTAGTTACATGGTTGAAGATCTAGTTGAATTCTTCACGTTTATTGTTATTATTATTAAAAATTAATTTTAATGCATGGTAAATATAAACATTTATATGATCAATCAATAAAAAATTATTATAAATTAAATATAATAATTTTTTATATTAATTATTACATAAATTAATAATCTTATTAATATAATAATCTATAATTAAATATATAAATTAAATTTTTTTATTGTCACTGGTCACCACTTTGACTAAAAGGTTAACTTATCTACTAGTTTATGCTACATTAATTGTTAATAACTAATAAGTATCGTAGACTCATTTATTAATGAAAAATAGTGTTTTCACACCCACACGATGTAAAATAATAATAATAAAAAAATATTACCACCAATAAAAAGTAGTATAAAACTATATAAAATATATTAAAAATTCAAAATCAAATACTTTTACGCCACTTGTCTTTTTCATATAAAGTAATATTTAAATTTCTCACATCAATTGGATTGGAGGTGACATTATCTACTTTCCTGTGTCAATTACTCCTCTCTCTCTCTCACTTTGAAAAATTTAATAAAATATAATTACATTGCATGGTTGATTACCAAGTGTCATATCACATCCAATAAATGTCGAATGCATGCATACATCACTTAGCTTTTCATTTTCTTTGGAAAGTACATAATAAATTGGTCTATGACACAGTAGTCCCGGTTTGCAGACTCTCGATATGCACTATGCAATTGGGTAGCCATGCCCATGCTAAAATAATTTCATGATCAAGGATTTTCATCTATTTTTTTTTTAATCATAACTGCAGATCATGATTGATCAAAACTTTTTGAATAACAATTAGTCAATAAACTACGATGGTGTCCAATTCGATATTAGTTAATGATCATGGTTGTCGTATCTTAATTTGCTTCTAGATCCATGTGTGCAAGAACACTGGCATAAAAACACAGGTAGCTCCATTACCTTATGTCAGCACAAATGGTAGCTAGGCACATCCTTTCTAACTTGGTCACTTGTACAAGGCAATTGCTCTTGCTTAAGAACAAGGATTAGGTGCTAATATATTTGATTCATTAGTTTGTGGGGCTCGGAGTGTAATTGTTTTGCTGATTTAGTCAGACTAATTAATGAAATGATTATAGAATTAGCCCTTAGCAATAATATTCCTCCCCACACAAAAGTCCACTACACATTTTTAAAAAATATATATTAATGACAACGAAGTTAATTAGTTAATAACAATTTGGTGTGCAGATGGTACACATAATTCGTTTGAAAACACAACCACTGAATATTTTAATTGAAAGAAGCCAATTGGTGCCAAATATAAGAACCCAGATGTTCTAAACATTTTTAAAAAATACTTTTACTAGCTTCCTTTGTTTAATCTTTATGCTTGATTTATTTCATTTTCTTAAAAATATATATTTTATTATTTAGTCCCTCATTTTTAATTTTTTAAAATAAATTCCTCATAAAAATCAACAGAATTAAAATTTTATAATGAAAAAAATATATGGTGAAAAATTCATTAAAAAAACAAATAAAGAAATTATTTTTTTAAGAGGGGGGGGGGGGCACTGAATTAGGCCTAATTTTTAATTAGTGTTTCTTAAATTAGTACAGAAATGAATGAAATTAACCTTGCAACCAGTATATTAGTGGCCTTGGTTAGCTATTTCGTGTATCTGTGTGTGTGAGTGAGAGAGACAGAGAGAAAGTCAATGCATTACCCACCATTAATTTGACTTGTTAGCTTAACGTGATATGGGAGGAAAAGCCTAAAAGATTCTGTGGGTGTTTCTGAGCGACAAATGCTAAAGGAAAAGGTGTGTAGATAATCCAAATAAGGGGGTGACCCTTAGCTACTTAATATATCATTTGTTCATGGACGACAGAAATGAATGATTTCAACATTTTGAATTGTCATATACATTGTATATGTCTGAAAAATTGAGCTTACAATAACTCAAAAATAATGTGTTGTTGGTGGGACTTGGGAGAAGTACTTATATCAAATAGCAGCTTAAGTGTTTATCAGTTTGGATGTGAATATCATAGTAATTATACTTTTCCTCTTTCATTTTACACAGGTATTTATACATTAATATTTTTTTCTTTAATTTGTTTCCACCTCACATGCAATATTGTACTATTAATTTATTCAATTAAAGAGGTGATGACATTCTAAAATAAAGAAGTTACTATAGTGGAACAGAAATAATAGACACGAGTTTAAATGAGATATTACTTTATGTACGTACTACATAGTGGAAGTTATTATGAGAACACTGGACAGTGTAACAGTATTAGCATATGGGTTTTGGTGGAAGCTTCAGAGAAACAGTTTAGTAGTATTTTCTTACACTCATAACCGTTATCTCCTTCATCCGTGTGAATCAAATATGATGCAAGACAGTTGCATAAATGGGACCCTCTATAGCCTGTGTAGCAAGCAAACCAAGCAAAAAAAAACAACAGAAAAGCTTCAGTACTAAAGGCAAGACACAGAGCTCATAACAAGACCTTTTCAGCTAACTTTTTTCTCTTCCCTCATAGATTCTTAAGTTGCTTTCAAATATAATAACAAGGACATGCAACCCTAGCTAGACCATTCATATTCAATTCCCTCCCTGGCTTGCTTTTCTCATTATATAAAGCTTCTTCCACCACACCTTTGTTTCTTACTTTCACACTTAGCTCCTAACAGTTTTTTCTTGCTATATTGATCAACATGGAGGATTCTCAGTACTTGATGTGGATAAAGAGAAAACAAATCTTGAAGTCACATATTCAAGAACCCTTTGGAGCCAGCAACAACAACAACTCATCATGGGAGGAAAGAGCTTTTGCAGAAGATGCTGCTAGGATACTTGGTGGGTGTATATGGCCTCCAAGATCTTATTCATGTAATTTCTGTAAAAGAGAGTTTAGGTCTGCTCAAGCTCTAGGGGGCCACATGAATGTGCACAGGAGGGACAGGGCTAGGCTCAAACAAAGTCTTACCCCACATGATGAAGCCCTTCATCATCATCATCATCACAAAAATGATTGTAAGTCATCAAGTGCTTAATTTTCTGAAGAGAATAACTACTTCTCTCTGCTAGATTGTTGTCTTAATACTTACTCTAACCATGCTTGTACAGTTACAACAACAAGCAAAGTCTCAACTATATCCCCCCAAGAAAATTGTTGTCAACCTATCATGTCTCCTTTTTCTTCTTCAATTGGCTGGGGACACCACCACATGGGGTCTCCTGATTCAGATCCAAAAGGGGTAGTCAAAGCAAGGGAAGAATGTTTGAAAGGTTTTGGTTGTAATGATTATGTTGAAACAAGTTTGTGTGTTGGGCAAAGTTCAGTGTTTGGCCAAAAATTACCGAGTGATGATTCATGTGGGGACGAAGCCTTCAGTTATAAAAAACCAAAGACTTCTATTTCTTCTTTGCCCGTCTTCCTCAAGCCATGTTCAAATGATAGACTCCTAACTTTCCAGTCTGCAGAATTTGTACTTGGACTTAAGCCTGGAAAGGAAGACTTGGACCTTGAACTCAGGCTTGGGAAACCACAGAAAGTTATTTAGTATATAGGACAAACAGAAGAAGTTGTGATGGAATGTCAGTGCTTGCGCTTTTTTTTTTGTCTTTCCTATTAGGGGTTCATAGAAAATAGGCAAGAACCTTCTTCGCCTAACTAAACGTTGGATAGAATTCTTAGGTTTATTTTCATCAGATGTTAATTTGAATACTAATGTTATCTCTAGTTACATGTTACTAGCTACCTTATTTTTTTTCTTGAACATGTAGATGTTTCACTTTTCTCTTTCTTTGAGCATGATAAAATTATTAGTAGGGTTGCAAGACGAATGGAATCTCTTTAACAAATGAAAAATACAACAATATTTTACATTCTTCAACATATGTAAAATTTCACCATCTCATTGTGATAAGTTGGACAAACTCTAATATGTGTGCTAGGGTTTCATAATGAAGGGCTAAATCAAATTGTATCTTTCTCATGTGAAAAGAAAATTCATATTTTATTTATTTTTATTGATATATATATTCCTTCTCTCCTGTGGTTCTGGCTCTCAACTAACTTCAAGTTTAGAGGGGAATCAAGGAAGAGGAAAGTTCAACTGTAAGGTAATAATTAAAGTGGTAGAAGAACTGACAGAAACTGACAATTAGAAGTCACTTCAGCTACATATATTCCAGGGAACTAACAGTAGTCACATGCATATAAGACTGCACAAAATTATGAATAATCTTTTTACACGGATCATTTCATTACTAGTGATCCTCACCCACTTACCACTTCACATCATCATTCCAAACCCTTCAGTTGTTTTCCACATGTTCCTTCCTAACACTTCCAAAAATCCAACCAATCACACAGAAATTGAATGTTAATTATAGTACAACCAAATATTAATTTAGTTTGGTAGAGAGCGAAAGGACATCACATCATTGGCCTTATTAGCATGTCATTGTTTTTACTCTTGGTGTGACATTATATCCATGTTAGCTATAGTTATCCCTAAATATGTCTATTTCTTATCTTTCAAATATTTCGAAGCCCGAGACTCTTGTGCCTTTAGTTACTTGAAAACAGTGTTAGCCACCTTATTGTGACACCGACCGTTCCTCCAGAATACACGGGGACGTCATAGTCTGTTCTTTTCAACCTTTCTTTGTAAGGAAATTTGATGAAATATCGCTTTTGACTTCATGTTCTTTGCAGTCTGCGTAAAGGAATGCAGAAGCATTGCTGTCTATGATCAAGGGGGAATTTCTGCTACCCTTTTCACATTTTTTTCCCTTTATTGGTTTCATTCATATTGATTCACACCGTGATATGACATTGGCACAAAAGAGTGATTAATCAAGAAAACAAAGTTCGGGGTTGGGTGTCATCAACCAATATTTCCATTAGTTAAGGTGGATCATGCACATGTTCACTTATCTTATGCTAAATACATGTCAACTTTTACTAACATTTAACTTCTTTAAAAGTTAAATTATATAACGTAATTAAAATTTAAAAATTGTTAAAGTTCTCTTACCGCTTATTTATCTTCTATAATAATTATTAAAAAGTTTAACAATTCTAAAAAACTTAAATCATTAGGTAAATATACATCAATAATTTTCTATATTTTCAATGAGAGGTTGGCCCATAAACTAGAATATTCAAGCATTGCCACGAAACTAACTCCGTGAACAAGTTGTAACTAGAAATTCATTCAAATAATTATCTTCTCTCACAATTTGAACATCCTCCTTGTCCTAAAAATTTGCTCACGCAATTAGTCGCAACCAACCTTCGTTGATGAAGTTAGTCACTTTATGACTAAAATTGGTGTTTAATTACTTGGAATAGACAAATAGTAGGTTCATGGGATGATTTTGATCAATCAATGCAACATTTTGATTTTGGCAATGCCTGTTATGTGACTCTATCTTATGTGTTTGATCAGAGAGAGATCACATGGGGATGATGTGCGCGTTTCTGTTTTCTTTCGGGTATTTATTAAGAGAATTGAGATTGATATATGCTCCTTGCTTTAGCAAAAAAAATTTCTTTATTTAGGGTGCTTCGATGTATGCAGAGTAGTGATAGTATTTCTATAACTATTGCTATATACTGCTGAAGTATAAGAGTCTAGAGATTGAAATTGTAGCTACCTAGCACGTGTGTGTCTATGCATTAGGATAGTTTCTAGCTTTTGGCAGTGAAAACAACTACACGGACATTTCGTCGTATAATTAATCTATTCATTGGTTGTAAAAGGCGTTTTGACAAATGACACTTCACAAGCTTATTCTCCTTCCTACAATGTCTCTATACTCTTCCTAGAAACCTAATACTCAACTTGTCATATCATGTTCCATATAGAAATCGAATTATTTTAAAATTAATAGTTTATTTTTGGACAAAAGGGAGATAAGAACAAGGGGTTCTATACTCTCTACATGCACGTGATGGCAATTGTAATTTGTAATGAAAATTTCCTCCGTGATTATGATGAATTTTGTTATTTTGTAGGTGCCTAATTACCTAAATGTGAACGCCATACATTATTAAAATTCCTAAATGTCTCGCATGTTTGAGAATGAACTAATTTTGAGAAATAGTTGCTTCTTTATATATATAAAACAATCTATCTAGAAATTGGTTAAAAAAGTTATTATTTCTTATGGACATGTATAAGTCAAATTCATAGGGATAAGTTAAATATATAGTTCGGGACTTGAAACTCAGCTCAGAATTATTATATAGGCACCTGAAAAACATAAATCATGTCACTCTCTTATTTAAAAGAAATATATAAAATTAATAATTTTTAAATAAAAATGGCAACATGCATCTCACTTTGACTTATTGTTACTCGTATTTTATTACACTCTTGTGCATGTGTGAGTCCTTTTCTAAATTAATAAAAACAAAAATATGCTTCATTATTCTCCTGCTTCATCACCAGTGACAAGTGACAGCACAGACAATTTCACAATGGGCCCATCTGGCGACTGAAAAAATTGTATTTGGGCCCATAAAAAAGCAAAATAACATTAGCAATTAAAAACAAATGCCCAGTTGCAAAACGACGCTGTTTTGAATAAAGCTAAGAAGCACATCCTTTACTCTTCATGGTATTGGTCACCTGAAGATAAGAACGTGTGAGCAAAACAGTGACCGAGACAACAATGTCCAACTCAGAGAGCAGTAGCACAGGTTCGAGATGGTCTCTCAAGGGAACCACTGCGCTCGTTACTGGAGGAACACGTGGAATTGGGTTCTTCTTTTTTTTTTTCTCTTCTCATTTTCTTTCTCTCGCTAGACATTGCTAAATCGTGTTTTTTTTTTCCTTTTTCTTTGTTGCATGAATTGAATTGGCTTTCTTGATTCTGGGGTCTCTTAAAACGACTTAAAGTTTCGGTTTTTGCATGGTGTGTTGGATCACTGTTCAGGCACGCTGTGGTGGAGGAACTTGCGGAGTTTGGTGCCAGTGTGTACACTTGTTCTAGGAATGAAGATGAGCTGAATGCGTGCTTGAAGGAGTGGAAAAAGAAGGGGTTTTCGGTTTCTGGGTCTGTTTGTGATGCCTCTTCTCCACCTCAAAGGGAGAACCTCATTCAACAAGTGACTTCTACCTTCAATGGCAAGCTCAACATTCTTGTGAGTTTTTTTTTTTCCTTCTATTTTCGGAATTGTTTGTTTTGCATTTATGTTTAAAATAGTTTAGAGTCAAAAGTTTGAAGATAGTTTGTGAAAAACAAACATGAACTTTATATGTGAAGTGAAAAGATTTGACATTATACTTTGTCGAGCAGTAAGCGATATGTGGTATGGAAAGAACAGAGGAATGGAAAGAATGTGGAGAGTGAAAAATAAATGTAATGGAAAGAAGTGTAAAAATATAATGTTGATATTTGAATGGCACATTTTTTTTATTCCTAATTCACTTTTGACGTGAAAATTTAGAAAATAAATCTCATAGAGCGGTTGAAATAGCAGCAATTTGTAGGAGAATGTAATGTTGCTGGGAGAGTGTGCATATGGAAAAGTGGAAAAAAGCTAGAATTTCTTGTATTTATAATATGACTTATCCCACGGTAATGCTTTTTAAATCAATGAAATTGATATGGACTACTTACTAATTTGTTTACTATGCTAATTTTTTTTTAAAAAGTAGGAGCTCTTGTACCTTGCCACCTACCTCTGCCTGTGTTCAGGATAGTGTGCAGGATAACCTTTGTGTTCAACTCTGTTGATGACTCGTTAATTTTATGCTGGGATCATTGGTTATGGTATATATTAGAGATCGATCTCACGTATTATAAGTCAAACAGGGTTTCATTATGCTGTGTATTGCTGTATGATACTATCATGTATTGTAATAACTAATAACTAATAACATTTGTGGATAAACACTAAATAACAGAAGAAATTTAAGATGCTAAAGCCATGTTTGTTGTTCATCCTTTTTCCATGTTTCATGCACTTAATTTCCAAGTGGTTGGTGTTTACTGATTACTTAATGCAATTTTCCCAATTAATTCTGTCTTAGTGTTGCTGGAGATACACTCAGAAGGGCAGCATTAATATCTGCACAATATAATTAATAATTGAAAACATGATATATATAACTTTGCTATTTGTGATTATTTGATGATGTTAGCATAAAAAACTGTTATTATTAAAAATGTTCAAATTCATAGACTTGTTTCTCGCATGAGCATGACTTCAGCTCATGATAAATTTTGTTTCTTTGATGCTCTTTTGAGCTTAGGTAAATAATGTCGGAACAAATGTGCGGAAGCCAACAATTGAGTATACAGCTGAAGAATATTCAAAATTGATGACAACCAACTTGGACTCTGCATACCATCTGAGCCAACTTACATACTCTCTTCTTAAAGCATCTGGAAATGGAAGCATCGTCTTCATTTCCTCTGTTGCAAGTCTGACAAGCGTAGGTTCTGGAACCATTTATGCAGCAACTAAAGGTGACTTGATGTATAACTGTCATCTCTGGTTCTTACATGATAGATTACAAACTATTTTCAAATATATTGACAAAACAGATTTAACATTGCCATTTTCGTCAGCTGCAATCAATCACCTTACCAAATATCTTGCTTGTGAATGGGCCAAAGACAACATAAGAAGTAACTGTGTTGCACCCTGGTATACCAAAACGCCACTTGCGGAACCTGTAATGCTCTTACCCTCTTATTATCTGTTCCAAGGACTAATAGTCTTTTCTTTATGAAGATTGGGTAATTATGTTGACAAATTAAAATTTTTTGAGTTGTATATGAGCAGTGAACTGATTGGTCAATAGTAAATTCTGCGGCAGATAGTATTCTATTTTTGTTGGTGCTGTCACTACGTTCATCCCTCCAGTCTTCATACCATATTTTAGGATATCAAACATAATATTTGCTTTGACGTTCTTACACACATGCTCCTTTTAAGGATCAGAAGTGTAGTAGCATTCAGATGTGTCCATCAGTCTTTATGACTCTTAATACTTGTTGCTCTTAGAGCATTGGTTAAGAAATTAAAAGTAAAAGATTTGTTAGAAAATATAATAAATGCACCTCTCTGTGATTTCAAACGCAATCTAACACAATTTATCATAAAAGGCTTTCACTTCTAATTTCTTAACCAATGTCCATACTTTTATTATTGAAAAGAAAAATCTAAATAGTCTATAGACCCAACTACCCACAAGAGAATGGCAGGCCCATGACAGAACGCGCAACACACGTGGAGGGTTAATGTGAAGAAGGGCTGTGGAGCTTAATGGAACCATAATGTTATAAATGTACACATGATACACAAAATATTGGCCCGACCCATCTAATTTTACTTAGGTTTCTTTGTGAAAATGTTACCAAAATAATGTGCTTCAGTACTACTGTTGAGTGGATCTAGTTAAGGACAGTGTTTCTGGATATTTTACGAATATCTTATTATTGTAGTTAATAGTTTTTGTTGATTAATCAGATGATTATACTTGTTACTATAAAAAAATTGTATGAATTCTAAGTGCTGATTAATTGTACTTGTACATATAATTATGTCAGCACTATAATGTGTATTATTAATCTTCAAATGACAACATTATCTTCATAACTTGGGTTGCTAATTGTTTACTTTTCTAACAGATGCTTGCTAAAAAAGAGTTTGTGAATGAGGTATTATCTCGAACACCAATAAAGCGAATTGCAGAAACACATGAAGTGTCATCCTTGGTCACTTTCCTCTGCCTGCCAGCGGCGTCCTACATCACTGGGCAGATTGTTTCAGTTGATGGAGGATTCACTGCCAATGGATTTCAACCCAGCATGATTTCTTAAAGCAAATTTGTCATTTCAATTTTGGACAAAACTTAGGTGTTGTTTTAATAAAATATTTATATTTAATATCATTGGAAATTACTTAGGTAAAACTTTAATTTAGACCGAAAAACATCACCTTAGTTTTGTCCTTTAATTTTCTGTATTATGGATATGTACAAGGTGCAACACTGAATTCAGGGTTGTTATGGTGACCACTTTAAGTTTTGGACCATCCATAATCTAGTAATTTTAATTGGTCAATAAATTATTTTAATATATATAAATTCTTGCATTGTTATATTCATCAGTTATCATTGAGATTATCGGTGGTGTTGGACCACCTTATACGTTTCTCTCAAATCTTACCTATCTATTATTTAACGAATGCCAAGTGCCACTGTGTTGTGCTTTGTAACATTATTGCATCATCTGGCATGAACTGAATCGAATGCAGAGCTTCCAACAAATTCGATTCCAAATTCACATGGAGCCTCTAGCTAATAATAATCAATGTTATGCTAAAGTACAAAGAACTTTTAATCATACATCATGTAGTGAAATCTCTGTGCATTGAATTTCACAACTTCAAGTGATGTTGATTCCCTGTGCTCCCGTGAGTATGGATATTGTTCGGCTTTTTATATATATATAAAGAAAATTATACTCATACCCATCGAAATTTAATCAGATTTTATTCAATATCTTATATACCAAATATAGTAGTATTAAACTTTGAAGAAGTGTAAATGCATAGTTTTTAGAAATTTTTACCTTCTTAAGAAAACTTAAAAGAAAAAGGTGGTAAATTATTTGAAAAATTAAAGTACAAAGGGTAATAGCTTTTTTAAAAAATATATATTTATCAAATTTTAAGCTTACTTACATGCTTTTAGTTTAATTATTAATTTATTAACTTTGAGTTAACTTTTAAGCTTTTAGCTAATTTATTCCGTAATTTTGCCAAACAAAGATATCCCTCGTATTCATTATCAAGTTGAGGCTTAACGGTGCAGATAATAATAATAATAATAATGAAAAACAGAAGAGGGACAAAGTTAAAAGCGAGAGGAATAGCTGAAGAATTAAAAGAAAATTATCTAGTTATAAGAGATTACAAAGTTGGAAAAATAAGATAAGGACATTGATTTGTTATTAAATTTTACGATAAGATCGTGAATTTTCTATAATTATGCAGATATTTATATAATATATAATTTATTTTTTTAAGTTTTATTTAAATTTAATAATATTTGTACCGTGTATAAGAAATTTACTAGATAAATTTACAGATAACACTAAATGAATGATCATTGTTAAAATAAACAAATATAATTTATTGAGTTCTACATTGAATTAAGTAAGAAGTTTATTATATTTTAATTAAACTCTTCTCATATGCATAAGCTCTTATAGTTAATCCTTTCATTAAGAACTTAACTCTCGATAATTGTTATCTTAATCACATAAATGAGAGGAGAATCAACATAAAGAGAACCAAATCATGAACTGCAAACTTAATCCAAAACATTAATCTATTAAATGAAAATCTTGTGACTTAAAATTTCACGTTGAGCTTCTATGTTATTCATTGTGAAACTTATGACATCATCACACCGGTTTTTATTTCTTTGCAAGATAAGATATCACACCATTTTTATTTCTTCAATAAAAGAACATCATTGATGTTGACTGGTAGATTATATTTTAAATTTAGATAATACAACTTTAATCATATAATGATGTAAACTATAGTATAGTCGGAGGAAAGTTTTAGGAGTTTTTCATAATGCCATGCAAAAATTATTTAATCAAAAACGACTTTTATAGTTATATTAGATGAGAGTAAAAAATATCCTTGGTCAGATACTAAATAAATAGCTTAAATAATTACAAGTCATTTTCATAAAAAAAATCAATAACATATATCTATCATAATTAACTATTATATATTAATTTCCACTATCATTATTATTGAATAATATAATTATTATTTTAATATTAAATAATGTTTATTCACAAAATAACTATGAAAATTTACCCTTACATTCATATTATGTAAGCAATTCAGAATTCCTAAACTTGAAATTTTGAAACTTAAAGAGGCTTTATCTGTTCTACAAGTACCGTGCAAACTAAAACACTCATTAACTTTATAGTTAATGATGTAAAAATAAGCACTTAGTTTACTTTATTAATTAATTAACAATATATAAAGGAATAGGATTGGTTATAAGAATACTAATTTTTAAAATCAAATCCTTCAGCGGTTGACCAACAAGATCAGGTTATCCACCTTATTAAGCATAAGCTCAAGTTATTTGACTAAGTGTTTGATCTAATTTCAAAGTTCAAACTCTAACCCATAAGTCATTCCTACCAAATCTACCGTGTTCTTAAAGAAAATCTAAACTGATCAATCAAGTTTTCCTTCAACTGCTATTCGTGCCATAATCATACATTGAAAATCATCAGCTCCTATGTTTATCCTCTTAGATCATTTTTTATATCGTGAAAATGGATAATGATATCTAGAAACTACGTGAATTGGAAGGTCGAAAATAAGTAAATTTTAATATACATGTTATATTATTAGGTGTGTAGTAAATATATTTTTGGTTAATTACTCTAGAGTAGTTTTTTTCAACATGTACTATCAAAATAAATATCACCTCCTTCACAATTCATATATTAAAAAAAAACTATGCACTAATTATGCTAATTTATAAATATGCACAATTATATATATATATATATATATATATATATATATATATATATATATAATTCATCTCTATTGTGGAAGTTTCTCACCTGGTTTCAACCTATCCAGAATTGGAAAAAAAATGTTCAATCTGAAATGGAAAGGTCATATGCCATCTTTACCCCCTGAATCCATCTCTGATAACGATGTTTGTGTTACTTTCATAGGTGCTAATATCTTGAGAGTAGTTATCCCTTTGCTTACTAGCTTTCGAGAATTTGGTCATATTTGAATTTTGGCCACCACTATGAGTTTTGCTTCCTTGAACAAGTGTGCCTCATACCACTTTTTCGTATTTATTATTAAAAAAACGTTATCATAATATTATTGTTTTACTTTTTATGATATTTTTGCAAATAAAACATTTGTGTTCTATTTCTATAATTGGTTGGTATTCTTCACCTCGTAGATGAGCAAGGGAAAAATTACAACATATTTCAGTATAAATTCAAGTCAAAATAATCAATATAAATATCTACTGGAGATTCATTATCCTATACCAAAGCAATAACTTATACAATGACGAATATCAAAAGCTTAAGATGTATAAAAAATTTGAAATATATTGATTTTACCCCTTCCATCATTTAATCATTAATTATTATATAATTAAAATTGCAAACTAATTATTTCAAAAATAATGCTTCGATAAAAAATAACAAATATAGCTAATTTAAAACAAATAGAGAAGTTGACGTCTGAATGGAGATAAGATAACAGTGGATGAACAAACTTACATGTCTGCATTTCTTTGTAAATTTGTGATGAAGTGATCATCGACCTGTGACCAAAACACGAGAATTGGATGGCATAGATGAAGACAGTACCAGTCACTCCATGCTATTTGCTAGAGAATCTAAAGAAGCTCACCCATTCTGTGCTCCTAAAGAGAAAATTTGTATACGAAGTAAATATTTAATTCAGCTTATTTAAAAATGTACATATATTTGTTCAAATTAAAGCTATACTATGAGGCTATATTTTCAAATTGTGTGTAAATTATTTATAATTATATTTTAAATAGAATCTTAAAAAATAGGTTGCCTGGAAAATTAAATTTAGATATGCTGTAACATTTTTTAAGCCTTTATTATAATATACTAATTATTTTATTTTATGCATTTATATGGATTTTTCATGACGAAAATCATCACATAATTTTTCGTTTCCTGCATTCCATCCCATCATCAATTTTTATTTTTTTCTTTTGGGCAAGCATCTACTTTCTTGGAATAGCTATTTATTCCAACTCCTTTCTTGGTTCCATTCTCACTTTTTTTTCTGAAGTCGGTCACAGCCATAGCAAAAGTGGTATCACTCAGAGTATTGCTAGTAATGATCCCATTCTCAGGAGAAAAAAAGCAGTGGCGATTTGAGAGCACATACAAAATTGGATTGAAAGTTAGAAACTAAACCAAGTGTGTGTATTCATAGAATGACTTACCAGAAAATATTTGATTATTATAATTTTTTTTGAGTTATCTGTTGAGAATTGATTGTTTTAGTTTTTATTGTTTACATTATATAATTTAGATTTGAAAATCTCATATTCTTTCTAGTGAGAAATATATATTTATTATAAAGTTAAAATAATTCATAGTTTAAATAATAAATCATTTAATAAGTAGATCAATTAATAGTAAATTATTTTATATTTATGATCTAAAATTTAAGTTTTAATAACCATAATTATGTTAAATACTTAGAATGAGAGGTTTTTTTTTACTTATATTATTTCTACTTGTCTCGTGATAAAAAAAAAAAAAACTTGTAATTTAACGAACATATACTATAATTTGATACCTATCTTATATAAATTAAATGCTCTTTTTATTTAAGATTGTAAATAAAATTTAATTATTAAATTTTTTTATGACTAAAATATCAAACTTATATAATGATTTAAAAATTTTGCATGATTTTTTAAGGTGACTACATAACTTTAAAATAATTTTAATTTTAATTATTTATATAATTATACGACTCGTAATTATCATTATATATATATATATATATATATATGTTTGTGAAAATAATATATATGAAATTTATTTTAATTTAAAAAATTTAATTTTTAGTATTTTTGGAGTATGTACAACCTTTTTTTTACGCCGATACTGCCTTGTTTAATATACGAATATCGTGAAAGAAGCGTTTTCCTTGAGATTGCATTTAGAAGGTAAAGAATAAAGTGAAAAATGGAGCCTTCACAAATTCGTAGGGAGTTTCTCATTTTATTTAACGTAAAACCATATTGTTGACCCCAAAAAAATGTAAAACTCATACATTGTTACCTTTAATAAAAGTGGAATCTTATCGTCACTTCATTCTATTCTCACTTACTTAATTCAACCCTTTTTCTTTAAATGGCTTCACTTATCCATCCCCTATTTAATATATTACACATTATCTTAGTATATTAAACTAACCCTTTTCTTTATCTTTTTTAAATAATGTTATAACTTATGTAAATAATAATTCAAACTATTTTCAAAATAATAATATGTCAAGAGAGAGCTTCACAACTCATTCTTACTATATATATTACATTACTATTAACAAATAAATAACACGTTACTATTTCTATCATAAGATAAGATGATTAATTTATATAAAATGTTGATTATCATGAAAATTGGCATATTTTAATAATATAATAATTAATATTAATACATTCAAATCAAATTATTTAAATTAATGATAATTGTTTTTTTAAACTTTAAGACGAGAAGGAGGCAATAATATTTGGCGGTGAAGTTGCAGACATTGATATTCGTACTTTTGTCGTGTTGTGTAGACAGTGATGTGTCCCACTGCCGCATCAGCACGTTACCCCACTCTCGCCCATCCTCCCTTCATCACTCTTTCCATACTTTTCTATTATTGCGATCATCACAACTTCTTTTCCCTTTCTTCTCCATCTACACACTTTTTATTTTATTAACCCTTTTCAAATCAATTTTAATACTTCTGAGAGAAAATTTAATTTAATTTTAATATACTATATCTTATATTAAATGTATGTATATCTTTTTAATTTTTAGATGGTTTTTAAATTATATTTATGTGTCAATTTTGACTGTGGGATGATATATTATAAATATAAATGTTAACTTGTAAAAATTTAATTTAGACAAAGACAATATTTCATATTTAATAAATCAAAGGTTAGAATTCCAATTTCCTGGAAAGAAAATGAATAAGATTAGTTATACTTCATGCTCACAGATTATTGGTACATCTACTTTTATTAAATATTTAAGAAAGTTGTTGAAAAGAGAGTTAACATTTTCTAAAATATTCTTGGTGTCTTGATGTATTTTATTTTAGAAATCCAATATCTTGCTTATTTCATGCATAATTCTTTCGTTGTTTCCCTTTTTTTTTCTTCTTTTTTTTTATCAATGCAAACATAAAAGTTTCGAGTATAGCAAACAAAATGCTGATATAATTTGACTATTATTTTATCTTAATATATATACAAGTCCAATAATGAAGAAAGCCCTCCCACGAGGTGCCCGAGCATGGTCTGTATGGCATGGTCTCCCCACATAACACCACTCTCCACTGTTTGTTTGTTGAGTTTACCATGGCGGCTCTTAGAAAAGACTTAGTTTTCAATGATTTTTTTTATTTGGTTAACGTAAGATAACATTAATCTTATTATTGAAAATATGTTTGATTGTATAAAAGAAGTAAGTTTACTAGAAATAAATTACAGGGTTTAATAACTTTCCAGTTACTGTTCTTTTCCCTTATTGATTTATTAGGTTTTATTTATAGTCATTACTTTTTTACTATTTTGTTGCTTTTGGTTATCATCCATCATTTTTATTTTTAACTCAATCCTATTTTTTAGTTCTTTATTGTTCTATAGTATAAAGTTAAAACTAGCCACTATTACTACTGATAGTTTAAAATAATTATTTTAAAAGAATAATATATATTAAAGTAAAATATAACGTAATATCTATTAGTCTCCTTAAAATATAATTATAAAAAATTGCAGTATACAAAAATCTACTAGAAGAGATAAGTCTAATCTATTGTTTTTTATCGGGGAAAAGAAATTGCTGATAACACTCTTTCAACTCTTGAGTGTGATACATATGAAAGCACATTAAATCTTTAAACTTCCTAGTAATAATCATATTAATTATTGTTAACTATTTACTTGCTTTGAAAAAAAAATATTATTTAAAATACTCCATTACACTGGTCAAGAAGGAGAAGAGCGTTTTGAGTTGAATCCTTAAGATCGATAAACGTTCTGAATTCTTATTTCGATTTTTTTAATATCTACTTTTAAACATATAACAAAGAATAGTAAATAATATTTTTTTGAAATATAACATTTAATATAATCAATGAAATTTTATAAAAATATTATGTATAATTTTTTTATTATGAGTCAAATAACACAGTAGAAAAAGGTTTTTATTCAATATGTGAAATCATTGAATAGATTTGTCATTTTCCATAAACCGTAATTTACATTTTTTAAACTAAATATTTTAATAATAAACATTAATTGTCTATTCTATTTCCCAATAAATATTTTAAAAATACTACTTTACATTTATTTTTAATCAATACTCCGAAAATACTGGTCAACAGTCAACAAATTAAACACTAACATTCTCACATTAAAAAGCTAACACAGTAACACCCTTTTACATTTACAAATATTGTTTTGAAAAATAGATATGAAATTTCGTCATATTTATGAAATATTGTAAAGAAACTAAGAAAATGATAGATTTGGTTTGGAGTGATGCAAGTATAATGCAAACTCAAAGCTGCAACTATTGGGGAAGTGAAAGAGTTAATCCACAACTTCACAAGCCCCACGCGGCGCTCGAGCCACCCCACTACGCCCCCCAGTTCTGACCAGACCAATGAACCAAGCCACAATCAAAGAGGAACGAGGGCAGAACAGTAAATGCAGTCATCAACCCATTTTAGCAACTTGTTCTCTCTCTCTCTCTCTCCCTCTCTCCCTGTGATCTTGTTTTGAACGTAGGTGTGTGAGTAGGTGACACCACACCAACAAGTGGATGCACCTCTGTTTACTTGGGAAGTTGAAAACTTTGAACACACCGCTTACCGGTTACCGGGAAACACAACCCAAAACCGCTTCCATAAAACCGCTATAAACACAAAAAAAAAAAAAAAAAACTGGGGGACCCTCTAGTCTAGTCCTGAAGAAGGTACTTGCTATTACTGTTTCCATTTTATGCCCCGTACTAATCTGACCCTTTTAGTGCCATACATCCAGGTACAATTACAACTCCATATTATAGTATTACACCCTTTCTACTCTAAGCAACACCCCCCAAAAACACACTGTTGTTGTGAAATTTTAGCACCACAAGGGATTGTCTACACTGTGTGTATGTGTGTTTTGGGTCTTGTGCTTGCTTCTATTTATTTTGGGTAGTGTGGTTAGGGTTTACATGCAAAACTCATGTGTTTGATGCACTTACCAAGCTTTGATAAGGTTTTGGGTTTGATTTTGGGATTCAGCTTTAGAGATCTGAATATTTAACTGACAAGTAAGGTGTTGAGATCGTTTGAATCAAAGATGGCGAATCGTTGGTGGGCTGGGAATGTGGGAATGAGAAGAGAGCAAGAGTTGATGGAAAACAACACCAACAACAACGTGAACACAACTCCAACTAACAGTAGCAACAGCAACACAAACGCCAACACCAACACGACCGAGGACGAGGAAAGCAGGGACAACGGGGAAGAGCAGAACCCAGGAAGCCACGATGGGGCGGAACCGGGGAGCAGCGGGAGAAGGCCACGTGGCAGGCCACCAGGGTCCAAGAACAAGCCCAAGCCACCCATTGTTATCACCAAGGAAAGCCCAAACGCGCTACGAAGCCACGTGTTGGAAATCACCACCGGGAGTGACGTGGTGGAGAGCATCGCCGCCTTCGCTAACCGTCGCCACCGTGGCGTGTCGGTGCTTAGTGGGAGTGGCATTGTCACCAACGTCACTCTCCGGCAACCGGCTGCACCCGGTGGAATTATAACCCTTCATGGAAGGTTCGAGATACTCTCTCTCTCTGGCGCGTTCTTGCCTTCTCCTTCTCCTCCTGGTGCCACCGGACTCACCGTGTATTTAGCCGGTGGTCAGGGACAGGTCGTTGGCGGCGCCGTGGCGGGTTCGTTGGTTGCTTCGGGGCCTGTGATGGTGATTGCTGCTACTTTTGCAAATGCTACTTATGAGAGGTTGCCATTGGAGGATGAACAAGGTGAGGAAGAAATGCAAGTGCAACAACAGCAACCGGGTGTTAGTTCAGCAACTCCGGGTTCTCAAGGTTTGGGCGAACAGGTTTCAATGCCTATGTATAATTTGCCTCCGAATTTGCTGCACAATGGTCAGAATATGCCTCATGATGTGTTTTGGGGACCCCCACCTCGTCCTCCTCCGTCTTTCTGAGAGATAAAAGTTTCAATCATATCTTTCATCTCACTGACTTGTAGTAGTACTTGTGCAGTATGTTAATTTCTGACGGTTTTCTTGTAAGAATATCTTGCTAGCAAGGTTAGCCTTTTTGGTTTTTTTTTTCCCTGTTCATTTTGTTTGCTTCTAAGAGACTCGAGTAGATGTTATCAAGTTATTTTGTTGTACTAGTTTGTTTCTGTTCTGTCTAATCCATCTGCTTTTTTTTTTGGTAGAAGAGTTCAGTTGTGATTGTGTGTAGGCTTGAAATGGTTCGGGAATAAGAGTGGAGCTATGTTCAGGAATTTATGGTAAGCGTACGTTGTTGTTTGTCTCTTTAATTGCCTAGTTAGTATTTCATGCAGTAGAGGAAATTGCTGGAAAGTCATGGTGTTGATTAGTAATGGTATTTAATTGGACAGTAGTGCATTGAATAGTTTTGCACTTGCTACTTTAATAGTAGGGCGATGGATTAGCTTTTTCTTCAAGAGAGGGGAAGGTGTGGTAGGGTCGGTTCATCTCCCCTTCCCTGAATCTCGCATGCTGTTTAGACTTTAGAGTAGACCATGCTGGTTGAACTCGGTTAACATTATTTTCTTCATCTATATGGTGCCAAACAAGGCTGTCTGGGTGTAACTTCCCCTTGTTTTAGACTTCTACGTTTTATGGGGTCAACTTTTTAGTATTATATGAAGAATAAGAATAATGGTTGTTACACATCGATATATACACCTTAGGGTGTGTAAACAAGAGATAGGAATAGAACAAAGAAAAATGAAAGTTGTAATGTTATTGGGAGAGAGAATTAAGAAGAAAAAGGATAGGTGAAAGTGAAGTAAGAACCAAAACTCTTATTGTAGGAATTCGACAATTATTAAGTTTTGACCCTATGGTGGATGCTGTTGTGGTTTTGGCCTTTGGTTTGTATCACTGGTGCCTAGAAATCATCTAGCCAACATCTTTATTATCAATTTTTTATTTGAGATAATAGGTGTCAATAGACACGAAAAGTATGGGAGGGGTAGTAGACATTGAGTCCACCGAATTTTGAATTGTTGGATACTGAATCAAGGCTGGTCAGCATCACGGGCTCCTAAGCTATTCCTTTTAATACATTAGTTCACTTGCTTTCTTAATCAATTCAGTCACCTATTTTACACTCAATTCCCATTTTCTTTTGTTTTGGATGATCTTGAAACTGAGAAATTTTAATGCGAGTTCTATCATCTTTCATCAATGTGGTAATGCTGATTCCATCTTGCACTTGGCTCCTTGTTATTTTTCCTTGTATGGATGTTTGTGAACTTTTAACGAAGAGATAGGATCCTTTGACACCAATCATCAAAATTGGGCACGTACTTCTTTTAATAACTTTTTATAAAATGCAAGATTGACCAATTTAATCATTGATTTGAATATTCTTATCAAGTAGATTATTTTTATAAAATTCCATGCAAAAATAAAATGAATATATATTTCATCATATTACTTTATTTTAACAGGTAATATATTTTTAAAATATAAGTAAATATCAAATTTTGGATAGTTTACTTACTAAGGTTCAAATTGTGTGAACTTTGATATGCATGTTTATAAAAACAATGTAAGATGATTCAATAGTTGAATTCATTTTGCATTTTATGAAAAGTTATTAAAAGGTGTAAGTATTTAAGTTTTACATTTGATGTTAACGGATCTTTAACCCTTCATAATGCTTTTATTGTAAAAAAGAGAGTCATATATTAACTGAAAAAATTAAGTATTTTTTTTCCATATATGATACAATATTTGTCTAGCGGTCATTAAAATATTAATATAGTCTTTGCATGTTTATGTTAATAGTACGATGCATTATAATATATGATAATTCCATTGACATGGAAAATGGATATATACCATAGATGCATTATATTATTATTAGTATGATGCACGATACTATTAAAATCGACTTACATGTTTTGTATTAGTAGTTTAATTTTTTCTAGACAACGACTATACTGATGGAGATAAATAAGATAAGCCAAATAATTAACATTTTTTTGTGTTTCTTTTGTGGTGTTATGAAGAAGTGGATGCAAAGGAACAATAATTTGTATTGACTGAAACAATTGTGGTTGATGTTGAGCACGGGGCTTCTCTTTGATTCTAAATTGGTGTTATTCTGTCATTCTTAATTTGTAGTGTCTTTATTGCAACTCTTTTGATTGAAAGCATTGTGATTGGATCCTACAATCATGGACCGAATTTAACGATGAATGAAGTATATCTATGATGTTCCTTGATTAGCAGAAGAGATTAATAATCCTTGGCCAAGGTTAAAAAGTTATCTGTATAGCATATGTCCTAGCCAGGGGGGTGTTTTTTTGTAGCTTGTAGGTTTTCAAATGACCAAGTTTCTTGAAATGAGAATTAAACAATGTCAATTAGCCATATTAGTCGGGTTAAGTTTGTGTAATTTGGTCAAATAAAACCCTGGTTTTGCACTAATTGGTTCAAATGCCCCTCCCCTGGCCAACAAAAATGATATGGCTCCTTAAGACACCCAATAAAACTTGGAAATGTAAAGGGAGAAATTATAACTTGGTAGATGAAGGGTAATAAAAGTAAGTAAATGGCAGGAGTAATATTTGATGTTAATTCCTTGAGGCAAATGACAGCATTACTTATTACATAAGTAACCGTATATCTCTATGTGTGGTGCAGGACAAATTTGCTTAAGACGGGCAGTGATTTATTTATTGTATTGCATACTCAATTCCCACCTCACAAAGCACTGTATCAAAACATTAGGATCGTTAATTAGGAAACTGATATGAGATACTGTTTAGAAAAAGAAGAAAACAAACCACCTTATTCTGATCAGCAGAAGGACTTTTAGTTCAGCAAATATTTAACCTACAGAATTTTCTGATGCAAGCGACTATTCCATGGATCATCATATGCTATGTGCAATTTTATCATTGAGAGTCCGCGCGCTTGGTAGATTCGATAAGAATTTGTAGTATCAGTTTAATTAATGGTATATGAAGTCTATTTTATAGACTTATTTTATCTAATTTGTTGTCTTAATGTAAAACAAACGTAAAATAAGATGGCTGTTTATGTTACTTTGATCATATTGTGTTGTTATAAAATCTCATACTTATCATATTCACTAAATGGATCAAATTGGAGATGTGCATTTGTAGAGTGTAATATTGTGGGCAAGAAAGTCATAACAACGATGAGAAATGGTTAATTATTTAAGAATATTGCTTTAATGGCATATTTGACTTGCATGATGTGAGCATGCTGGGATAATGGGCTTTTATTATCAAGTAGTTGTGGTTCAATTAACTACTCATGATTCTCTTGTCTGTGAACATGATGGGATGTGTGACTTGTCATCAAGGTAATGGTGGCTGGTTTACTTAACTTGCTTAAACGTTGTTGTCAAATAATTTATTCCAATATAGACTTATCTTCCCACCCAGCATTGACGTTGAAGTAGTCCACAACTCATACCAAGTATGTGTAGTATCCAAGTTCACACTTGTCATTAATGGAATTAAATAGTAAATTTTAAATTAATTATTGAAATGGAATGAATTGGATATTTTAGTTTATGTTTTATAAAAGTTAAAAATTATTTTCTAATGTTACAGAATACATTTGATTTAGTTCTTTTTAAGATATAATTTCAAACATATTTGAAAAAAGACTAATGAAAAAGTTACTTTAATGATTAAATTTGGAGGAGTAATTTTATTTTAATTTAGGGAGTTATTGAGTCACTATGCCTGCCATGGCAGAGATCTTGGGATAATGGTTCTGACAGAAAAAGGCTTCAGTTATCTTTTAACAGTGCTTGGTTTCTTCTAGATCTTGAGTGCAAATCTAGAATACCAATTCTGAGTTAGTTTTTCTACTTTAAAGTAATAAGATAAGATTTCATCTTCTTATAATAATTGAGGAATATAATATAATTATATTAAAGTTATATGTAATTTTTATCGAATTTAATTAATAGATTTTATATTCAATTATAGTAGATTTTTATTTGATAATTTTTTTTATCATAACCATATTGTTATGTTACTATTCGAATTAACTAAGATATACCGTGTAGTTTGTTTAATTGGTAACGTCCTAATTTTTGTTTTGACATGAATTGGTGTGTATTATTTTTTTTAGCAAAAAAAAGTTACGATTCTTTGAAAAATTTTATTTTCATACATTTAACGACATTTAAAATACTTGATTTGAACTTACAAAAGTGATTTTATTATATTCTTTATAATATTTTTATTTAATAATGAACTTTTTTTTTTTTATTGTAAATGCGTTTTAATATATTTTTTAATGTAAATTTATTATTTGTTAAATTTTAACTATTAATTTTAATATATTGATCAGCAAGATCTTTTAATAACATTAGTTTTATGGTTGATTTAAATATTAAAAATTTTCAAAGAATGTTTCTATATGAAAATAATTGACAATTTTTACAATTTTTAATAAATTTTTGATATAGTGCATTAAAATAAATTTTATTAATTATTTTGCCAGTTTTTATGCTGAAAATTATGCAATAAGTTTTCATATAATAAAAAATTATTGAACAGCGTTTAATAATGTATTTGAACTTTGAAATAAAAACTCTTTATGAAATAAAATTTTATTAAATAAACACTTGTTTAAATTGATATTCAAGCATATTATAATTAGACCATGCACCTAAACGTATTATTAGTTGTTTGGGGTTAAGATTTTTGTAAACTTTTTTGGTAATAATTTATGCTTAATTAAGTTGTTTAGTTAAATGTATTATGTCATTGTCAAAAATAAACATTAGACATTTTTTAATTTTATAATATAAAAATATATTATAAAATATTAACGTTATTCGATAAATATAGTAATTTTTCCTAATTATTATAGGTTCATTAAGTCTACTTTTTATGCTTGAATAAAACTGTAAATTCCGAAAAAGTAATTTTATGGTATTTGTTATTTATAACTAAATCGTTTTCACAATTAAAGAATAAGATACTGTGAACTTTTTTTTTCCCATAAATATTAATTAAGATATTAATTTACTAAAGTAAAAGCTCACGGCATATGATAATATAAAAGCAACTTATATTTAAAAAAGAAAATATGTAAATAAATGATCTCACGTCAGAAAAAATTAAACATATTATATAAAAATGAATTTCATATAACAAAAGTACATGTTGAGGTATTTCAACCCATTCATCATCTTGTTGACGATTAATTTTTTTTTACAAACCATAAAGAATTTGATAGTAACATTAACACTTAAAAAAAGAAAAATAAAATTATACTTAGATTTCCCACAGGGCCAACTCTACTTAGAGTTTAATCAAAAGCCAATTCTGTGTCGTTAAAATAAAATTAATAAAATTGACGTATTCATTTTTTTTTATTCTATCCATAAAATCAAATAAACATTTCCAAATATAATAACTATGATATTATTATTTCACTTATTTGTGTATAAGCGAATTATAACCGTAGATTAGCATATTTAAAAAAACTTGCTAAAATTTCTCCATTAAATCCAAAAGTATCTGATTCAGATTCAGTCAAATCCAAAAGTAAAGCACAAAGCATGAACAGGAAAAGATAATATCGAGAGGAAGGGAGAAGAAAAAAAAAACTATATATATAATAATAATAATAATAATAATAATAATAATAATATTGAAGAATATAAAATAGCGCCAAAGCAACCAATAGTTGAAAAGTGAGAATTTTATTGATTGGTAGGGAAAGAGAGTGCAGTGTGGTTGTAGGGTTTTATTCTGTGCCACGCAAAAAACCCCTCTCTTTATTGAACCCACTGCTACACCTTGGTGCCACGCCATAACCCTCTCTTATTTTCACGCCACTGCTACACTCTGGGGGTCTTCGCTTCTACTTCTTATACTTTATTCACGTGAGTTTTGATCGAGGACATGGCGACTATTAGGGAATTTGGGGTGTCTGAATTCATGCAGGTTTGAATTTATTATACTCTGTTTCAATTAGCATCATATACTACACCCAAAGCCTTTGGCATGGATTTGTTTTTTAATCCTTTGGTGGTGTTGTAACATAAGTTGAATGGATTGTTTTCAAATTTGCATCTTTGGCATGGGTTTGTTTTGGTTTTTGGTTTCTCGTTGACCAATGGGTTCACTATTTTAACTTTGGCATATGAAGTGCATTTGTGTTTATGAGTTTTGCGGTTTTGCTTTCAGGGTACCTGTCGGCAAACTTTGTTTTTGGCGAAGAAGCCTCAGAGATTGAGAAGTCACATGCTTTGGGGCAGGATTTGGGATAGGAATTTGGCTCTGGGGTCAACTAGAAAAGCTTTGCCTCTAAAGTGCCAAGCTCAAGAAAAACCCAGAGCAGTGGTTTCTGGGGATGTGAGTAGTTCTGTAGAAGAGCCATCTGGCTTGGTTCAGAAGCCTGCTTTGGAAGTTTTTCATCTGTATCGTGTCCCGTTTATGCAAGAAAGTGCAGCTGCTCAGCTTCTGAAGGAAGCTCAAGTGAAAATCTCTAATCAGATTGTGGACCTGCAAACGGAGCAGTGTTATAATATTGGTGTTGGTTCAACACTTTCAAGCAGAAAGCTTTCGGTCCTTAAATGGCTTCTTCAAGAAACATTTGAGCCTGAGAATCTGGGAACTGAGAGCCTTCTTGAGAAAAAGAGAAAGGAGGGTTTGAATTCTGTTATAGTAGAGGTTGGCCCCAGGTTGTCATTTACCACAGCATGGTCTGCCAATGCCGTTGCAATTTGCCAAGCCTGTGGTTTGACAGAAGTGAACCGTTTGGAACGGTCAAGGAGGTACTTGCTGTACACCGCAGGTGAATTACAAGACAACCAAATCAATGAATTTGCATCTATGGTGCATGATAGGATGACTGAATGTGTTTATACTCAGAAGCTAACATCCTTTGAGACCAGTGTAATTCCAGAGGAAATTCGTTATATACCTGTCATGGAGAGGGGACGAAAGGCATTGGAAGAGATTAATCTGGAGATGGGTTTTGCCTTTGATGAACAGGATTTAGAATACTACACCAAGCTTTTCAGAGAAGACATCAAGCGTAATCCCACAAATGTAGAATTGTTTGACATTGCTCAGTCTAACAGTGAGCATAGCAGGCATTGGTTTTTTACTGGAAAGATTTTCATTGATGGACAGCCTATGAGTAGAACTCTTATGCAAATTGTGAAAAGTACTTTACAGGCAAATCCAAGTAACTCAGTTATTGGCTTTAAGGATAACTCAAGTGCTATCAAGGGTTTCCCCGTAAAGCAACTGCGACCAATTCAGCCTGGTTCAGCATGTCCATTAGAGATTGCAGCACGGGAGTTAGATATCTTGTTTACAGCTGAAACACATAATTTTCCGTGTGCCGTGGCACCTTATCCTGGTGCAGAGACAGGTGCAGGAGGTCGCATTAGGGACACACATGCAACTGGAAGGGGGTCCTTTGTCCAGGCAGCTACAGCTGGTTATTGTGTTGGCAATCTCAACACGCCAGGGCTTTATGCTCCATGGGAAGATCCATCCTTTACTTATCCATCAAATTTGGCATCACCTTTGCAGATCCTTATAGATTCTAGTAATGGTGCATCTGATTACGGGAACAAATTTGGAGAGCCATTGATCCAGGGATTTTGTAGAACTTTTGGAATGAGACTTCCTAGTGGGGAGAGGCGAGAATGGTTGAAGCCAATCATGTTTAGTGGAGGCATTGGGCAGATCGACCACAGTCACATATCAAAGGGAGAGGCTGACATTGGAATGTTGGTTGTTAAGATCGGAGGCCCTGCTTATCGTATTGGGATGGGAGGTGGAGCAGCCTCAAGCATGGTCAGCGGGCAGAATGATGCCGAGCTTGATTTTAATGCTGTGCAACGTGGGGATGCTGAGATGGCCCAAAAATTATATCGTCTTGTTCGTGCCTGTATTGAGATGGGGGATAAAAATCCAATTATCAGCATTCATGATCAGGGTGCTGGTGGAAACTGTAATGTTGTAAAGGAAATTATATATCCAAAGGGTGCTGAGATAGATGTTCGAGCAGTAGTGGTTGGTGATCATACAATGTCTATTCTAGAAATTTGGGGTGCTGAGTATCAGGAGCAAGATGCAATCTTGGTGAAGCCAGAAAGTCGTGAGCTCTTACAGTCAATCTGTAGCAGGGAAAAGGTTTCAATGGCTGTGATTGGAACTATTAGTGGTGATGGGCGTGTTGTGCTAGTTGATAGCCTAGCAACTCGGAAGTGTCTCTCTAATGGACTGCCTCCACCTCCCCCAGCTGTGGATCTTGAACTGGAAAAAGTTCTTGGTGACATGCCTCAGAAATATTTTGAATTCAACCGGCTTGCTTATGAACGGGAGCCACTTGATATTGCCCCTGGGATCACAGTGGTAGATTCTCTGAAGAGGGTATTGAGCTTACCATCTGTCTGTTCAAAACGCTTCTTAACAACAAAAGTGGACAGGTGTGTTACTGGTCTAGTGGCACAGCAGCAAACTGTTGGTCCTTTGCAGGTTACCCTTGCTGATGTTGCAGTTATAGCTCAAACTTTTACTGATGTGACTGGAGGTGCATGTGCCATTGGGGAACAACCAATCAAAGGTATGTTAGACCCTAAAGCAATGGCACGGTTGGCTGTTGGAGAAGCAGTCACAAATCTTGTATGGGCAAAGGTCACTTCCCTTTCTGATGTCAAGGCAAGTGGTAATTGGATGTATGCTGCCAAGCTTGATGGGGAAGGAGCTGCCATGTATGATGCTGCTATATCTTTGTCTGAAGCAATGATTGAACTTGGTATTGCTATTGATGGAGGGAAAGACAGCCTATCTATGGCAGCCCATGCTGGAGGTGAAGTGGTTAAGGCTCCTGGAAATCTTGTAATCAGCGCTTATGTAACTTGCACTGATATAACAAAAACAGTGACACCAGATTTAAAACTTGGGGATGATGGTATTTTGCTGCATATTGATTTGTCAAAGGGAAAGAGGCGGTTGGGTGGATCTGCTCTTGCCCAGGCATTTGACCAAGTTGGGGTTGAGTGTCCCGATCTTGATGATGTTCCTTACCTTAAAAAGGTCTTTGAAGGTGTTCAAGACCTTCTCGCTGATGAACTGATCTCTGCTGGTCATGATATCAGTGACGGTGGGTTGCTAGTTTGTGCCTTAGAGATGGCATTTGCGGGTAATCGTGGACTTGTTTTGGATTTGACATCACGAGGTAACAGCCTTCTCGAAACACTCTATGCGGAAGAGCTTGGGTTAGTTCTTGAGGTTAGCAAGAAAAATCTGGCCTCTGTAACGGATAAATTGAACAGTTTTGGAGTTTCAGCTGATATCATCGGTCAAGTGACTACCAATCCATCAATAGAAGTTAAGGTTGATGGGGTATCTTGTTTAAATGAAAAAACTAGTATCCTTAGGGACATGTGGGAAGAGACCAGCTTTGAGCTGGAAAAATTCCAAAGGTTGGCATCTTGTGTGGATGCGGAGAGAGAAGGACTGAAACGTCGATATGAGCCATCATGGAAACTGTCCTTTATACCTTCTTCGACTGATGAAAAGTATATGTATGCAGCTGTGAAACCTAAAGTGGCTGTGATTAGAGAAGAAGGGAGTAATGGGGACAGAGAAATGGCTGCAGCCTTTCATGCTGCAGGTTTTGAACCGTGGGATATTACTATGTCAGACCTTCTTGCTGGAACAATCTCTCTGCAAGAGTTCCGTGGAATTGTTTTTGTTGGTGGATTTAGCTATGCTGATGTGCTTGATTCTGCCAAAGGTTGGTCTGCTTGCATAAGATTCAATGAGCCCCTTTTAAAACAATTTCAAGAGTTTTACAAGCGTCCAGACACTTTCAGTCTAGGTGTATGCAATGGATGTCAGCTAATGGCTTTGTTGGGATGGATACCGGGTCCCCAAGTTGGTGGTGTGCATGGTGCTGGAGGTGACCTTTCACAACCTAGGTTCATTCACAACGAGTCAGGGCGGTTTGAATGTCGCTTTACAAGTGTAACGATAAAGGATTCTCCAGCTATAATGTTCAAAGGCATGGCAGGTAGTACATTGGGAGTATGGGCTGCTCACGGGGAAGGAAGAGCTTATTTCCCAGATGAAGGTGTGTTGGACCGTGTAGTTTACTCCGAGTTAGCTCCCGTTAGATACTGTGATGATGCTGGCAATCCAACAGAGATCTATCCTTTCAATGTGAATGGCTCTCCTTTAGGGGTAGCTGCTATTTGTTCTCCAGATGGGAGGCATCTTGCAATGATGCCTCATCCCGAGCGTTGCTTCTTAATGTGGCAGTTCCCATGGTATCCAAAGCAGTGGGATGTGGACAAGAAGGGGCCTAGTCCTTGGTTGCGCATGTTCCAGAATGCAAGAGAGTGGTGTTCCTGAGATCATCATCTATTTTTCTTTTCTTTCTTTTTTCCCCCCTAAAGCACTTTTCCTTGCTTTAGTTGATGCCACATCCATCTCTTACTTCAATAATTAATGGAAAGGTCTTATATTTTATACATTGGTAAAACTCTTGCATTTTACTTTATGTCGAACAAATATGTTAGATATTTTGATTTCTTGTGGAAAATTTAAGAATTTCCAGTTACCCTTCTATATTACTGTCTCGCCTAAGTTAGTTCCTTGTGATTTATGGCGTCAAGTATTACTCAATTCTATTCGGAAAATGACCAATATATTTGATATTGCCTGAGTTATAAAGTTTTACTTAAATTACATATTACTGTCCTTGAAAGATAAAGTAGTAATTTGGGGATAGTTTTATTGGTTGGTTAGTTCCTTTTGTTGAAATGATTGATAAGTGTAAATTGCATTGAAGTTTATACTAGCGAGTGAGTGATGTTTATATAATATACTTTCATCCGATTGTTGGATTGTGGAAACTTTTACTCAGAGAGAAAATTCAAAAATAAAAAATTTCATATTTCAGAGATGATTAGTTCAGTTTCAGACCAGAATACTCAACCATCCATTTCTTAGCAACTAACGTGGCTGTTAAAATGAATCAAGTCAATCGAAATAGTTTGAATATTTTAATAATCACTATGGTTGGCTAACATTTCATTAAATGGAAGTGAATTGGCCGTTAACTCATGATACACGCAATTATGAGCAGTATATGAGCTATTGATCCTTATGCAAAATGCAAGAAACCGATTACTGTACTTAAGAATATTTATATATCTATACTTGCACAACCATTTTAGTTATCAAACCTGACAATAATGTTTACAGGATCATTTGATAAACACTAAGCCATTCCCGACAGTTTATCTTTTTATGCAATCTTGCACAATTGAGATAAGCAGAATTTTTGTTACAACTCAGATATTATATTCCTAACTTATTATGCCATTACTATGCTTGAACCATGGATGATTCAGGAAGAACTCCTGGTCAATTCCAGACAAAAACTTCTCTGCTGAGTTGGGATCTAAATGGTCTTCCAACTCATTTGCATTAGGAAACTCTCTATTCATCTCTCTGTCCAAGGTATGGTAATCTGTTCCACTTCCTTCTTGAGAACATATATTAGCATAATGGTTTTGATGTGATTGCATCCTTGTGCCATTTTGTGTCAAAACATATTCTAACCCGTTGTTTGGGTTCACCAGTCCACTTGAACAATTATCAACACCAACTGTGGTGTTCTCCATTAGATTTCCTAGAATACCTATCTCCTCTTGCAAGCTAGCAACCTGCTCATAGAAAGGTTAAATTAAAGTTATATATATGAAGCACACTTTACATAATTATGGTGTGTGATATAGCAGGTTTCTGTGGTCAAAGAACCTGTTGCTGCAATGCATAGATATGAGCAACACAACCATATATAGGATCCTGCATACGAGCCAATGCTTCAAAAGATATGGTGATGGCAGCATCACTTCTATTCTGCATTGGAAGGTGTAACAAGAGCCTGGAGACATTACTAGCACCAAAAACCTTGTGCACTGCTGCAAAGGAGGTTGCAGCTTGATCATATGAGAAGTAAGGAGCAAATACACAATCTCTTGTGCACTTTCTCCGTAGGAACTTGCATGCTCCACATGAAGAGCCAAACCCTGTCATCAACTTTAGTTAATACTTGACTATTTCAAAATAGTTTGTCTAAGGTTAAGTAATGATTCAATGCTTATATAACCATCATCATAACTTGGGAGGGTAAGTTCTTTTTGTTGTTTCCAAAGGGCAGCTTCTTCAGCTTAAAGTATGTTGTTCTTTTGGGTCTCTTTTGTGGCCTACATTGTCATTGTCAACGTAACAAAGCTCATCTTTTATACCTTAAAAAGGGTTTCGTTCATGAAATTTCTTGTGTCATTGATTACCCAATCATCATCAGCATTTGTTGGGCTTAACAGTGATCGAGTGTAGAATTTGATCTGTTAATTGGTACTTTGACCGACCAGGCGTGCTTCATGAAAATATATTAATCAAATTGATACACAAATTAATATTAATGGAATTCAAAAAACTTGGAGAGGACATTGTTCTTGTATGACACACAGCTTTGCATATAAAAACAGAAAGACTTTAAATTTTATATTAATTTTAAAATCTTTGAACACTATTTTTATTAAAACTTGAACCTCGGGAGACCTCATATTTTGAATACACTAGAGCTTGCTGGAATATTTAAGCATTTGATTATTAAGTACACACCTTAATTAAACATAAAGAATATTATTTCACAATAATTTGTGACATAAAATTAATTATGAAACATATCAAAATAAGTTAAATGTTGTATTTTGATATGTTATACGGAAAAAATTATTAAAATAATAATAAAAAAGTTTATGAAAGTCTTAATTATTTTCATATGCTCTTTCAAACACTTAATAATGTGTTTTGGTACATGGCCTAATTAAAAATATGTTTACATACATATAACTTATTAAGTGTTTATTCAATAAATAAAATTTATTGAGATAAAATGAAAATAAATTATTTTAATAAGTTATACTAAGAAGTTTATTTAAATAAATTTTAAAAAATAGTTTGAGAGTTCTAAATCATTTTTATAAAATTTTAGAAATAGACTTCTAAATTCTTAAGTGGTTTGAGATCACTGCGTGTTTATAGTCTCAACTAACTATCATTTGATATGTGATGAAATTTTATTATTTTTATTAATTAATTATAAAAACATAATCACATGTTGCATAATAATTACCTGAAATTATAGAGATGTAGTGATCTCAAATCTTCCAATAATTTCTTCTTACTAGAAGTAGCTCTTGATAGTACTCATTTGCGAAAATCATGAGCATTACAAAAAACATGGATAGAAATAGTTTGTTAGATACTTTGTTTGAAATAGTTGATATATTCTAATGTTAGTGATTATATTATCCGAAACTTTTAAAATTTTAGGAACTAATTTTTGTAAATAATTTAATAGGTAAAAGTAATTAATGATTATATCTTCAAGAATTTAAATAATTTTTTTATTCTAATAATAAATAAAAGACTATATTATATTGTTAGTTTTTTAGTTTAAATTGTGTGTGATTTTGATTTTCAAATTTTAAAAATTAATCAAGTCCCTTTATTTTTAAATTAAAAAAAAAATTGGTCTCTCTTGATTTTTTTACCTAAAATTTTCATATTTTATTTTTATTCAATTTTTTTTATAAATTGGCTTTTTAAAATTATTTTTTATTTAAAACTTATCAATTAAAACATGATATTTCATCCAAAATTAAAAAAAAAACTCAAACCTATATCTTATAAAACTTCTGAATCTCTTATTTCTAAACTTTAAAAATTATTTTTTATTTAAAATTCATCCTAAACTTCCATCGGTTAAACTTCCACATATTTAAATGAAAGATAATAATATTAAATATTAATTTTTATTAATAACATTAAATCCTTAGAAATTGAAAATCATGTATAACTTATTTAGAAAAGGGAAGAGTTTGGCCGGTTTTCTTTTTTTGTTTGGTCAACATTTGGCCGGTTTGTGACATTATTCTTTGCGGCTTTTTGTCCGGACTTTGTTAATGGTCCATTAAACTCCATAATTTAATTGATTGTTTATTTTAATCCCTCCCTAATTTTGGTTTAGCTGTTGGCCACTTAATTATCTAGAGTGGTAAATTACACCACTCCTTTTTATTCCATAGGAACATCTTTGAAAGGAAAATAATATTTTTTATAAAAATTTAAATTAAGAGAATTATATATTATTTATCTGATTAATATAGAAATTTATATCTTTTATTCAATATATATATATATATATATATATATATATATATATATATATATATTACAATAAAAAATTTACCCCTAAGTGTTAGTAGCTGACTCTTTCATACTAAAGAGACTAATAATACAAAATTATGTAGTAATCAGCAACAGTTGCATGGATATATACTATATTCCAATGCTTTGGAAACAAATAAAGTTTATGCGAAAGGAGTTGGCAGACAATGTCATTTACATTAGCAAAACTTTCCGGTTTCTGTCATTTCAAAGCAGTAAACAATTTTTCTATATTTGACTTATGCAGATGCATGAGAAGAGAGACTTGTGAGGTGATGCCATTTCTTTTTTATGTAAAAATGGATGAAGAACTTTGGGCTTTCGAGTTTAACCATGAAACGTGATCATCATTTTCTTTTGAACCAGTCTATTTCAAATTTCATGCATTATGATTTTCGAATTCTTTTTCAGTCTTAATTCTAATAGTTTAGTTTTATTATTATAACAATGACCCTTGATTATTTTCCCTGATTTATTTTTAAAAAATAAATCATTTATGGTTGTTTGTTTTCATAAACTTGCTTGTGGCAGAAAATGTTCTTAACTTGTTTGGATTTTTAAGTACAAAAAATTAACAAGTTAATTCAAAAGAAATCATGGAAATCATTTTATTTATGCGACAGTGAGAATATTTTAAAAGAAAGTTACAAAATAGTAAGAAATTTGTATCAGAAAAAATATTACGTCAATCCCACAAGGATGATTTTCATCAAGTATTGACTTTTCTTTTACCTTTTCTTTCAAACTTATTGTTGAACCAATTACACACAAATATGTTATTTTGTCAAAAAATCTTACGAATCATATATCATTTTGTTTTTAAAATTGGAAAGAGATGGCAAAAAAATGCATAACTATCAGATATCAACACAGACAATTATTTAACCAAAAGAATATCCCGTTGAAAATACTAACATTTTCTTTAAGATAATTAAATCCCTTCATTGTGAATGATAAATATACTCGGTGCAGTCTCTCTCTCTCTCTAGATAGATACATGTTGCTCATAAAATATCTTACTCATAGCTTGACACGTGTATATCTTAAGGCACACAATTATTAGAAGAGACATAATATATATATTGAATTTCCTTGATTCCGATCTTCCTGCTTTAGATTAGATACCAAGTTTGTTCTGGTTGATTTGCAATATATATAAATTAATTTTTTGGACCCAAAAGTAAAAATTTTAAAGTTGCCAATATAAATAATTAAAATATCAATCTTAGATGTAACGTGTGTGTGTTGTTCTGAAGCTTAATACTGAAGAAACTAGTGAAGTACATGAATATCCTCAATTACAGAATGGGGAATATTAGATTAGGAGTTCGTAGAGCCACATGCAACGCGTAGAAGAGACAAAGAGAAAGACAGAAGAAGAGGCACAAAGAGAAGAAGGCGCAGTAGCAGAACAAGGAACTTGTTACTATCTTTGGGTCCATGGAACCCACGTTGGGGACCATGATGTAATGGAGGCTCACTCCCATTCACAAGATTATCTCAAACTCATCAAATTAATTTCTTGATTTTATATCATATAATTCATGTCCAATTTTTCTCCACCTGAAAATACTCGAATTGAACACAATTTTCATGACAACTGAAAATTGAATCTTTTGGCTAGTGTGGGGTCAATAGTACCCATCTATGCCTTGATTAAAATAGCACCTCAAATATTAGTGTAGTTGTCGTTAAAAATAATAAATTTTTATTGGTTAGGAAGAATGCTTAAATTACAATAACCAATGCTTGAATTTGAATGAGACGAAATGACACATCCTGGGCTTGTGTGGCAATAAAAATCTTCATAATACTGGTGGAGCTGGAAAAAGCTTCAATACCAACCTCAAGGTCTAGGCTTAAAAATGACCAAAAATCTTCAGGCACTGTAGGCTTGCCACGTGGCAACTGGGCAATCTTCATTGTGTGGATGTCAGAGTTTCTATGAGCAATCCTTCTGTGTAGACTGAATGAAGCAGCTCCTATAAGTCTCACCCTTTGGTCATAAGTTAGCTAGCACTGAATTTGCGTCTAGTAACTTCCCTTCTTTGAACCTCTAAACACAACACATCCATGGCTGCCTCCGTCTCCACTGTCGGAGCTGTCAACAGAACTCTTGTATGATGCTTTTCCACACTTTGTTACACTTTGCACTTAATTACTATTTCCCTTTAAGGTCTTGTTTGACACGCGTGAATGTTTTTATTTAACAACACGATACTTTCATACCCCTTATCATTATACCCTTGCTTTACGCCATTACTTTACTAGAGGGAGTAAGAGAGTGTAGTGGATGGGGTCATGAATATTTTCAACTTGTTTATATAGCTCACAGTGTGTCAGTAATTATACATTCCTAATCAAGTGATATATCTATTGAGTTTTATTCTTTCTATCATTAAAAAGTGGTACTATATATATTATCGTATATCATTGTTTTTATTTCTTATTTACAATATATATATAACTTGATGGTCCAAAACACATTTCCCATATAAATTCTATTTAACTTGGTGTGCATGTTTATATAGAAACGGTGCTTTGTCCTACAGTTCTATGAATGATATAACTAACATGTTGGATATTAGAATCCTTAAATGCTAAAGATGATAAATAATAGATAAAAAAGATACAAGAGAGAAAACGAATTGTAAGTATTGAATTTTGATTTAGTATGAAGAGATTGAAAGGGTAGGTGCTGTGATATTACAGTTGAGCTTGAATGGGTCTGGAAGTGGAGCTTCAGTTCCTAGTTCAGCTTTCTTTGGCAATAGCTTGAAGAAGACGAACTCAAGAGTCCCCAACAGCAAGGTTTCATGTGGAAGCTTCAGAATTGTGGCTGCAGAGAAAGAGATTGATGAAGACCAACAGACAGACAAAGACAGATGGAAGGGTTTGGCTTACGATGTTTCAGATGACCAGCAAGACATCACAAGGGGAAAGGGTATGGTTGATTCACTTTTCCAAGCTCCAATGGATTCTGGAACTCACTATGCTGTCATGAGTTCTTATGAGTACCTTAGCACTGGACTTCGCCAGTGAGTCACGCAAACTTCAAAACCATTTTGGTGTTTGCTTAATTTTTTTTTTATATGAAGCTGACAGTGATGATGCATGGTGTTCAATTTAGGTACGACTTGGACAACAACGTAGATGGACTTTACATTGCTCCAGCTTTTATGGACAAGCTTGTTGTTCACATCACCAAGAACTTCTTGTCCTTGCCCAACATCAAGGCATGCAGCTAGAAACATGATGTCTGCATTAGACTTCAGCAAAATTATGAGACACATTGAAATATTCAACATTTTCCTTATATTTTTACAGGTTCCTCTCATTCTTGGTATCTGGGGAGGCAAAGGACAAGGAAAATCTTTCCAATGTGAGCTTGTCTTTGCCAAGATGGGAATTAAGTGAGTACTTGCTATACTAACCCCTCCTTAATGAATTCCATTCACGTTTCAATAAAGATTTCAATTATACTAGCAAGTATCCTATGGCTTATATAGCTACTAATCAATAAATGTAAAATGTAAAATGTAAAAATAAAATATTTAAAAGAACATGCTCTGTTTTTAATATCTGATAATATATCATATTTTGATTTATAGCATTCTTATTTTTTTTTTTAATTTTGCTCTTACTAATTTAGTTATACAAAAAAACTGATGTGACACAAAATTAATTTATGAAAATATTGAATTTTGTCATATTATTTTTTAAAAGTTATTAGGTAACAAAATTAATAAATTTTTAAAATTTTAAAATCTAAAAAAGAGATCAAAATATAATCTACTTTAGAAATATAAGAACATATTTAGTGCACAACGAATTTCTTTCACCTGTTTGAACATAGATAGATATGAATATATTGAACCACACAACAACAAAAAATCCAACACCCTAACAACTTAGAACTTTGAACATTACAGCCCCATCATGATGAGTGCGGGAGAGCTGGAAAGTGGAAATGCAGGAGAGCCAGCAAAACTGATCAGACAAAGATACCGTGAAGCTGCTGATATAATAAAGAAGGGAAAGATGTGTTGTCTCTTCATCAATGATCTTGATGCAGGAGCTGGTCGTCTTGGTGGAACCACACAATACACTGTGAACAACCAAATGGTGAATGCCACTCTCATGAACATTGCTGATAACCCCACAAATGTGCAACTTCCTGGTATGTACAACAAGGAAGATAACCCTCGTGTGCCCATCATTGTTACTGGTAATGATTTCTCAACATTGTATGCTCCTCTCATCCGTGATGGCCGTATGGAGAAGTTCTACTGGGCACCAACTAGGGATGACCGCATTGGTGTCTGCAAGGGTATTTTCCGCACTGATGGTGTAGCTGACCAAGACATTGTCACACTTGTTGACACTTTCCCTGGCCAATCTATTGGTAAGAAGCTTCATAGATAGTTAGAAATTGAAATATCACAACCATTTAAGATATCATTTGGTAGATGTGTCAAAATAGGACCAAACATATCATATGAATTTATTTTATGTTTGATGATGTACTTCAAATGTAGAATGTGAGGTCAAGAAATGGTTATTAGTTATAACTTTTGCATTGAATTTATTTTACAAGATTTTTATCACGTTTCCAAACACCCACTGGATACTAATACTATCCCCTTTCATGTACTACTGCAGATTTCTTTGGAGCACTGAGGGCTAGAGTATATGATGATGAAGTAAGGAAGTGGGTATCTGGAGTTGGTGTTGACGGTGTTGGGAAAAAGCTTGTGAATTCAAAGGAAGGGCCTCCCACCTTTGAGCAACCCAAGATGAGCTTGGAAAAGCTCTTGCAATATGGTAACATGCTTGTCCAAGAACAAGAGAATGTGAAGAGAGTCCAATTGGCAGACAAGTATTTGAACGAGGCTGCTCTTGGTGATGCTAACCAAGATGCTATTAAAAGTGGAACTTTCTACAGTAAGACCTCTTAACTTTGAGGCCTTCATTGGAGGTATATGCATCTACCTTATATATGTTCCTCCAACTAAAACAATTATTTCTGTGCAGGCAAAGCAACCTAGCAAGTAAATATTTCTGTTCCTAAAGGTGGTACTAATCCGAATACCTTCAAACTTTGATCCAAAAGCCAGAAGTTGTGATGACACCTGCTTAATTACATCAGTCTTACTCAATGTGTTAGGTGGTGCTAAGTTTGAGATACTTTTACTGTATTTTTCATATTGGACTATCTTCCTCTATAATTTTGAGTTATAGTGTGCACTTAAATTGATTATGGTGCCTTTTTCTTTTTTAGTATAATCTTGAATTTTAAAATTTAATTGTTTGTTTGACGTAAACATGTTAATACCTGTTCAGCCATTTTAGCTTCGTTTCTAAGTGCTAGGTGACTAAAGAACTTGATGAGAAAGGTCACGTTCAAAGCTCAATAATGAATGACAATCGAACATCATATATATCATGAACATCAAATGGCATTCATAAAGGAAAGAAGGAAGAGTTGTTCTATATTATCCCTTGAATATCCTAGGCTTCCAAATCTATTACTAAATTTGTAGTGTCCTTTTCAAATATGATGCACGGAGATCATGATTACCAAATATCATTACTAAAATGAGAATATCACTGTCGAAAAGAATCGTTTGAAAAATACACACAATTGACATTTAAGTAAGTTAATGGCAAATCATGTTGGGGGGGGGGGGGGGGGAATCAAAATCCCTTAAATAAGATTTTTGAATTGACAAACTTGAAGAAGTAAAATGTAACACTAAAAAATAACAAAACTAGGACCAGAGAATGAACTGGTTAAAACAGGAAACAAATTAGCTAAGAATTAAAAATTAGTTAAAGAAGGGACAAGAAAATATTGAGCGCGTGAAAAAATATATATTGAGAGAAAGTTAATTGGGCATAAAACCATTCTTGATTTTATTCACTCAACCCTCATATAACGTAAGACTTATGTTCGTTCTTTCTTTGTTTTTTTTCCTGTTCAAGTGTTCGTGAATTTAGTTAATTGGATAGACAATGTTGGGCAAAATCTGTAACTATTGTTTTTGGTAAAGGAAAACTAATTGACCCATTGTGGAGTTTTTGTTTGGTCCATGACCCATTGTGCCATAATGTGATTCTTCTCTTCAACATGTAAAATGTAAAATTGGCCCAAAAGTTTGAATTGAATGAACCTGACCAAAAAGCTAAGAAAAGCATAATGCTTACATCATGCAAATGTAGATGACTAAGTATGAAGAAGCTGAATAATTTGTGAGTAACTTTATCAATCAAGTAATGAGCACAATAGATATTAGGTTGTTACATTAAGACAACAACCATCTTATGATAAACATGAATTGCCAAAACCTATCCAACATGATTGATTGTGAGCTAAAATTGTTGTACAAATCCACGTTCAGCAAAGACCAATTATCACTACCTTCTTCGTCATATTTTAATTGAATTGGTGTTTGAATTGTATACTTATGAGCTTGTACAAGTAGATGAAGAGTTTGACTCATGTCAATATGCATGCTTACCAACTTTAGGTCTATATTTTATTAAAAATGCAAAGATTCTCCATAATTGTAGCTTGAAAATAAGAATAGGATGACTATACTTATGTTTTTTTGTATTTTTCTTTATTTTTTTAGAATATTAATTTATTTTCTTTTTCTGTGTAAGAGTTTTGAGTACTTACTCGTTTTAATAATATTTGTCTGCCTATAAAAAAAATTGTAGCTTAAAAATTCAGGAAGAAAAAAATAACTCAAAGTCAAAGGTTGCAATTAGAAAAACTCAAATCACTCTATCTTACGCATTGAAATGATTCGTAGTTAATTATTTGATTCGGTGAGTCATTAAGCAAATAAAGAAGATGATTAGGAAAAATATCTTATATGACATAAAAAATATGAAGCCCATTGTTAACACATAATACTCTTAAAATCTTTGGTCTGTGAGCTCACCGTTTTATGCTGTCTTTATTAATTAGTTCACTAGTACTAAGATACTTTTAAAGTTAGGATTTTGCTCATAAGTAATCTAAGAATATTTATTAAAAAATAAAAATATTAAAAATGACATTAAGATATATTAAAATTATTTTTTAAATATTAATAATATTTTTTGACAATTTTTTATATTTTATTTCTTAATCAATACTTTAAAAACATTGATTAACACTTACTTTGAAGCTATACTTAAATTTACTTTATACTTTTTTTTTCATAAGCTTGAGATTATTTTATGTTTTTTTTAATATTCTATTCCAGAATGAAGACTTGACAAGAGCTTGAATAAACACTTATATAGTGTTATTTATAAATAACTTATTAATAAAATACTATATAGAGATGTAATATACAAATTAGACATTCTTATTTTTTATCTAATTATTAAATTTTCAAGATAATAAATTCGTGATATAACGTTAACCATTATAACTAATTCATTTCTTATTATCAACATTCTTCTAACAAAACGTTGGAGTTTCAAAATAAAATAAATAGACTTATGTCATTGTGCACATAATAATTTAAACTTTTAGTCTCAAATTGTTCAATAAAATTAAGACATGTCATTGTTTTTGTCTATTAACTTAATCTATTGTATCAAAATTTAAATAACTAAACTTAAGTAATATATAATAATTAAAAAAGCATAAAAAATTAAAATATAAGATAGTTGATGTAAAAAATATGTATGTACTGTATTTCTTACTACAAAGAAAAGTAAATTGAAAGAGAACTCCAGATTAAATACATAAAAAAAATGATAACCACAATCTTTTAAAAGAAAATGTGAATATATATAATGTTGACCTATTTATAGTTTTCTACCTCAAATCCAACATGTATATGTCACCTAAAAGTCGGTTTTCCATTTTGACAAGGTAATCAAAATTCCTGTATATTTCAAAAGCCACACTTATCCGCACTGTATGTTATTTTACCTACATATTCAGACATTGATTGTCACCCAAAACTTAAGACAAGCCATGAAAAATGATTCAGCCATCTTTGCTCAGTTGATGCTGACTTCCAATAATTAAACTATATTATCCGAAACCCTTGACTAACAATATTATTAAGTTAATAAACTTTCCATTACAAGCCAGTATAACTTGAATTGAAATATATGTATAATAATAAGTCAGCACAATAAGTGTTTATACATCAACATTAAATATCAATATATATTATCGAAATAAAACTTCAACTTTAATTAAATAACAACACCAAAACTGAATTCGACCTAAGTTTTGTTTAAATAATGACTCTATAACATCACATTCTATATCCATATTCAGCCATGCAATCCTCCATGTAAACAGAGACTGCATCCCAAGAAGTATACAGGGGACAACAAATTTTAAGGGAAAGAAGACAACAGATCAAGATAGCAACACTTTTAAACAAATAAAATATTTTAATAATAATAAAAATAATGAGCTGTCCTAACCCTGACTTTGGTGGTTTAGCTGACGCATAAATAAATGAAGTGGGACCGATTGAGATACATAATGGTAAGGCACTCTTCAGTCACAATCTAAACACTAAACACACAGGAATCAAGCAAACGCATAACCCCCACGTTTCCACGGACCAGAAGGCACTATTTCTGTTCCGCTTGCTCTTGATCCATACAAACAAAGATAAGAGGGTTCTACTCTATCACATTCACTTCCACTGCACTTGCCTCAAGTTCAACTCTGTCATGGCCAAAACACTCGTGCTTTGTCTCTATGTTCTGATCCTTTTAGCCTCAAACCATGTAAAGTCTCAACATGAAGAGCTTTTCTTCAACGGATTTGATGGTGCTGCCACCAACATAAGCTTAAACGGAGGAGCAGTGATTGAGCACAAGGGCTTACTTCGCCTAACAAACGTCACTAGCAGAGTAATTGGGCATGCGTTTTATTCAACCCCGATAAAGTTCAAGAGCAAGAACTCTTCCACCGAGGCCAAAGTTTTCTCCTTTTCCACCGCTTTTGCCTTTTCAATCATCCCCCAGTACCCAAAACTCGGTGGCCATGGATTTGCCTTCATCATTTCTCCCTCCAACGTGCTTCAAGGCGCGGATCCTAGCCAATACTTGGGCCTCCTCAACCCAAACAACGTTGGCAACTTCTCAAACCACCTCTTCGCAGTGGAGTTCGACACTGTCCAAGATTTCGAATTCCAAGACATCAATGACAACCATGTAGCCATCGACCTCAACAACTTGGTTTCCAACAAATCAGTTGACGCTGCTTTTTTCACTGATGGGTCAAAGCAAAACCTTAATTTGAAGAGTGGCAAGGTGATTCAAGCATGGGTTGACTATGATTCCTCAAAGAATCAATTAGAAGTTAGACTCTCCCCAACTTCTTCAAAACCCACTTCTCCAATCTTGTCATACCAAGTAGATCTCTCCCCAATTCTCATAGATTCTATGTATGTTGGTTTTTCTTCTTCAACAGGGTTGCTTGCTAGCTCCCACTATATCTTGGGTTGGAGCTTCAAAATAAACGGAGAGGCCAAAACCCTTTCTTTGAAAAACCTCCCTTCACTCTCTACGTCTAACAAAACACACAAACCCTTAATCTTAGGACTCTCCCTTTCCGCTTTTATTTTAATAATTGCCACAATTGCTTTGGCATTTTATCTCTGTAGAAACATTAAAAATGCCGAAGTGATCGAGGCTTGGGAGCTAGATGTTGGTCCACACAGGTTCACATACAAAGAACTGAATATAGCCACGAGAGGGTTCAAAGACAAGAATCTTCTTGGGTTTGGAGGGTTCGGTAGAGTTTACAAAGGGGTGCTCCCAAACTCCAACACCGAAATCGCCGTGAAGCGAATCTCCCACGAATCAAAACAAGGTATGCAAGAGTTTTTCTCGGAAATCTCAACCATTGGAAGGCTTCGACACAGAAACCTCGTACAGTTACTAGGTTGGTGTCGGAAACACAACGACCTTATTATAGTCTACGATTTCATGCAAAACGGAAGCTTGGACAAGTACCTATTCGACCCACCAAGAGGAACATTAGCATTAACGTGGGAACAAAGGTTTAAGATCATAAAAGGGGTTGCTTCGGGGCTTGTTTATTTACACGAAGAATGGGAACAAACGGTGATTCACAGAGACGTCAAAGCAGGGAACGTTCTTTTAGACGGTGAAATGAATGGAAGATTGGGTGATTTCGGTTTGGCGAAGCTTTACGAGCATGGTTCGAAGGCCAACACAACGAGGGTGGTGGGAACATTGGGGTACCTTGCACCTGAGCTCACACGAACGGGGAAACCCTCGACGAGTTCCGATGTGTTTGCTTTTGGGGCGTTGTTGTTGGAAGTGGCGTGTGGGAGAAGACCCATTGAGGCCAAGGCGTTGCCGGAGGAGTTGGTGTTGGTGGAATGGGTGTGGGAGCGGTGGCGAGTGGGGGCGGTGTTGGAGGTGATCGATCCTAAGTTGGATGGGGTTTTTGATGAGATGGAGGCGTTGTTGGTGCTGAAGTTGGGTTTGTTGTGTTCCGATGAGTCGCCGGACAATAGGCCTAGTATGAGGCAGGTTTTGAGGTACTTGGAGGGGGAGGTGGTGTTACCGCCGGTGGAGGTGAAAAAGGGTGGCGTCGGTGGTGGTGGTGGTGGAGCTGGTGGGTTTGGGGATTTGGTGCGTTCGTATACGTCGTCGTTTTTTGAGAGGGCAAATACGTGGTCGTCGACCGGTGATGACGTGGAGGGTGGCTCTGCATCATCTATTTCACTTTCCGGTGGCCGGTAGTTGATTGGGGTGACAAGGCTACACTAGATTCTCTGTTTCTGTCCTACTTTTTTTTGTCTCTTTTTATTTCTATATTTGGATTTTGGATATTTTTTAATTTAATGTTGTTTTCACATGTCAGCACTAAAATAGGGATGAGAGAGTGCACTTTCTTTGGATTTAAGGGACATATAGCAATAATTTAAATTGAATGAATGACATAAAATTGAAATATTAACGAAATTCGTGTGATTCAATGGACTGAAGCAGAAATAAAAATAAATTAAAAATTATTTATATTATTTTACTCATGTAATGACTTAAATAAATATTCTGGAGCTTTATATTTATATATTTCTGTTCTATGCAATTTATACTGGATAAAAAAATTTATAATAACCTTTTACAACAAATTATACCATTTAATATTATTATTAATATATTAAATTTTACAATTTTTAATAAAAAATTATTTGTATAGTATTTTATTATGTGTAACAGTTTAAAAGAATTCGACAAAATAATAATAGCAGCTTACTATTTTGATACTTGCATACTATTGTATAAAAATATTTTATTAAGGGCAAAAATAGAAACTAAATGTTACCTTTGTTTATTTTTATTTTACACCATTTTCCTCAGGTAAGTTTTGGACTACGACTCATTGAAATATATTTAATTTTATGTCTAATTTTATTTTTTTTCAAATGAATGAAATGATTAAACTTTTATTAATTTTAATTCTCTCTACTTTAATAAAAAAAATTAAATGTATTTTGGGTATAATATATTATTGCTTTAATAAATTATTATTTTTTTCTAATTTTATTTCTCAAATCATGTATTTTAATTTTTTTATAATTTAAATATCTTTTTAATACATATAATGTTACGCCTAATAAAAATTTATATATAATATTTTTATTAAAAATCATACAAATTTACTGTATTTAATTTCTTATTATGTGTAGTTTTACACAAGTTAAAAAAATTCCTTTTAAAAAATGTTTTGCTCATTCTCATTAACATGATTTCAAAAAAGTAATATGTGATAAAAAAAAATATTATGTAATAATATTTAAATTAATCATGACATCATTTAATAATAATTAAGAAAAATTAATGTTAAAAATATAACAAATAAAAAAATAACTTTGTGAGAATAAAATCAAATTTTGATATATTTTGATGAAGTAAAAATATATTTAACTCTTTATTTTATTTATTTTGTCTAATTTATAAAAAAAAAGTGTATCAATTTATTGTGAAATTAGTGTTTGTCTTTAATTATTTTCAAATTATTTAATTTGATTTATTTAGCGTTTAAAAAATTTTAGTTATTTAATTAAACATAGTTTAAATGACAAGGAATTTTTTTTCTCTTTAAGTAATCTGGAATTCAATTGCTAGTGTAAATAAAAAAGTAAGGTATTGGAACAGTACGCAGCGAGTGTCAAACAGAACAACTACACAGGCTCAATTTTCATTTTAGAGGTGCTTAGAAGAAGTTTATAAAACAAATTTATATTTTAAATTTTTTGAATAAATCTTCTAATTAAAATTATATTATAAACTTTTATGTAATAAATTTTATTAAATAAATATTCGGTTAAACTCTTTTCCTAGCCGCATGTTTAAAGGGAAATGTATAAATGAGACAAGGATGGACTTTGCTTGTGGGCACTACCCATGTTTTTAAATTTTGTTTTTCTTGATGAAGTAGGAAGATTGATTTTATCTTTTAAGAGAAATTGTTTACTATTTTATAAAATAAGTATTAAATAAAATATTCATTTATTATTGTGTTGAAAAATGAAAATATAAAATTCATTAAATACTTTTTTCATTTAATAATTAGGAAGATTTGTAGGAATAAAGAGTAAGATAATTTAGAATTATTCATTTAAAAAGGATGACTTTATTCTAATGTATGTGGGCTTCATGAAACATTCAATGCAAATTAATGTACTAAGAAAATTAATTGCCAAGGAAGAGGGAAATCAATTTCAGACTTCAATTTCTCCAAAAATCATCTTCATTCGTAATTCTGTAAACGCTGGCAGTTTCAAAAATTTTTGTCTGTCAAATTTAGATAACTCACTGATACATTTTTGCACAGAGATTTATGAAGAAATGCTTCTTTTTTTCTTTCATTTAAAAAGTAACGAGATTGCATGAAATTAACTCACTTGAATTTTAAAATTGTCCTCTAGTGATCATGTTAAAATCTGATTTATTTTCCTTTTAAAATATTTATCTAGTAATATTATATCAATATTCTAAACAAATTTATATACCAAGAAACATTTTGTACAAAATTTCAATGTCCATGTTTTTTTAATGAGCAATGTGTATTATATATCTTAGAGAAAGGTGTCATTGTCTTTGTTAATGGCCAAACGTAGTGCGTTTTTCTTGTCAAACTGGCAATGCAAGAAGGAAGAAGAATAGACTGTCACTTGTGTCTGCAACTCTGCATTGCCATCAACAATATCTCCGCGCACTCGAGCACATGTTTGAAATGCCCTAAAACTAGTCTATTTTTTGTTTAATTCTCTTACATGATCATAAGAGTAATTCCTTTTGCGAAATAAAAATGAACATATCAAACGTAAGTTAATCAATTTATTAAAATGTCAAAATAATTTTAAAAAGTGATCAATTTGCAACATCAATACTTTAATTTTTAAAAAAATGTTAAAAAATTGTATTGTATTGCTTGGCATTTCTCACCACCGCGTTAGAAGATTTCTCACTTACACATGCATAGCACACCGACTCAAAAAGCACTTTAAAAAAATCTTGATGCATGTCATGTCGTGTCATGTCAGCTACTAGACTACCACCATGTTACATGAGAATCTCCCATAATGACCATAAAAAGTAAATCCATACAGGAAAATCAGCGATGCATCCACTTGAACAATTGGGATAATCTATTCTAGAAATTCTAAGAGTTAGCCAAAAATGAAAAATTAAAGCTTCTAATTGGTCCCTTTCCTTATCAACTTATTTTCAGTTAGTTTGCAAGATCTGTACACTCTACTAGTGCAAGAAATAGAGAAAAATTAATAAATAGAATACAGGTAACTGTACAAGAATATTGCAATCCATGCCTGTTCATATATCTAACAATGATTTGGATGCCCCTCACTTGTCCAACCAGCACCTCAACAGTTTCCTTCAATGAATTTCCAAGATTAATTTTCACCAATCAGCACTTGGGAAACCATGGAAACAAGTGGATATTACACTTTTTTCTGCATTGGACAATAATGTGGAAATCTGTCAGCAGACTCAGCACAGATTCCACACGCAAAAGCATGGTTCTTCTGATCATTCACTAATGGTTTACCAACTTGTCTCCAGTATTTTCATCCTCGCTATCTTTCACAAAACTGAAAATCTCATGATCATCAAACCCTACAATCAGATCAAAACATGTTAATCAATGTCATTTTCAACTGTACAGTTACCCATTTAAGTACAAGCAGTTTACCTTCACCCAATTCTTCTGCTTCATCATTTAAAGGCCTTAACAGCATTGTGTTAACAGAAGATGGATCCAGTGCCATCCAATCTGAGTTCCCATACTCTTCTAAGTACAAATCCCTTGGCCCAATCCAGTCTTCAACGTTACTAATGCTGTCAAATGATAGGGGGTCACTGGAATCTTGTTCTTTACTCATTAACCTGAAAGAAAATCAAACAAACACAATATAATTTCCCTTCAACTACCAACGGGATTAAAGAAATCTACCAATATACAACAGTTCGAACTCACATTTGTCTTAATCGTAAGTTGCAGTGAACAAAGATAAGATCAGTAAGATGCTGGCGCTCTATATAATTCCTTGTGTTGATTATTTGTTCAAAAGGAATCTGGTTTCTCTTGCAGGACATCACACTGGATGTTTGGCTGAGAATACGAATTGCTAAACGTGACAAGTTAGGGCAGCCTCCTCCATATGTTGACCACCATTCAGCTGGAAAAAAATAGCATATATGTAAGTGAAAAAGGGCAATTTGACAAATGGTCATGAGAGAAATGAAATGGTAAAATGGATGACTTATGTGATGCAAATTTAAATTCTCATGCATTCAAGTTACATATATAGAACCTAACTGTTATTTGGGTAACTTCAGACAGGTCAAAACCCATCTGTGCATGATTTGAAAAGAATTATGCTGACAGGGATTCTAAATCTACAAGTAACTTGTGCAGACATTCAGACAAAGAAAATAACAACTTCAACTTCAACTAGTACAGCATTTGGTCATCACGCCAAAGCATAAAGCCTTTACACAAGTCAATCTTTTTCCTCTTTTCAGTTTATCAGTTTTGACACATGCACTCCCATACTATTAACTATTTTTATACTGTGCATAGATTCTAATTTTTTTGTTTCAGTTAAGTCACTTAAAGTTAGGAAAGTTAAATCACAACACAGCAACAGAATATACTAATGTAATTAATATTAACTAAGAGAATGGGGTCATTGGCTTCTTACAAGGAAGCAGATTATCTCTAGCTCTGACTGCCATCTTTCTCCCAAAGTCTCCTGCAGCAGACTTGTATAAGTTTATCTCTTTTATAATTTTGTCTTGGACTCTTGTATCTGGTACTAATCTCTCTATGCAATCAAACATCCCTGAGAGAATCTCGCTGTGCATATCCCCTTGAATACTATAGAAGAACTTAGGATTAAGGTAGAAGCCTGCAGCATGAAGAGGATGATGCCACAGCCTTTCCCATCTATGATGTATAATACTCCAGTACACCATATAATCCTCCCTCTTCACAAGTGCTTTCTTAATTGCTTCTTTTGCCCGGTACATTCCAGCATAAACGTACCCTATTGCAGGTCTCATCTCACTACCAGCTATTCTCTGAACTTTTAAGAGAGGAGCTGTTAGACGAACTATCATGTCACATGAGGACCAAAATGTTTGATTGCTTAGGCAATCTAACATTTCGAGACCTGCTGGTTTCTTTGAAAATGGGCAATCCACCCACTCCTGAGAAGTGACCAAGGCCTGCAAATTGTGTTTAAGATCAACCATCCTCTTCAATGTGGTAAAATTTGTTGCAAAGCGTGAGAAAGAGGGATCCACAATATCATTCCCTAAGGTATACCTTTTAACCATATTCAAAATTGCACTATAATTGTAGACAAATCTTGTTATAGATTTAGCTTGTTCAATCACTGCACTAATCCAGTCAAGATTTCCAAAATCTTTAAGTATCAAATCAATGTAGTGAGCTGCAGAAGGGCTCCAATAAAGGGTAGGAAAAGTATCAGTCAACCGTCTCCCAGCAATCGCATATAGTTCTTCCCCTGATGTAATCACTTGCAGTACATGCCCAACTCCAACTTCTTCTACTACTTGTTTTATCAACTCATACAGAAATTCTGCAGATGTTGAAATCTCAGTTGCATCCAAGGATTTCAAAAAGACTATGCCTTCAGGACAATATGCCAAAAAACTTATCAGTATTCTTCCTGTTTCTGATGTCCATTGGTCAACCAAAATGGAACAGCCAGTCCTCCCCCAAGTCATCTTGCATCTATCTATATCATTCTTCACTTCCTCCACAGAGTTTTTCAGGATCCAACCCCGAAGTTCGTGGTGTGAGGGCCGTTCAAAACCCGGCCCCCTCGAAGCAATAGCGTCAACCATTTGCTGAAAATAGATTGAGTTCACAGCATCAAAAGGTGCACCAATATCATACAAAAACCTACCAATTGCCATATGAATGTGATTGTCCATCTTCTTGGAGAACAAGGCATTCTTCTCCACACCAACAACACCCTCAGAGTTTGCATAAACTGGTGCAGCATTCTTGCTGGCTCTTATCTTCTTCCTTCTTTCTATATTTTTACTCATTCCTTCACCATGATTCACTAGCAAACTTGAATTGTGCTCCACTGAATTGTGCACTCCAATAGCCTGAAGCCCCTGATTCACATCCACCTGATTAGCCACAGGGTTGACAACAGTAGCCAAAGGATTAACATTCATAATCTCCTCCTCAATTTTCTGCTTCTTCCTCTTTTTCACCACAACCCCATCCAAGCTCTGCTGCATATGAAGCCTAACATCATAAGGAACACGGCTACAAGTGGAAGCATTCCCTTTCTGACAAGCAAGGTGTTCCTTAATCCTATGAATCCCACCACCTTTGAACATCTTGAGACAATATATGCACTTAAGCTGCACCTTGTCCCCATTCTTAAACATCTGAACATGCTTCCATGCCGGGTCATGTTTCTGAGAAGTGATTGGCACTGGTTCCAGATTCGAACCCATATTTCCTATAATAAAATCAACCACTGAGGAGATTAATAATGACATAACAACCCTGTTATTAACTCGCTAGTGTAACTACAACATAAACAACCACTTTCTCATGAACCCAAGAGCCAAATTGTAACAAAGATTCAACCTTTTTTAAAAATTCAAATGTTCAAAGCTTCAGGGTATGGTTAAGGAACAAAAAAAAAAAAAAAACTGAAGAAAAGGAATAGAGAAACCAGTGCATACCCAGGTTGAGGAAACGCTTTTTTTTTTTTTTTTTTTTTATTGTTAAGGGTGAAGAGAGTGATTAGGGAGAGAGAACGAACCGGAGAGAACCGTGGAGAAGCAACTGGATGGACCGGTTAGGGCAGAGAGAGATGGATCCGGTTGAGTTGGGAATGGATCCGGTTTCGGCGGTCAAAGAGGCCAGCCGGACCGGTTTGTTTTGTCATAACAAGTGGATAAACCGATATTTGTGCCGATTCTCTGCTCCGGAGCCGAACTCTGATAATACATTTTTATTTTTTTTATTATTATTATTAAATTAAATATATAGTATTATGTACTTGTTACAAATCAAATCAAATGTCAAGTACAATTTCCAAATGAATTAACACCAGCCCAAGTTTTTTTGATTGATTCTACTTCTTAGAACCCTTTGCCTCAGTTTCAATTTTCAGACCCTTAATTAACTTCAATACTCTGGACGTTTATTAGATAAGATAAAAGAATAAAATAAAATAAATTTATTTATTTAGTATAATTTATAGTTTGTAGCAGAATTAGATTTAAAATAAATAAAATATAAAGTAATATTACTTAATTTATATAAGTTTATCTATCTTGTGCAAACTTGTACGGATTAAGCCTAATTAATTATCTAGTTTTCTCTCTCTTATTTATTATCTCTCTCATTAATTATGCTTTTAACCAAATAGAAAAAGAGACTATTAAAAATTGAAAGAAATTATAAATAAAAAAGTGCATAATTAATTATTATAAATTTAATTAAAATACATAATAGATAAATCAATTTATTATTAGGAGTTACAATGAGTTTTAGTATTATAAATAAAATTTGCTTGAAGTCATACTATATTTTTATGATAACTAATTATAATTAGGTTTTGACTTTTTGGTACATATCTATCTTTAAATTATTTGAATAAATATAAATTAAAAATTTTAAATGATTAACCTCTTTATATAAAAATTTTGAATTGTAATATTTAAGTCAGAATATTTTTAAAAATTATATTAAACAGAAATATTTTTTAAAAATTAATTCTTTTTTATCAAGCTATATACTTTTCATGTGTTTAATATTTAACTTTTTAATTTAATTTAAATTTAAATTTTGAATTCAAAATTTGTTACAGTTTATTTTTTAATTATAAAAATTATCTCTTTATTCTTATTCAATATAATAAATTATAAATTATTAATAATTAAAATATTTACTTTTTAAATTTATGACATTTAAAATACCAATATCTAATTTTTGTTATACAAATATTAATTGTATAATTAATTATGAAGTAAGGTAGTGGGAAAACGGTTGAAAGGGTTCCCAGTTTGTGATTTAGCAAACGGTTTTGTAGAAAATGGCTAAAAAGAAGGAACCTTATTCACCTTCCCTTTCCTCTTCTCCATAGCACCATCAGTTAATCACGAGACACTTTCACAATTAGGGAAAGAATTGAAAAGCACAAACGGTTTCACATTTCAAAACACAATATGCCCACTTCCATACATCACTTCATTGTTTTCTACTTCCTAGTCTCCATCTCCCTCACAGGTACTCTTCTTCATTACTTACTTGAACATCATTACATTAGATTACATTATGCCTCCTCCTTTTTGTTTATATTCTATTCTATCTTTGTAGTTGATATTCTTCCATCTAGCAGCTACAAATGTTAAAAAAACAATAATTGTGTTTATTGACTAAAACTTTCACCGTAGTTAGTTCATGATTATATGTATCAAGCACTTATGACTTAAAATTGCATATTTGATTTAGCTTATTTTTAAAAAATAATTTTTTTTTTGTGCTTTAACAAAGCTTTAATATGAAAAATAAAATAAAAATTAATTATTAAGAGAAGGTGTGTTATTCAATCTTCATCCAATGACTCACATTAAACTACATCAAATTGATATTAATACAAAGTATTAAGCTCCTTTTGAAAATCAGGCAAAATGGATTGCTATAGAATCTAAAATAAACCACTACCATTGAACTTGGTAAAACATGCACAAAATACTGTTATGGTTAAATTTGTTTTGAAAATCATTTTGTAGCTTTTGTAATGTCTACAGAAACATATTCTTAGTATATATTTGAAAACATTGTGAATCTAAATTAAAAGTTATAACTAATAATATTAAAATAAACATAATTTTACAGGTATCTTAACATGTTCTTAATATTTTTTAATGCACTTAATCCAGATTCGCATGGATTTTGGTGTTAATGTCTTTTATGTTTCACAGATGGGACAGAACTGATAATGGTAAACAATTGCAAAGAGAGTGTGTGGCCAGGAATTCTTGGCACTGGAGAAAACCCTTCTCCTAAAGATGGGGGGTTTCACCTTGCTAGTGGGGAGGAGGTCAATCTCCAAGTCCCTGAGGGGTGGTCAGGGAGAATATGGGGTAGACAAGGCTGTTACTTTGATGAACAAACAAACAAAGGGTCTTGTGAAACAGGTGATTGTGGAGGCCTTTTGCAATGCAAGGGCATTAGTGGAGTCCCTCCTACAACCCTTGTAGAAATGACCCTTGGAACCCCTCAGTCACCGTTGCATTTCTATGATGTTAGTTTGGTTGATGGGTTTAACCTTCCCGTGTCCATGAAGCCTGTGGGTGGTGGTGGTGCTTGTGGTGTTGCATCATGTGAGGCTGATTTGAATGTTTATTGTCCGTCTGCATTGGTTGTGGAGAGGAATAAGAAGGTTGTGGGTTGTAAAAGTGCTTGTTTGGCTGCAAAATCAGATAGGAATTGTTGCACTGGTGAGTTTGCTAACGCCAAAAGTTGCAAGCCAAGTGTGTTTGCTCGTCTTTTCAAGACCATTTGCCCTCATGCTTATAGCTATGCTTATGATGGTTCACAAGTTCTTAAGACTTGCATGGCACCCCGCTATGTCATTACTTTTTGCCCTCCACATTGATGTCCTAGTAAGCGCAGAAGGAATGTGTTTTCAGTGTTTTAATTATTTGTTGTTTCTCTTCAGTTTTAACTTTTTTATTCTCTTTTGTTTTAGTTTTGGCAATTTTCAAGGTTAGAAGTTCATAATCATGTTAGTGATTTTATTATCTGTAGTTGTGATTATTTATGATGTCCAATTATGTCAATTATCGGATTGTTAAGTTGCATGATTAGTTGTCATGACAAACTTTGAAATATACTAGTTAAAGTCTAGGAAGTGTTCAAAAGAAGTTATCACCTTAAAACAAACACTATCAGCTAGAAAATGAATTCCAGAAATAAAGATGATGCACGTAAAACCAAAAATAAATAAATAAATAAGGAATAGGAATTCGAGATATGAAATAAAGAGTATAAATTTTCAGTGTTAATTTATATTATTAAATTAGCAATGAATAGAAATGATAGAATTATTAGAGTTTTATGACTTAGTATAAATCTTATCTTACCAAATGCATAACTAAATGCGAGGAGAAGAGAAAAAAAGTAAATTGCTAAATTTGTCTTGTATAACTGTCATTTTGACAATTTCTCAATACAATATTTCGTATCAAAAAGGATTTTTCAAATGATTAATAACCCTTTTATGTTTCCTCTACAACAACCTTAAAAAAACAAAAATCAAATGACCCTTCATCTACGACAAATGACAATATCCAAAACCAAAGAACTAACTACCTCCAAATATAGTGGATATATATATATCATTGGTTGAATATGATTGCAGATTTATCACAAGACAAAACTTTACATATTAGAGGCTGGCAGGTCAACCTTCAATCTTCAGTCCTCGGGAGAGATTTTGAGAATTACCATTTTGATTAGAAAATTTACAGTTAATAACATAATTATCCTATTTTAAATTTTTTTATTGTCCTAGCTAATTTTAATTTAATTTGAGTGTACACGTAATTTAAAAAGTATAGGAATTTTTCAATGTTTCCATTTTATATACATGTTCAAATTAATAGAAATGAAAGATAAATTAAGAAATTATGAAAAATAATCCTAAAAAATCATTTAAAATATTTTAAGAATAATCAATATACTAATCGATTATATATATATATATATATATATATATATTTAATGGTGCAGATTTATTTTTTTAAGTACTAATAAATACCTTTTGTAAAAGCTATCTATAAGAGTTCTAAAAGTTTGCTCATCAAGCAAATTAATAACGAATGATCATGTAAATATTTAAAACACATAATTATGTTTTTGGTTGTAAGATATGGTACTTCGTAATTAGCGTGACCTAGCTTTTATCCAACCCAGATATAAATGTATAAAATTGTACCTAATGTAATCTTAATTGAATAATTTTGTAGATATGGTGGAAACCATATTACTTATGAGAGGATCAAAAGATTAAAGTTTGTAATTTAAGCAGAAAAAATTGAAGATGTATATTAAAATTAAAATTTCTTATTTTACACTTTGATTACGCAGTAATATTATTTACCATGAAACGCTGCATCCGCCATTAAAATAATTTAATTTGTTACACCATTAATCTATTTATATTAATTAGATTTATGAAAATTAGCCCCGACTAAAACGTAAGCCTTTACACCTATATATAAAAGATAAGTACAAGAATTATCTTCTTGTAATTCTGCAAATTGATTGAAAAGCAAGCAACCCTTGAAAGATCTCTAATGGCTTCAAACTCTCTCAACAATGGCGACAAAGAAGATTCTTCATCTTGGACAAGATGGCAGAACAAAAAGTTTGAAAACGCATTAGCATTGTATGATAAAGACACCCCAGATCGATGGCAAAATATAGCCAAAGAAGTTGGTGATAAATCAGTGGAGGAAGTGAAGAAACACTATGCAATTCTTTTAGAAGATATTCATAATATAGAGTCAGGGCATTTTCCAATTCCCGATTACAAGTCCTCACTTGGTGATGATGCACATAAAAAGGTATGTTTTTCTAAAGGATATTGTTTATGAAAATTGCTGAATGTTTTGAATTCATGTTCTACCAAAATTGTAATTAAATGTTCTGGCTAATCTTTGTCGAATACCTTTATATTTTTTTATTTTTTTAAATTATTATTTAACCAATAATATCAATTTTATGCTGAAACTTTTTTTTTTGGGCATAGCAGTTTTTTATTTATATGTATATTTAGAATACTGGTTGTGAAGGAGGTTTCCACCTCTTCTTCTTTCAAGATGGAGAAATAAAGAAATCAAAATTAAATTCCATTCCTGGTCCAGCTTTAAATGAAACAACATTAAAGGTTTTGAGTAATTAACAAAAAAACTATTGTGCCAAATTATATAAAGAATGATTATAAATTTGAATAATGTATTTAGGTCCTTTAGAACATATCATTTTTCAAATTTATACATTTTCAATTCTTTAAGATTATAAAAACCATATATTTTTAAAATTTTAATGATAAAGAATTAAAATTACATCATTCTTAGAAGATGTAATAATCAAAGGTTTTTTTATAAGAAATAGCAAAAAAGGTCGTAATTTTAGTGAACAAAAAAATTCAAGCCAAAATTATGTTCTACTATTTCCATATATGTGTGCGTGGTACGTGGTAAGGTTCTCTACGTACTAAATATAATAACTACTTTTCATTTCTTTAAATTCTTTTAACTAATATTGATTTTATTTTTTATTTGGCTTTCATTTATTTTATTTATGTATTTATTGACATATCATGTTTTTATTTTTTAAAATTATAGTTTTTATAACTTTTTAAACAAATACAACCAAAAGTATCTTCATTTTATATAAGCAAAAAAAGTTATATTTTATTATGTACTAATGTCATGCAGGTTCCAACAAAGAATTCAGATCAAGGCAATTCCAAGAGCACAAGTTAAAAAAAAAAAAATTTGAAGAAGCCTTCGAGCGGCTTGTACAAGAGCTTTTAGGAAGATGTGATATTTTACTAGTAAATGTTACTAATTTTTTTGTTGGATTTATTATGTAGCCATGTTGCCAAGTAATAATAATAATTTGTTACCATGACTTTGCCGAAACTTGTGATAAATTTCAGGTTGTTCATTGTGCACAGATAGTGAAAGATGTGCTACTAATTTCCATCCTTATAAATGGTCCAAATTTTTTGACAAAGATTGTTTAGATATACATTAAACAACAGTTTCCCTACATGGTAATATTGACACCTAGAAACTTAGTGGACGTGCAAATGCCAGAAGAATCATAAAAATGATTGTCCCAACTCCTTTTAAAGATTTGGTGGATTTTTCTAATTTATAGGTTATTTGGTTTGAATTCCAATGCCAAATACAAAGGTCATTTTTTATGGCCTAATCGAGTTAATGTAAAAAGTACCTTAAGAATTAACTTTACACCATTTGACGTGAACACCACATGAGACTATATAATATAATTTTTCCTATTTGATTCAATTTATCCAATACACTAAATAATACAAATATACATTGAGTTAGGTGACACTTTGAGAATATAAAATATCAAAAAAGAGGAGGTTGAAAAAACATTTGGCAAGCCTTTGGCACAAGATGAAAACTAAAGAAGCCAATAATGTCCTCAAATCCACCACTCTCCTTGAGCAAAGATGATCCTTGGTCTGCATGAATTTGCTTTATCTCTACAGTGGAACCAATGTTATCTTAACTACTTCATGAAAACTTCACATTGATACTACAACTAGCCAAGTTTGGCAACAAACTCTAACCAAGAGTAAGAAATTTCCTTAGGACAACACAAAGATGCCAATAAAAATGAAGCTCAACTACAAATTGCCAAGGGTGAAGTTATTCAATGAACCTTCTGTAAGATAAATAACACGTCAATGAAAAAATGGACAACTACGATTGATGCAATGAAAGAAATTTGTGATAACTGCTAAGGACTAAGCAATAAATAGCAATTTCATGAAATTCAGGCGCTGGAAAATATTTATAAATTTCACCTTTTTGCTCAAAAACTCAACCAAAATGATGGCTTCATTTCAACTCTGAAAGCCCACTACTTCTTTAGAAAGTACATTCCATCCCTAAGTTCTAATTTCTCCTCAGACACAAGACCCGATAAAAAGCTTTGTAGTTGTTGCAGTGACTTGTCATACGGAGGATCAGCAATGCAAAACATCTGTGGTAATACAGCATGGAATTTATCTAACTGATAATGTTATCAATAAAAATATTATTTTTTTCATGTGGGAGCACAAGCGTAAAATGATTCTTACCTTCAGAGTATTGTGAATTCGATCTAATGCCATACTACCGAAATTTGTGAGCATCCCCAGGATAAATTTCTGCCATGAAACTACACCAGTTAGATGTCTTCACTCAGATGCATTTCACATTCCCTTGTGTTTAAATACCTCAATATGCATAATCGAAAAACTTGTGCAGCCTAAACCACCATCACGGGCAAAATGTTTATGTATATTTGGTAAAACTAGAAATAACATGCTGACATACCTCGTATACAGTCATTTCCTTACGGAGTTGATTTTCCACAGATGCCACAGATCTCTCTTCCTCCTCATCACCTCCTAGAAGTTCCTGAGTACTACCAGTACTGCCTCCATTCTTATTTGTTTCAACCATATTTTCCACAATGGTGTACACATGGTCAGAGGAATCTGCCCCTTGTGCCTCTGCAATGATCCCCTGTATACCAAAAAAGACAGCAATAGAAAATTTATTTTCAACCTCACTTCTAAACTTGGGACTCAACAGCTTTAAACAAGAAATTTCACAGATATGAAACTTGTACTCAAACTCAACTGAACAGTAAGTCATGCCATTGAAATATGAAGCATCATACACAAAAGAACATCAAGGCTAAAGTAAATTAAAAAAAATATTGTAATGAAAAAGCCATCAGAAGTTAGCTAACTTGATGAAAGAGATAATAATATTCTTTGCTACACAAAATAAATATATAATGCTGCAAAATATGTCATTGCTAATACGTAAAAGAACACAAAAAAATTGCACAAGTGGCCTGTCAGACCTACCTTGCTTATCCAAAAATTTATTCTCCGATTCAAAACATCTGCTGGTATCCCAATAGCAGTTGCAAGATTTTTAGAGGTCCAACTGAAAGCAGAAATATAATATTATCATACAATCAAAACAACACACTAAAGGTGTGCATAGATTGCTGAGGATACCTTGGTTGATCTTGAAATTTCATAATGATAGATGCATGAACAGGAGCTACTGTGAATTGCATTACTCTATCTTGAAACTGCAACTCCAACTAAACGATTGGAAATTATAATATCAGGAGATAATACAGAGGTAAAATAGTCAAAGGAGAGGGAGAGGCAAAATTACTAATCAAGTTCAAAAGCTGTCAAGTATCTGCAGACAAGAGATCCCAAAAACTATAGAACAACTAACCTTGATGGTTCCAAGGCTTTTTTTCCACTGCAGCTTACGGGGAGTTTTGATTTCATTAAATCTCCTTGCATAATCAGAGAGGAGTTGGTCAACAGGTTCAGGCAGATTAAGGGGTTCATCCTGTAATTCTCCTCAAAGTTAAACATAGAACCAAAACAGTTTGCTGGACAACAATGAAATTGTTAAAAATCTAATACGGTCCAACAACTCATTATATTGAAAAAGATAGATTATATTATCATAATGTGTTCGGTTTATGCTTCAAGTTGAGAATGAGTTAATCAAATAGAAGAGAAAAACAGAGCTAACTGAGCTTGTACAAGCTGAGTAGGGAGGAGTAGATTTTGTATCATAACATAAATAAATCATGTATTGTTTCATTATCTAAAATTCATAATAATCAATAAAAGAATTGTCTTAAAACCTGTATTGGAGGCCAGAAATTAGAAGATATGATAGTGGCAGAAATAGTGTCCATGGATATTGCACAGTCTCCCACATCAACACCTGAGGGAGCATCAACAAATTTTTGTCATGAAGACTTCAATATAAATAATAGTTAACATAGTCATTTTTGTGATAAGAACTAAAAGATAAATAATGATTAAAAATGTTGTTAGCAACAATAAAAAAACATGGGAAAGTTGAACTTAGAAATTACTTGTCTGAGATGGCTGACTTATGGTAGCTTTAATGTTAGTGTTGGCTCTCTTTGAGCCAATTAGATCATTGAGCATAATCTCACATTTCTGTAGGCTGCTCTCTCCAAAGTGTATCTGCAGAAACAAAAGCATTACACAAATGTTTTGATAGAAATACCAAAATCAAGAATGAATACACAATAAAATAAAATAAAATATTAACTCAACCCATCAAACAAACAGGTGTCATGAGTTTTTATTTGAATAATTACCTTTAGGAGTTCTAGCGTGCGTATCTCTGAATCAATATCATAATCAGATTTATTTAGAAGTTTCTCAGCAAGCATAGTTCGATATTCATGAACTAATTGATCTTTTGAACCAATTATGCCAACAACCATTCCAAGTATGTCAACCTTCCTTTGGTTTCTGCTTCCCTTTAATGGATCTGCTTCCACAGGGTCAGGCTGCCATCTGCTTGAAAAGCCCAATTAAAAGAAACATCAGTTTAACAATGGCAGGGACACCAAATCAGAAAGAACAACTAAAACCATCTAATCATTGTCCAGAATATAAATATACCGTGTGGCATTGATCCATGCTTGCCTATCATCAGTGTTAAAATCATCCTCAACACCAGCATTCTCTTGAATTTCTTCATCTCTGTTCAGTTCTTCAAGAAGGCTATCACCAGAATTTCCAGAAGAACTTGAATTTCCACCAGTCCCATCTGTCAGCATGGTTACTATACTTTTTATGGTATCTCTCCTTCCTTTTAAATAATCCCTTATGGGTTCACCAACTGCCTCAAGGAAAACACCAGCAGGGTCTATTGTTCTTAGGGCTTTAATAGTCGAAACATACTGGTGTAATATATCATTGGTTGATGCGCCTGCAGTAAGCAAGCGATACCGCAGTGCTGAAATAAATGACTCCACCAGTTTTGAATGTTGTCCAGTGTATTCAAGACACAATTTTAAGTCTTCAATTGCAGGAGAACTTCAAATATCAGCACAGAGAAAGGAAAATATATGATCAGAAGACATGACATGAACAAAGGAGCTACAATCTAGCGAAGAATTAAGTTGTTATGACAAGTCAAATGGCACTAGTGCTTAATGTTTGGGTTTGGAAGTTATTCAAAACCAAGGTTAAAGCATGCAACAGTATTAAGACAGAGAAGATAATTCAAATTCAAGATTCTTTATTCAGTCATACAGAAACAACTACATTTCCAGAAGAACAAGTTAAAGCCTAGAAGAATTGTCATTTGCCTCTGCTATTGCTGGAAGGCTGGAAGCTATAACCACGAAATATATTTCAGTGAAGGGTGTTGATCTTGCCATTAAATTTACTAAGCAATAAAAGAGGGTAATTTATTTTTTAACAGAAAACCCAGAAGAAATACAGAGAATTATAATTAACAGAGTACCTCTCAGGATAATCAACAATTATCTCAAATAATTTGGCTATTCTTAAATCTTGTAGTGTTTCATATGCAAAATACTCCAGCCGCAACTTCCACCTAACAAGCCCTTCAGAGGGAGTATCAATTCCAGGACAGCATGAGGATGGTTGTGGTGCCAAAGGTGATTTGACGCCTGAAGAAGTACTCTCGTAACTAACAAAATCACCAAGATAGACAAGAAGGGCATGCAGAAACTGGAGAGGAACAGCCTGAATGACACCGGTTATAAGGATCGTGTGTTAGAATTGCTAAAGCATACATTTATTTTTCTAAACAGGTCACTATAGGCAACAAATATATTTTTATTTTATATAAAGTGGAGAATGACAGTCCTATTTTCAGAAATATATAAAAACTAGGAATAAGTTCTTTCCATTAAAAACTTTGGAACTTAAATGCGTATACTTTTTACCTACTCGACTTAATATGTATGATCATTGATATTTTGATACTAAAAGAAATTAAGTCCAGGCATTTTGTTCAGATGAAAACAAATGATTAGCCAAACAAAAGCATCACAAAAACCCTTATTTAATGGAATCCGTACAATATATGTAAATGAATTTAATATATATAACGAGTAAAGAAATCATAGTCTTGTAAGACCTAAGATGCAACAGGACTAAGAAAGTTAAAAGTGCTATAAAGAAAACAAGTGGAGGGAAACTTGCGTGGGGCATAAGATTTTGTCAAGACTGGATATTTGGAAAAGATTTGGGGATTGGGCATCATTTTATTAACCAGTCTCTTTTATTAAATCCCAACAGCTGAATAAATTGCTGAATGAATGGTGAGAAGTACCACAATATTAATTATTGCAATCTGGTACAAATTCATATTTGCAATATAATTAGTCAAAATTATTTTCCGATTGTAGTTTTTAAAATAGTAATTGAAATTCTAACCATAATTTGCAAAAGAATAAATTATTGCAGTTAATTTGCATTCATGCCACAGTAAGATGTACTTCCATATGCACCACAAACCTGTATCCAGCTTTTAATAGATTGTAAAACAGAATTCCTAAAATCATCACCAGCTACATCATATACTTTTGCCTGTCATTCAGATGAGTGAAACACAAATGTCATCCAAAGATTAGACTCACACAGAGACAAACGACTGCAACAAAAAGGTGAGAACAAAATTGGGAAAAAGAGATTGAAGATAAACTGAAAAGGCCATAAGTTTGAATTTCAGAAACATGCTCACCTTTAGTAGTAAAAATATAGCAGAAGCATAAGCATCTTCAGCCATGGAAGTAAATCCAAGATTTCTAAGATCAAGAACAACTTTTCCAATATTCTTCACTAGTCTACTGTTTTCTGAGAACCTATGGTCGTTATAGCATTCATCAACATCCATTTCACCAACCTTGTTGCACATTTTTCCTTTTTCATCTAAATCCATGCCATCCTTATTTTGAAATGCATCATCATGAAACTCCCCATCCATGATTGTACTTAACTCCTCCAGTTTTCTCTTAAAATACCAATGCAGTATAACTAATAGTAGCAAAAGGGAACAAAAACATACAGATAAGAGAATTAATGATGACAGGAAGAACCGCAACTGAATCTCTAATAAGCAAAACTTTCAACAAACTAGAATGTTTATACAAAAGTCGAACTACACCAAAAGCTTAAAATATGGCATTAACAACTAACCTATCACATATGTATTATGTAGCCAGACATTAGGCTATTGACAGCAAACTTTGATGCAAAATTATACATATGGTGAAAACCAAGAGATGTGTCAACAAGATTATATAATCTAAGCAATCAATTTACTTCTAGCACGAAATTGCAAGCCTTCATTAACATAATAAAAAACAATAAAATGCTTACAAACCAGGGAAATGCCGAGGAAGTGTAGCCATAAGTACAGAAGAGACAATCCATTGATACTTAGATGTAAGATAATTTCTTTCTGCCTCAAAATTATGCTTTTCCTCTGGCATCTTGTCCTTGAAAGATTGTAAAGCACGAACCAACATTAACAAAAGCTTTTCCTGATACTGTTTCTCCAAAGAGATTTCTTCCAATGCATTATACAACACACTCTGAATGTCATCCTCATCAATCTGTTTAAACCATTCACAAGCACAATCCGCACTAAACAACCAATCACCACAATGAAAAGAACATCAAGTAAGGTTCATAAACACTCACACCGAGATCATCACTCTTGCTCAAACCCTCAACATGAGCATAAGGATCAAAATGGCGCCAAAATCTGGATGCCCCATTTCGTTCAAACATTTCCTGAGACCAAAGGAATTCATAAAAATTCGAACTTTAAAGCATTATTATGCACATAATTTGGTGGGTACCTCTAGGACTCGTAGAAAGTGGTCTTGGACGAGGGATTCAAGGTGGTGTTTGCAGAGAGCGTGAACGTGAGAAACGAAGACAGTACCAACAGAGAGATCACTGTTACCGCTGAGAAGGGATTGCGTAGCGTTGCAGAATCCATTGTAGCTTTCGATGATTTCGTGCACTGAGTGTTGGGTGAGAGTATCCAAAACCGCTAGGTTGAAGAAAGACGAGTTGGGTTCTTCCATGCTCACTCAACTCAAAAAGTGTTCACTGTCCCACGTTTGAACACAATATTATATCGTAAAATTCCAAATGTTATATTATGTTTCCCTCTTCGGTTCAACTGTAGATACCATTCAAGGTATGCCAATTTTATTAAATTTTTTGGTTTCAGAGTGACAAATATTGTTTTAAAACTATATATATTTGAATTATTTTAAAAAAATATATATTATAACAAAAGTATTGTTAACATTTTTGTAACAAATTTTCTTTTGTAATAAACAAACGCACTTATATTTTAAAAATTATTTAAGTGTTAAAAAACAGAGAAGCTTGCTGATTAATATATATTTGCTTATATATAAAATATTTTCAACAACAGTTTTTGGATTCTTTTTTTAAATACCATGGTGACAAAAAGGTTTAAATTCGTGTAAATTGTTTAAACTCTTCACTACTAACACAATTTTAATAGCTTGTTTTTTAATTTACCTTGAATCAGAAACTTGACAACGGGAAAGGAAAAAAAATATAATATTAAGAAAATTGAAATCCTATTTGATCCTATTTTTACTAATAACTAATAATTGTGAATTATAAGAGTGTTACATTATTTTTATTTTAATATTATATAATTTGAATTGATTTCTGTATCAAGCTTGAAAAGTATGAAATAATTTTTTTGCTTTCATAATTATTATTGATGAAATTTAAGAAAACATTTCCTCAAAATAAAATAAAAAAAATTGAATATTTCCCCTTTTAATGTCAGATGGGCTTTCACTACAAGGAAGTGCAACAATTCTGTTCATTGAGAAATCTGAATTTTACCATGTTACTATTACCTTATGGCCTATTAAAAGTTGGTTTGGGCTTAATCTTTTTGTCATTCGTGTGACAGAAAAGAAGGCCCATGTGGATCAACCAAAAGAACTAGGCCCGAGCTGTAATACAACATGGATAACCAAAACCCAAAAAGAACACCAGACCAAATTAAGTACAAGAAGGTTGACGATAAAAACTTATTTTAGTATTTTAAATTATAAATGTTCATCGATTTATTTTTAAATTTTATTAAAATTTTATTTTTATTTCTAATTTATAAATTATTATTATTTTAATATAAAATAATAACAAAAAAGTAACACAAAACAACCAAAATAAGTAATTGTTTTATAAAATTTCAAACTAGAATAATCACTATTTTTAATTTAAGAAATTAAAATAAATATTTACTTCTTAAATAGTCTTTTTTTAAAATCAAATAAAACAAAATTTATTACAAAAGATGTAAATTATCTAATGAAAATTATTTTAGTTTAATATGTGATATTGAATTTAAATTTCAATTAAATATTGGAAATGATTGTTCCAGCTTGGAGGTAGGGAGAACAAAAAGTCGCATATAGAAAATTAAAGCACTTTTCAGGTTGAGATTGGAAGAAAATTTGTTCAGAAGGCTTAGAAATTTGGGCTATTTTAGTAAGGTGTCCAAATTGTTTGGGAAAAGATGTTATTGAAATGAGAGAAGAGAATGACACACTTTTCTATTTTCAATAGGTATATTTAAATTAAATAAATTTTTAAAACCAAAGATATAAAATAATGAATGAAACACAAATATAATGTGTTAATTGAATATTTATAACCTTGAATAGTATATAATTTTACCAACTTAAATATATAAAAAAAAATTATTTCAAAAAATATCCTCCCAAATAATCTTAATACGTCTCTAATAAATCATGTGAAAGATTAGAAACATGTGTTGAATGAAAGTAATTGGGTTGATCACTCTCATCCATAAATTTCATCTCCCAATTCTCATATCTGAATCTAATAAAAAAGCAACAATGGGTTGGAACTGAACCCCATTTACCTTTTTCTTTTCAGCACGTTCCTTAGTACTATGACCATCACTTGAATTATTAACCTAAACTAGCCACTACCCATTAGACACTTAACACTGTAACAATTAGACACAATAATTCTCTCTTTGTTGACCAAAAAAGCATTGCCTCTCCATTTTGGAAGATGTTTTCTGTAAAACAGAAAATATTGAGTGGATTTGGATCCTAATTTCCAAATACAAAAATGGGTTTCGTAAATTAGGGTTCATACCCATTACTTTTTATGCAAAAATAAATAAATAAATAAAACCATTGATGTTTGGTTGGTTCTGGATTAAGACCTAATTAGATTCAATTTACATTTTCAGTGGTTCGAGAACAAATATTTGAGCGACAGACAGCTATAACTGTCCACAAAATATCCCTTCCAACCAATACTAATGCCTTCTCTTTTCTTATCTTTATTGTACGTGCGAATTGTCTACCAAGCATTTCTTTCATTTTCTGACTTTAATGAAACAGACCATGGATTTTATATACTAAATTTAAAAGTATTATGTACTGAAATATCAGGTTTAATTTTTTATACATATGATTTGAAATATATATATACCAAAATACAGTATTTAAAAAATACAGAAATATAAAATTCAATAATATTTTAAAAAAATATAATGTTTTTAATATATAATATTTTTAAATCCCACGTTAAAAAAAGTTCAAATTATCATTTGCGAAGATAAACAAATAAAGGACGATCAAAATCAATCAATCACGCCGTCAAGTCTGCTGGCATTTTTCAAAACAATTAGGAATTTGCAAAGACAGCGATATGCCTCCGTTAACTTCAACTGTTGTATTTTATTTTATTTTATTTTGAATGTATTGTTTATTGGTTGCCGAAATCCCAAAGTTATAGTCATTAATTTGATTAAATATTGTTGGTGTCAAATCAAACTTTATTCAAGGATGAATTGTCAATTATATTTAGTATTTTTCTATTACATTTTCCTCCCAATTCTTAGCATGTGATGTAGACTATACCCCACACACATAATATTCAAGCTCATCAACGGATAGTGACCTTTAAGTCTATATTATTTATACAGATTAGTGATTGCTAATTAATGAATATTAATATGCTTAATTCCTTCAGTTTGCTATTGGCTTATTATTATTTAAAGAGATGAGGATTCTCCTGAAATCTATAAGTGAATTTCAAGATTAATTGTGCTAAAGGGTTATAGAAAGTTGAAGGAAATAAATTTATTAGCATATTGTGGAAAATCTTCACATCATTATATGGAAAAACGTTGAAATTGAAGAAAGAAAAAGAAAATGTATAATTGAAGGAAAGTGGAATGCTAGAGGTCAAAGTACACCAAGCTACACGCCTTGCATGACATTTACATTTAATTATGATTAATCGATTACAAATAATTAATAGGTAATTAGTTCAAGAAGTATAAGTTCAATCCTTTTTAAAGCAAAAATTTAATTCATTTAAAGTGTTATATTATGTAAAATAAGAAGGTAAAATTTTAATATATTATTCAAATTAAATATTTTATAAATATGATTAATTTTTAATTATTAATGGATAAAATCTCTTTTTTTTTTCCCTAAAAAATAGCGATAACAATAAAGATAAGCTTAATTTTAATTAAGATAGAGTTTAAACTCTTGAAAAGCCCCTCCGGAACCGACTCATTCGGCGTCGAAACAACGTTTTTATCCTTAGCACGGTGTCGTTTTGATTCCATCCAACAGCAAACAGCCACGTGGCGCAGAATAAAAGCGTTGGCGACACGCTAAGAAATGACTACGCGGTTTTGCTGTTATCTTTGTTCCACGCGACACATGAACCTGCCGTCGCCCCCCCCTCTCTCTCTCTCTCTCTTCTCTCCGATGGAAGAAACCCTCACATAGAGAGAAACACACATACACACATTCAATTCAATTCCTCAACCACCCCTTTCACTCGCCACAACCAAAACCATTAACACCCCACGATCCCACCCTTTTCCTCAGTTTTTTTTTTGTTGCAAAAAATCGTGTTTTTTGGGTTCGTAACAGAATCTGGTGAAAATTTTGAATTGTGGGTGTGGATCAAGTTTCGATCTTGCGGGATCTAGATGATGTCTTCGGGGACATCCTCGTATTGGTGTTACAGATGCAGTCGATTCGTGAGCGTGTGGCGACAAGACACGGTGGTTTGTCCCGATTGTGACGGCGGGTTCATCGAGGAAATTGAGCATCCGGCGCGTTCCGTACACGTCGACGGCCGCCGGCGAAGGTTTCCGGCTGCGGCGATGTACATGATTGGCCAACGCCCAAATTTCGATCAGAATTCCCGCCCTTCTCTCCGGCGAAGCCGCCGGAATGGTGGCGACCGGTCGCCGTTCAATCCGGTGATCGTGCTCCGCGGCGGCGCGGTGACGGAGGAGGGAGGAGAGAGTCGTGGGTTTGAGCTTTTCTATGATGATGGTGCTGGTTCTGGTCTTAGGCCTTTGCCTCCAAGCATGTCAGAGTTTCTTCTTGGATCTGGTTTTGATAGGCTTTTGGAACAGCTTTCTCAGATTGAGATAAACGGTATTGGGAGGTATGAACATCCTCCTGCTTCAAAAGCTGCCATTGATTCATTGCCCACTATTGAGATTGATGAGAGTCATTTAGCAATGGAATCACACTGTGCTGTTTGTAAGGAGCCTTTTGAGTTGAACACTGCGGTTAGGGAAATGCCTTGTAAGCATATATACCATCCTGATTGCATATTGCCGTGGCTTGCACTTCACAATTCTTGCCCCGTTTGTCGCCATGAGTTACCTTCTGATGCCCCAAATCCACCTCCTTCAGGGCAAAATTTAAGCTTAAATGAGGAAGAGAATGTGGGGTTAACCATTTGGAGGTTACCTGGTGGAGGGTTTGCTGTGGGAAGGTTTTCTGGTGGGAGAAGAGGTGGAGAGAGGGAGCTTCCTGTTGTTTACACTGAAATGGATGGTGGGTTTAACAATGGTGGTGAACCTAGGAGGATTTATTGGTCTTCTAGAGGGAATAGAGGGAGAGAGAGAGGGAGGTTGAGTAGGTTTTTTAGCAATTTGTTTGGTTGTTTCATGGTTGGAGTTAGAACTCAGCGTTCTGATTCTAGTGGAGAGTCTCGGTCTATGAGGGCAAGTTCATCATCTCGTTCTAGTGTTGATCCTTCTCCACGTTCACGTAGGACTTGGTCTATGGATGTGAATAGTGGAATGAGGCAATGGTAACTTGAGGGAGGATAAAAATCTTAACTTTGTTTATGGGTTCCCCATATAAGGCAAGGGAAAGTTCTGTTTTATGTCTTGGTCAAAGTGTACATAATGGGATTGAATCGAGTCGAGTCGATGATGCAATTCAATCTCGGGTTCATGTGAATGTGATTCTCACATTTTGAGCTGCAGATGAATGGAGAATTGTGTGGGAATTGGAACCCGGTGTTGGGTGGGGAACTGTTGTGTTAGCAATATCCATTGTGGACAAGAAGTGAAAGCTATGGGAGAAAGCTGTTGAAGAGAGGAGATAGAGGGAGAACCTGTGCGGTATTTGTGTATCTTTTGGTTTTTGGGGGGAAGGGGGAGGGGACATAATGATCAACCAGTACCTTCATTCCACTTTGATAATGAACTGAAGCACCTTCATATTACTTTTTTATTTTATGTTTCTTCTTTCTCATCATTGGTAAACTTAAGAAGCTAGCTTCAGTTTATGATCCTTCAAATTCTTGTCATATTATGTCATTGGTTTTTTTTTTTTCCAAGGAAACATAAGTTCAAATGCACGGTAAGTATATTGCCTTGAATTGGTTTTGTTGATGATGACTTATTTAATTTGATGCTGAAATGTATGTCGCTTTTACCGCACTACATTTGTGTAGTTTTCCTACTTAACAAAACAATTGATTCTTTATTTCTTAACAATAATTTGTCTGCCTTTAATTGAGTTTGTCTCCATCTGCTTTAGCTTTAGTTCCCCATTTTATGGATCAAGTAGCAGCATTTAACTTTCTATGGTCCAATACCTATAGAACATTAAATATTCTAATACTATATTGATACTGTAGTTCAGTATAATTAGGACACATGAATTTTGTCCATGGAAATTCCGGGTGAAATGAACATATTCAGGAGCGAAATGGATTTGGATTTTTTCTTCTGTTATTGAGTAACAGAGTAGGGCTATATCAAAAGAGGATCCGAATCTCTCTTGTGTGTGAACCCATCATCGACTTTGTGCTTCACACATTTTAGAATACATACATCATTCTCTTCAACTCTTCTTGTTAGGGAAAATAATCAAATCAGCAATTTTGTGTGGCTAGTGATTTAAGGATTTAGACACCTGAGTAACATTTCTCAGCCATATATGAATATAATGTGTTGAGTCCTAATGCTTAACCCATCACTCTATATTAACATTGTACATCGCGGCTTTTATGATTTTATCAGATTTCCTTCAAATTGTCGTTCCTACCCTTTAAGAATTCGTACTATTTTATAGCAATGAGTAGTGGGCTCTATATATATCGAGCATTGGCGTCTACCAATTATCATGAGGGTAGAACGGCACCAAATAAGCCCTTCTAACCAAACCAGATAAGTTTGATTTCTTTACCTTTGAGTAATGATACTCTTAATATTATTATTTTTTACGATTCTTACAACGTAGAGAGACAGGGAGAGAAAGAAGGATGAATGTGATGAGAGAAAAACGAGTGGGATGAAATTTTAAATGAGATAAAGAGACAACGAAAAAATATAATGAAATTGTACAAAGTACAGATCACATCATATAAGTCATTCTAATGCAAGCCTTTTTTTTTAAATATCTTTTCTTTTTCTTGTAATTATATTTTAGACAAAAGTTACTTTAATAGAAATGACAGTAGTAGAAAATCACTAAAAAGTGTAGGGCAAATTTTGTTGTCATCACTCTTTCTGTACAAGTTATAACAACTAATATAAAGTTACAATTTTTATAACTCGGAGAAAGGTTATAGGGAGACGATTTTCTTGATTCTAGTTGAAACTGTCTTTTCTTTATTTAGCAGTTCCTAGAAGGCATTGCAACGTGCAAACCTGCTACTGTTGTAAGGACACTATAAATAAACAAATGTGCAATTGGAATTGATGGGATTTAATGCCATTCCAATGGACATAGTACTTCTTGTGGCTTAAAATAAGGCTCTATCTGAGTTCCTGAGTTGTACACGTTTGGACAACACTATTATTGGCGAAAATGGTTTAGTTCTGGTGGGGGCTGCCCATACAGTTGAGGGTAAGAAGCTGAGATGGTTGAGAGCAAGAACATCAAAATAATTGCACGTGAATGTTGGGTGGATACTAAGTTGCTGTTTGGTTTCATAAAATATTTTATTTTGTTTTTTAATTATAAATTTGTCACATTATTTTAATTTTATTTTCTATTTTTAAAGATTTGTATAAAAATAATTACAATAAAATTTAACGAAAAACTAAGTGACAATTTTATACTTCAAATAAAATGATTTTTTTTTCATTTTCTATATTTACTTTAGTTACAAGCAACCACCTTATTTTTATTTTTTTTTCAAGATATGTTTTTAATGTTTGTTTTACAAATATTTCAAAATAAGATGGTTTTATAATTAAAAATAAAATATTTCCTATGCCCAAATAGTTTTGTCCACGTTGCATTCAATTCATAATAATTTCCACACATGTTTTTAACATCAAGGAAGTTTGGAAATTGGTAAGGGATCTTATGCGATGACAACATTAAGGTAAATGGTATTGCTATTGCTTGGTATCTTTTAATGGAGAGAACATAAATATGCCATATGCTTAAAGCCTTGAACAAGGAAATCATTATTCCTATTGTTTATAATTTAGATTATTGAAGGATCCTAATACATGTTTTTATGGAATCTTCATTTCCTCCCCCATTTATAAGCCAATTTTGAGAATATTTTCTTCTTCTTTTTTGGTCATTCCGAGCTATAAGAATCAAAATCATACAACAGGGACACCAATTATGGGTTGTGGGTTGTGTGTGAGCTGTGTAATTTAATATTATGATATTGTTATGCTAAACAAGTTGCCACGTTTCTTTTTCAAAAAAATAGGAAAATTCTTGCCACGTTTAAGGTAAATAATTTAGTTAAATATTTATTTATTTAGTTAATATAATATAATATTTTTATTGTACTAATTTTATTTAAATAAGTTAAATAATATATTTTAAGAGGTTGTATATATTTTTATTGAAATATATTAAAAAATAATGAGAATCATAAATCATAAGTTATTTTTATAATTTTTTCCAAAAGTATCTTTTATTTTCCAACTTTTGTATATATAAAAGAATTTTCTTATTAAATATAATTTATATAGGAAGAAATCCACTTTCACTTCAAATCACTCATTCCACTTAATAATTTTTTTTAAAATGTCATATTTTATAGATCTAATTGTTAAGTTAAAAATTTACATTAAATAAAGCCTTCGAAATTTAATAATATTTTAAAATTATTCAATGCTTTTCAAATAATTTTATTTTAGTATATAATATATTTTAAAAAATATACATAAATGTAAAAAATGAAATTATACATTTATGAGTATTCATTTTATTTAAATTTTAATATATATAATTATTAAAATAACATCACGTCTCTCTCTCTCTCTGTGTATGTATAAATTCTTTATAAATATAAAATTTACCAATCCAACAAGCTAATTTGTTAATAAAATATAATATTTATAAAAAATAGTTGAAATAAATATAACTAAAATTGTTCTTATGATAAGTGAATTCCCGCATGCATTGGCACATACTGACATACACATGTATATTCTCGCTAGGTCTTCTAGGATGACAAAAATATCTACAACTTCAGATATTATGAATTACCTGTGACTGGAAAGATGGATATCCATTTAGTGAAATGGCATATTATGATACTCATCCAACAAATACCTGTTTGTTTATAAATATAGTTTTATTAAATATTATTTATATATTATATTTTTTATTGCTTTCAGTTGAGATAAAATTAATTAATTATTTTTATAATAATTTTGATCGATAAGCATATAACTAATATAATTATACGCTGTTAATATTATATTATAGTATTGATATTAATTTCTTATTTATTAGACTAGGTATATATCATATTTTAATTTTTTTATAAGCAAAATATATATTATTAGAGAAAGTTTAAGGGAATTCAAAATCCAAATAAAAACATAAAAAATAAAATCAACAATTACACAGAATCATAATCATGCTAAGTTAAGGCAAATACAATTTCGTGAGTTCAGATACCGATCAGCTAATAAAATAGTTTTTTCTTTATTAACAAGTGATAGTCACTTCCAAAATCTCAAAATAATAGAGTTTAAGACTTCCTTCTCATCCAAAATACCATAAAAAAAATATCATTCTATTTCTATGTAACCACAAAGATCACACTCTATTTACCGAATTAATTAATAAATATATCTTTTCTATTTTACTACAACTAACACCAATCTGAGCAAGTAAGTGAGTTGATAAATCTAAAGATAAAATCAGTGAAAATCTAAGTCAAGGCATAGTAAAATACTAAATTCGAGATAAAATTGAGCACATTAAAAATAGATGACTTGAAAGTTCCTCCAAACTATGGCAGAAGTAACAATTTATATCATCAATTTGATCATCACGATAAATCAATAGACTTTTGCAAAGAAGTGCATTCAACATCAATTGTCAAGAAAATACTAAACACTTAAGAGAGACCTTTCCTCTCTATAGCTTTTGCAAGACATTCACTGTACACTTATCTATACTATTAGGATCACCAAAAAGTTTAAATAACCATAAATACGTAAATTGTACTGAATAATAACTTGAAAATTATGTCTTCCATACTCATTTATCTTCTTGTAACACCTTAAACGAAACTCTATTAACAAGAGGTATAGTGTACCTATTTTTTGAAAATCCTTAATCTAGGTTTGAGGTGTTTATTTTCCCAAGTAGGTACATATTATGGTTGCTCTATGAATTTGGTGTTTAGATTGCATAAATTTAGTAGAAGATTAACTATTGTGATTTAGTGTTATTACATTTCACTCCAAATCATTCATATACTTTTTTGATATATAATTTTTAAGTTTATAAATATAGATAATAGATATCCCTAAATACCTACTATTTATATACACCACAAAAAGATTGTTGATCATTAACAAATAAAAATGATTAAATATTAAGATAGTATTTGTCATATAGTCTTTATTTAAAAAGAAAAAAATTGAACTATTACATAAATTCTAAAGGTCATACTAACAAATAATGTTATTATATCAATGTTTGATGTATTCATAATATATATTAATAATTTTATTAATTTTTTATTTATATAATATATTACATTCTTAGTATAAACTTATAATATCTATAGTAATAATTTATTTATATTAAATATAATAAATTATTAATAAGTGACACACACATATAGAGACACAGATACTGGATAAGCATTACCTGGCTGGTCCAATTCACATCCCTACTCTCATACTTTATTAAATCTCCTTCTCTTCTTTCTATCATTTTCTGTTTCGCATCCAAAATTGACGTTTGTGTTTGGATTCAAATCAATGCCACCTACAGCGTAATAATTTTCTTTTGTCGCCTACTCTCTTCCATTCACCATATTTTTCAGATTTTATTTCGTTTCCTCACTTTTAACTCATTCGCTGCACCTTTTCTGTAAGGGTTGGGGTACAGTTCAAGAAACTTTATCAAAAGAATGGATACATTTTATAAAGTAAAATATAAAGTTATAATTAAATATTAATATTAATAGTCGAACTTAAATAACATATGCCAAACATTAAATTTGTTGAAATTTATTTTGTTAAATTTTCAATGGTCAATATTACAACTTTATCGTGCGATTTTTTTTTTCAGATTTCTCTGTTAAATGACAAAATAATTAGCGACAATGATGAATACTGTATATTTTTCAACCTCTTTTCCAATTTGTATAGTGGGAATTGTTGGCAACACTTTTTTTAGCCGTTCTTATTGAAGATAGTTCACAAAGAACAATATCAGTATAGTAGTCTTCGTTATTATTTTGTTTATTATTGAAGGTGATAATTTTGTTGGCTCCTTATCGACTCAGCTTCTCTATGTGTGTGTGTTTATGCTAATTTAGCTTTCATATGTACAAAAAGATCATGTTACACTCAAATATTTCAAGGATTTGCAGGGTGAATCCAGTGGTTTATCATTTATTTACTTCTCAATCTATAATCTATTTTGATAAATAATCTCTAATGTTATATATGAGTTTGAGTTTGGATGGATAATCTAATTAATAATTTCTACTAACCTCGTATAATTATAAGATTAAGGTAGTGTCATGTATATTATATATAAATGTTTATTGAAGTAAAGTTCGATTAATAAATTTGCTAGATATCAATGTAGGGCAAAGTACCCTAAGGCTTATGAGGGGAGAAAGCTAGAGTTAGTATTATAATAAGGTTAGAATCTTCATTCTGGATACTCTAGCTGGCTGCAAACTCGTGGAGGGATTGAATTGTAAGAGAGAGTAGAAAAAAAACATTTTGTTCATAGCATCTATACCAAGTTTATTGTAGTTTTTATAATATTTTAAATTCTAATATAGATCAAATTAAATTGGTTATAACTAATACATAAAAGTGTTGAGATTACTTAGCCAATCATAGAGCTTAATAATTCATGAATTGGAACTGGGAAGGACCGGTAGGTAGTAGCAAGTTTTATATATATAAGCATGCCACCTTTTGAACTAACATCTTCAAAAGGAGAAGAACATCAATTAACCATTTAAGGAATTAATTAAAACCCATTGGGATTGCTAAGAATCAACTTGCGTCACTCTCTCTACACACAGTTTACCTGATTGAGAAATCACACCAAATCCATTTTAGTTCTTTCTTCTAAAGCAAATTTAACAGTACGTTTGCTAGGAATTAACTATTTAACATGTATTCCTAGTTAATAGAGTTTATGGAAATTTCAAGTGGGAAATGCATCACTAATTTTCTCCTATGAAATAATTAAAATGCAAGACAGACCCAATTATCAGTTGACCAATAATTAAAAGGAAAGGTAGTTTTCTATCGTTTTTAATTTAAAGGCATATAGGGTCATTAGGGTACTAACACCAAATCCTTGGCCCATGTTGCCAGAAAAACAAATTAGATAGCATTGAAATTTCTCTCAATTTGATTCTTTTATGACACCCGTATGACAGCGGTGTGTCATTATGTGCAATTTTCAAAGGAAAGAATGAAGCTGATGCTGCTCTAATTGAAATTTGATTGTTTTTATATATGGTCCAATCTTAGTCTTAAGGAAGCTGTAAGGGACTTGGATAAGTAAAACGGACAAGAAATTATCACTCAATGGCGTGTAGTTTGGCCACGATGCTAATTTTGAATGGAACAAATGACCAATATTTTTTATGGTAATGACAATTTTGGATTTTTGTCCCTTCAATCAGGGCGAGTTTTAATAAATTTTATAAAAATTGTTTCATAATATGATTTACTTATCCTTTTCTTAAGTTAGTTTTATACTCCTACGTTATATAGTAAAGAAATAGAAATAAATACAACAGATAAAACATAATTCTTTATAAATGGTAAAGCAGATACTATTAAATATTTAATTATTTCAAGTATATAAATAAAAATAATTAATTTTACGCAACAACAGTAATTATGTTAAATATTCATTAACTTTTAATTATATTACACCATTCGCATAATCATTTACTGAGGAGAAGTAGCTTGAGGTGAACCAAGAGAAGTTTAGAATGATCATGCAATACATCCTACTACAAATTGGCTACCAAATTGTTAGCTGCAACAAATTTAAACTTAAGTAGGTTAATTCAGAGAGAATTTAGAGGAAGAAAAAACGTCTAGGAGAACAACCCAATTGTATGATTTCGTAAAATAAAAACTAAAATAAGTTTAATATTTTTTAATTCAACAACTCATATTAATTTCTTGCTTATTTGTATACTCACGCGTGCACCCGTAAATATTCAACTTCTGACGTAAAAGTATCAAGACATTTTATCTTATTAATTAAGAATAAAATGTTTAAAGTTTGGATAATAATTTTCCTTTTAGTTATTTTTTTAGAAGTGAATTAAGTCTAATCTATTTTAAGTATAAAGACACCAATTATTAGAGGGAAGGAGAAAAAACTTAAATGTGATGTGAAATTGACTAAGCAAGTATTAGACATGATTATATTTCACGAAAAGCTCCCTCCGCCCAAAAAGACAAAATTGAAGTCACATTTGAATGTAAGTCGGTCTTAATTATCATAATTTTTGCTGAAAATATGTTAACAAAATTCTTAAACCATTAGTTAAAAAATTTAAAGTAAGCTAATATCATTTTTTGGAAAGAAAAAAAAGTGAAGTTTTTTTAAAGGCAACTCTTATCTATAGAGTATGATTCTACGACACTTTTATGGGAAAGAAAAGAATGAAACAGAACTCATATTGCCATTATTTTCGCTACAAATCTTACCTCTATAATGAATGTACAGAAATTTTACTCTTCTGAAGTCTTGAAAAGGTTAAAAGCTGTTGTCGTGATTAATTTATCACTAACCAGGTCTGCTTAGTGAAAACTCTGCCGTGTTAATCTCACATGTCGAGGCTACTAATAAACGAAATTCAATTTAATATTTTTCTCGATTCAATCAACTTTAACTTAATAGTTTATTACTGGAGACAACTATACAATCAAATCTTACTTAAAACATATATTTCTTATATCTAATCAAAAGGTAGAGTCCAAATCAAGTTGAAACTTTTTATTTTATATTGATTTGACTGAAATTATAGAACATTAGTCAGCTTGGCCGCTAGTGTTCTCTAACTTCTCTCACAGATCACCATGTTTAAAATTAGAGTGGCTATCTACATTTTAAATCATTATTTAATAGTATATTTAGGCAAGTATGTGTCTCAATCTACATTCAAACTCACTAATTTTTAAGGGTCAAGAAAAAATAAACAGGCCAGCTCATTACCCTCACAACATAGCCTTTTTTTTTCCTGTTTTTCTTAAAATTCAGTACTTTATGTCTATGCTTATACCTTCTAGATAGAAACCTTTTTTCTAAAGAAAGCGTTGGCAGCATCAGACTTTGTCTTCGTTTTTGTTAGCTTACCTTTCAAATTAATCATGGCGTTATTGGAATCAATCAAGCTTCAGTGCCATATATATATATATATATATATATATGTATATGTATATGTATATATATATACGAGTAGATTTAAGAGTTAAGACCATACAATGAATGTACTTTCCGCCCAAGAATAATACTATAAATGCAAAAATGAAATGCACAATTTTTAATATGGAATAAGAAAATGAGTGTGAAAATAATCAAACAATTATGCAGTCAAATCCTATATATAAAAGCAAACAAACATTACCGTAAAAGTTGATATATAGTCCACTTATTTTGAAGACGGCCAGAAAACAAAGTCATACACTTCTCCACGCATGCCATGACATGGTTCAAGTTCAATCCAGCTATATATATATATATATAAGAATTTAGAGATGGTAATACTCACACTTCCCCACCACACTCTGACTTCTTCATTATATCACAGGACAATACAACAAGGACACACCCTTTCTCTTACCTTCTAATTTCAATTAAAATTTGAAAGCTCAAGTTGAAAGCAAACCAAACCTGAACTCACCAATAACACCACACACCACAGCACAATCAAACATGGCCTTCTTCTCCCCCCTTATTCTGCTTCTTCCTTCTCTTACAATTACCCTTCTCATTATTCTCCTCCAAATCCAGACAAGGGCCTCTTCTCTCTCATCTTCCCCACAAAATCTCCTCGTTTTGCCTTTAAAAACCCAGACACTCCCACATGGCTATGTCTCGGTTCAAAGGCCTTCTTCACGTAGGCTCTCTTTCCATCACAACGTAACCTTAACAGTTTCACTAACCGTAGGGTCGCCCCCACAAAGCGTTACCATGGTCCTCGACACAGGGAGTGAACTCTCATGGCTACACTGCAAAAAGTTCCCAAATTTAAACAACCCCATTTTCAACCCACTCCTTTCTTCCTCATACACCCCCACACCATGCACCTCACCCGTTTGCAAAACCCGGACCCGGGATTTCTCCATACCCGTTTCTTGTGACCCGAGGAAACTCTGCCATGCCACCGTCTCCTACGCCGACGCCACCTCCATCGAAGGCAACCTCGCCGCCGACACATTCTTCATCGGTGGGTCGGGTCAACCCGGAACCATATTCGGATGCATGGATTCCGGGTTTAGCTCCAATACCAACGAGGACTCCAAAACAACCGGGTTAATGGGCCTGAACCGCGGGTCACTCTCGTTCGTGACCCAAATGGGCCTTCCCAAATTCTCGTACTGCATCTCCGGCCACGACTCCTCCGGCGTGTTGCTCTTCGGCGACGCCACGTTCTCATGGGTTGGACCCTTGAAGTACACGCCACTCGTCAAAATCAACACCCCATTACCCTACTTCGACCGGGTCGCATACACGGTCCGGCTGGAGGGAATTCGGGTCGGGTCAAAACAACTACAGGTACCTAAGTCGATTTTCGCGCCTGATCATACAGGTGCGGGTCAAACCATGGTGGATTCGGGTACCCAGTTCACGTTTCTTCTCGGACCGGTTTACACCGCTTTGAGGAACGAGTTCGCGGCACAAACGAAAGGGGTGCTGACCCTTTTGGAGGATCCGAATTTCGTGTTTCAGGGAGCGATGGATTTGTGTTTTCGGGTGAAGTCGGGTCTCCCGGCGTTACCGGCGGTGACGTTGGTGTTTGATGGGGCGGAGATGAGTGTTTCCGGTGAGAGGTTGTTATATCGGGTGGATGACGTGGCAAAGGGCGGTAGTAATAGTGTGTATTGTTTCACGTTTGGGAACTCAGACTTGTTGGGAATAGAGGCATATGTTATTGGGCATCATCAACAGCAGAACGTGTGGATGGAGTTTGATTTGGTCAACTCTAGAGTTGGATTTGCTGACACTAAGTGTGAACTTGCTAGTCAACGACTAGGTTTGGGTCCTTTTTAGAGTTATATGTGTATCATGGTTCCATTTGGGTATTATTTATCTGTTGGGACCTACCCCTTATGCTTGGTGGAGAGCAACTTATAGGTTCAGTTTTGTTCTTAAATTTTATTGACTAGTTGGTAGGGTCACAGCTAATTTGGTGATGTGTCATGTGATTATGATATTTTATTGATGGGTTGGTTCTCTTGTAGGTCAATTTGTACAGGTAAGTCCAGTCAAGAGTGTAGAGAACTAGTGCTAGAGAGTAAATAATGGTGTTACAATACTTAACAAGACCTTCATATCCATTAGCTTACTTTTCGTAAATAATTACTTGTTTTGTTTTTAGAGTTTTTTTCAATTCACTGAATAAACCACGTTTAAATTAAGCTGAATCTTGCTTGCAAAATGATATGCAATTTTAAGAATTCAGCCTTTTACTAGTTGCCAGGGATTTTTATCAGGAATTCTCTTGGATTATTAAAAACATTGTTTATCTAATCAAGGTTTGGTTGATTTTGGGACTTGCTCAAAATGTAAGTTATATTTCTAAAAATTTCAAGTGTTTGGTTCAAACATACAATCATCACAGTTTATTTCTTATTTTTCGCCTTCTCACTTCTTTAATCCATTGACATCAATATTGTCTCACAAGGTCTGTATAATAAATTATATAATTTTGATTAACATGCTGATTAATTAAATAAATTAAATAATTTATTTTAATGAATTATATTAAAAATATCTTTAAATAAATAAATAAATAAAATTTATATAAATCATTTTTATAAACTCCTTCACACACTTCTAATATCATAAGTTTTTATATATGAAAAGCTTGTTAGATAAATATTTAATTGAAGTAATTATTCAAAAGAATCGTGATATTCAAAATTATAACCACCTTTTTTTTTTCTTTGACTACTGTCGTTAGGAATACTTTAAAGAGAATTTCTTTTATTAGATTAAGACATATCTTAAAGATAGAAATAAAAGTGTTGATGTTCTTGTTAAAATTGACTTAGATTCTGCAAAAATTCTTTATTTCTTTGATAAAAGTCCTTCTTGTTTGTTCTCTTTATTGAGTTTAAACCCTTTAGACATTTATATTTCTAGTCTTAGTTAAGTTTTTTTAGACTGTATAGCCCTATTGATTAGCAAAAAAAAAAAGCATCATGATATTAAATTAATAAATAAATTTTTAATAAATAAAATAAGAATTTAAAGTGTAACTCTTAAAAAATTCAAATTTAAATAATAATTTTTAAATCAAATTTAAAAAACAAAATTCCAAATTTAAATCAAATTCTAAATAGAACACCTTCCGTGTTTGGATAAATAACAGTAATGAATTACTGTGAAAAACATATTTACGTTATTTACAAAATTACTAAATTATTTTTTGAAAATATTAATTCATAGTATATTCAAAAGTCTGTAAAAAATTACCTATGGATACATTCAAAGCATTGTTTGGGTAAGATCAATTTGATCGAGTCGTCTAATTCTAATAAGAATAGATATTCAATTAGGTATATTTTAATCATAAAAATAAATTAAGATTTGTCAAAGTAAAATCAAATCACTTTCCCCCCATATTTTACAAATATTTAATATTAATTTAAGAGTATTTATTATTTTTAGAGGTACACTGTTATTAACGAAACGAGGGCATTTACGAAGAACGGGACGAACGGGATTACTACACACCACACATCATTTGTTTAACGAAAATCAAAAGGGGAAAATAAAAGAAAAAAAAGAGAAAAAGAAAACTATTTCACCGATTTTGGTCTCGTGATCTTCAACCTCGAATCCAATCCAGAGGTAAAAGATCCAATTCCGCGTTTACTTTGTGATCGAAAACTCAATCGCTGTTTCCGATCACAACCTCAATCAGATTCAGCTTTGTTCCTCGCTCTTTCGGTAAGCGTCTCTCTCTCATTCTCGATCCTTTGGTAGTTTTCGCCGATTTCGATCTTCATAACCGAAACGGTCTCGGGATTGTGCTTGGATTTTTGTTTTTTGATTTTGTGGAGGATCTGCGGTCATTTGATGCTACGATGTGATGATCATGAAATGAACGGTTGTGGTGAATTCTTGACCGGTGCTGTTATCTTGATTTGTGCATCGCCTTTTGAATCTTGTAAATTGTGTGATTGTCTTAATTCTTGATTTGAAGTGATTTGGCACCGTGGTTCTGGAGTTTGGTGTGTTTATTAGGAAAATGGATTAGTGGCAGCCAGTTGTTTGATTCTGTCGATTCATGTTATCGTTGATTGGAGCTGGTGGATGGCATGGTAGTTGTTATGTAGATGGACGAGTGTCTTCATTTTGTCAAGGAAAATTAACTTGAATATTAGCATTAACGAATCTTATTCTGTTGTCTAAAACAGGGTCAAATCTTTTTTCTTTTCATTTTTTATAACTGTTGTGCTAAACGTTAGGGACCGTAAATTTTCATGAATGCTGCCTGCACTCAATGAACAAAATAACAGATACACATTTTATGATCATCTTCTATGTGAGTGTGAAACAATTTGAAATGTTTGAGTTACCATTTTTAGGCTAGTTATTTATTGTTAAGGTAGACCCGAATTTAACTCTTTATTCCTCTTTTGTGGTAATCTTATTTTATAATGATATTCGGGATAAATTATGATATTTTTGAGTATTGGGCGATGATAGGGATGATCCTGGTGGGCTTAGAATGTGGTATGTTGGATAAAGTCTGTTGATGTAATTTTTTTGGTATTCTTGGAATTTTTCCATTTTGTCTTCTATCTGTGTCCTATTGAACTTCACGCGCAAGCACTTATTGGTAATTGATTTCTTGTTTATTGACTACAATTTTATTTGATTTTTCAGGATATTGAAAGGTCTTAATTGTTGATTTTGATCTAGTCTCTAGTCAAAACTGTGAAGTTTTAATTCAACTTTTCAAATTTATAATAGAGCCATGAGTTTTGTTTTTCGAGGAACAAGAGCAGATATAGAAAATGGGTTTCCAGGATTTATGCCTGAGAGGCGAGCATTGGTATGTACTTTTTGTATCAGTTACCTGCATCGGCATAAATGTTTTGGCATAGCTGAATTTTTGTATCGGTTTATTAAACAACATTAACTAATTCCCATTTTTTCTTCAGCGTGTTCATGCAGCACGTCCTAGTAATTCCAATTCGCTCACTTTTCTCGTGACAGGTATTCATGTTCTCAAGCTATGTTTGTTTTATCATTTTTTATGCATTTCTTTTTCCTCTTTTTATTATCATTAATGTCCCATTTACAACTTACTGCTAATATGTTTCAGTTCTCCTGTTATTCATGATACTGAACTCTCACCAGATGTCCCCAAATTTTCTGGTAGGGTCTTATAGTGTGTAAACTAGGCATACAAGTTTTGTTATAAAAATAATGTCATTTTAATTTATTTAAGTGATTTGTATGGTCTTATTTCTATTTGTAGCTCTGGCTGGTGCTTGGTGTTTTCTTGATGGCAACAATGTTGAGAATGTATGCAACATGTCAACAGCTTCAAGCACAGGCCCAAGCTCATGCAGCGGCAGCCAGTGGCCTTCTTGGCCACACGGAACTGAGGTTGCATATGCCACCATCCATAGCTCTCGCGAGCCGAGGGCGTCTGCAGGGTCTTAGACTTCAGCTTGCACTTCTTGATCGGGAGTTTGATGATCTAGGTCAGTAGTTCTTTTCATTTCATGATATAAATTCCTACTTTGCTACTTGTGAGATTTTTTAGAACTTTCTGAAAACAAATTCTACTGTAATTAATGCTTGTGCTTTAGTTTCTTTAGATGTGTCATATAATATATTCATGGACAGAATTTTCTTTCCAATTTCAGATTATGAAACTTTAAGAGCTCTGGATTCAGATAATGTTTCTACTGCACCTTCCATGACTGAGGAAGAGATAAATGCTCTTCCTGTGCACAAATACAAGGTTTCTGGTCCCCAAAGGCAAGTAAACAATCAGATCATCTGTTATATCCTTACCTTTTAAATGGATGCTTTTAAACTAACAACGCTTATCTCTAACAATTTTCTGTTTAACCCCCCCTAACTCCTCTGTATGTATAATATTGCTAGATGTACCAAAACTCAGTAAAATTAATGTAAAAAATGATGTGGCAAAAATTACTACTCACTATTGTCTTGTCATCAATCAAATGTCAAGGATTTAACATTTATGGGTTAAAGAGTAAATATTATATAAAGAAATTTAGATAGCTTTGATTTTGATTGATATATCGATTGATGACATGGAAATACAGATTGGGACTGCCAAGTTATTTAAGACAAATTTTGGTACCTTTGGGGGATGTTTATTATTACAATGTGTGACCATTTGATATGACAAATGAAGCCTTAAACTATACTTTCTTTATTACTTCTTTGTTTGCAAATTTCATGGAGTCTATATATATTCTAAATAAAATGTAGTGTGGATTATTTGACAAGCTTCTTTTGCTTACTGCAGTAGCTCCTCAATGCAACAAGCAGCATCTTCCAGTTCTGCTGAGGTATTGTGGACATTCTTGGCCTTATTTTTTGCTCCATCCGTTTTACCTAAACAAGTGAATTACATTGCATCTCGTGAGAACTTGACTGATTCCTTGGGTGCATTTCTTCCTCATGTTTTCTAGTCCGGACAGTATGAGGAAGTCCTGATAGTGCTTGAACTTCACTGATACACACACACACACGCACAGAGAACACTTTTATCTTGGTTGAGGACTTTGAAATAGTCAATACTGATGTATTATTTTCTTAAATATCATCACATCACTTTTATCCACCATTGTGCATATATTCAATTCGCGTCTCTTGGGGGAGTTAATTGACAAAAGAATCATACGAATATAGAGCACCTGCATTGTAAGTAAACAATATTTCTATAAACATGATTCACACAGTAGAACATTAAATAGCACTGTTTGATCTATGTAGCAGACTTGACTTAGTGAGAAAAAAGTTGATTGTTGATCTACATTGTTAATATTTCCTTACTGTCAAATTATAAACTTTTCATTTTATGAGCAGTTTGTGTGGTGTGATAGGTTTACATATTTTATTTCATTTTGTAGCAGAAGAAGCAAGATAATTCAACTTCCGTTGGGAGTATGAAAGCCTCTGATGATGAGCTCACCTGCAGTGTTTGCTTGGAGCAAGTTAATGTTGGCGATGTACTGCGTAGCTTACCCTGCTTGCATCAGGTATCCGGTAGTTTCTGTTTTATTTTTGTTTGATGATTAACTGTCTTAGTTCATCTTTGCTATTAGTCATATGAGTCACTAATATATAGAAGGAATTAGAAACATTACAGTCACCTTTGAACTTATAAGAAGGAAGAACGGGCTTCTAAATGTCAGGCTTTAATCCCCATTTTTGTGCCACTAAGTGTGTTTCAAATCCTGTCAAATTCCAGCTACAGTTGAATATTGGATATGTAGGTTATTGCTGGCATTGCCTTTGTTTTTGAGAACAGTTGTTTCTGTTTCTGTACATTCCATAATGATCTTGAGCGATTTGCGTTGTGTATCCATAGAAGAAGCACTGATAATGTTAAAAACAATTTTTTAGTATTTTGATGTTATTTTCAAATCATAGTAAACCATAACATTTCGGTTTTTGGGGAAGTAAATATCTGTGCGTGCATGTTAATAAACAATTATCGACTATTCTCTTAAGAAGTCAGGTAATTCTGAAGTAAACTCAAATCATGATTCGTATTTTCTATTAAAATATGTATCTCATGAATAATACTGACTCCTTGTTTATGCTTTTAATTTTGTGTGTTTTGAAGTTTCACGCTAGTTGCATCGACCCCTGGCTGCGGCAACAAGGGACATGCCCTGTATGTAAGTTTCGAGCTGGATCTGGGTGGAATGACAATGGACATAATGACATCGCGGACATGGTTTGAATACGTCGTCTAATTTTTATTTATGGACGTGTGATTATAATCTACTACAACTGTAACTTAGTCTCGTCATGTATCAAAGATAGTAGCTCATGACTAGTATTCGTGTAATTACCCTGACATAGGGATCTGAAGAACAGCAGGATACCCTGTAACAACCATACAAGTTATACATTTTGTTTCCCATTAAACTTACATTTTCTTGGGATTCAGTGCATAACCAAATGGCATGTACAATTTTTTTTTTCTGTCCCTACGAAGTTCTCACTCTCTCTCATGTGTGCACGTATCTGGGTGGGATTGGGTTGTAGTTATATAGTGTTATTAACAAGTTACTGGTTGGAATATTAGTGTTCTCAAAGTATAATTTTAAATTCTATTTTGTATGTCTAACGAATTTTGTTAATTATGAAATAAAAGCTATTAAATGACTTTTTATGTTTTTAAGATAAATATATATTTATTCTTTAATGCATACCTTATAAAGTACGAGATTTATTAAAGAATATAGCAATTTTCTTAAGTTATTCGGACTAATTATCTGACCGAGTCATCCGTTCAATTGGCCAGTCGAGCCAAGTTTTATAAATATTGATTAGTATGAATCAAAACACCTTTGATTTTGGTTAACTCAAATGATTCTCCTGGTCATTATGCTTTCGTTAGTCACCCGTGGAAGCTTTTAATGAAATGAGTCCAGTCAATTTATGAATTTGCTTGCAATTCTTGTAAAGAAGTAACTTAGAAATACAAGTGAGTCCAGTCAAGCATTTTTTATAGGGTTTTGTTAAATTCAATCTTTAGGGCTGAAAATATATAGCTAATAATAATAAAATTTTATTAGAAATAAAAGTATTTATTATATTTTTATAATTTTAATACATTAACTATATTTTTTTTATAAAATTTTTTTATTTGTGGATTAACAAAATCTTTTTTATATTATATTATAAAGTTATTAAAGTTTCACTATGATAATCAACACTGATTTTTATTGTGTAGGTCACTCAGGAGGTGAGATTGCAATTTTGAATAGAAAATATGATAAAAAAAAACAAGCATTTTATTCAAGTTTTGGTTGTAAAGTGGTTCAAAAATTTTCACACATTTGTTAAATGAATCAAACTTGAAACGAACTTCAATTTTCACATGTTGAACTCACAAGATAAATATAAGATTTTTATATTTTTCTACTATTGACAAAATTTTAAAGTTAACAAATGAAAGGGCAAGTAATTTTCCGTACCAGCAAGTTTCCCACTGTCATATATGGATTGCCCCACCACCAGGAGAGGGGGGGGGGGGGGGGAGATCAAAACTGGCTTTTGACCAAGACCCGTGTTTGGAAACGTTATTTTTTTTAGAAATAATTATTTTTCCCAAAAGCTCTCTTAAATAATAAATACAAAAAATGTTTAAAAATAAATTAAAGCAAAAACATACAAATGAACTATTGTGAACCATAACTATCACAGTGGAAATTATCAAAGCATTGCTTGTAAATATATGCTGACGATATTTTATAGCGTTGATAAATGACAATATATTTCAAAAGTTAGGTAAAGAATCAAACCTCACCTCACCACGCACTTCAACTACATCTCTACTTTCAACAACCCCACGTTGAAAAGGTAGAGCATGGCTCTAATTGGATTGGACCAATTAGCGTGTCTTTATAATTAGACAAAAACCCATGAAATTATTGTTTTGTTGCAACCTGTTGATGTTACCGAACATCATAAAAGTATATTGTGTAGGTGGACAAAAACAATCTTGCATTTCCTTTATACATTGTTTTGGATGGTCCAACGGGGAAGGAAGATGCTACATCAATATTTGATTGTCATCATATATGAAATTTATGTAGATGTTTGATGAGTCCCTACTTAGCTTTACCTTTACCCTTTCCTTGACCTTTCTTAGCTTCTAACTTGGCCTGCACACGCGCAGCCGCAGCAGCTTTTGCTTCTTCTCTCTTCTTCTTCTCCTCCTCTTTGGCAGCAGCAGCTAGCTCTCTCTGCTTCTTCAGCTCACTGTTAATTTATCACAAGACATCATATTATTATTGCTATCCAATAAAATCAAACGAAGATCATAATTCCACCTTTACTTTTGGACATGTGCATAAAAAGAACATAAATTTGGTAAAATATTAAATGTGTTACTTACTCTAGCCTAGCCCTCTCCTCCGAAACACTTCCCAAACTGGAGCCCTTCCTTGGCCGACAAGTAACTAGCTCAATTTCAAAAACAAGTGTTGCACTGCAAGGGAAGTGAAAAATTATGAATTTGCAGTCATTGGAAAATGCAAGGCACTAGGGAATTACAGCATGACTTCATCTAGTAATTGCATAAAGGTCAGTCTGGTGCTGTAGTATAAAGCTCTCACTATGTATGAGACCAAGGAAGGGTTGGACCCACTATGTAGGCCTATAAAAGGTATCCTTGCATTAGCAAAAGGCTGATTTCACAGCATGATAATTGTATTATATAATTGAAAATAATTAGGACATTAGTATAATTTCATTCCCAGGTTGGCTTTAGTTCATACTTTACAACTTTGATTTTTGAACTTTTTTTGCCTAATAATAATTATGTTCCAAACAAAATATTTGTTGCAAGAGAATATTACTCTGGAGGAATATCTGGAGGAGATCCTGCACTGCCATATGCATATTCTGGCTTGCAAATTATTTTTGCAATTTCTCCAACCTGGCAAAATTAGCAGATAAACATGAGGTGGAAACCTCTTTAATTGAAGTTTCATCAAAAGTATGCTTTGTTAGACCTTCATGGTTTTCACTGCAACTTCCCAGGCCTTAATAACACTGCCCTTTCCAAGCTCAAAAGAGAAGACAGTGTTATCTTCATGCGTGGTGTCAAAAACTTCACCAGTATCAGCAAGTGTGCCTTCATAATGAACTGATAAAAAAAAAACAATATTATAACAAGAATCAACAAAATCAAGCATTTTACACAAATAAACCTCAAGTCATCTAATTTAGAGAATCAAAACTGAGAGTTAGTTTGAATAAACTTTTCAACAAGCACTTATAAGATAAGAAAATAAAATGAGTCCAAGGGGAAAAATGACTCAAACTTCTTCATAAGTTAAAAATTAACTTATACCCCTCAACTTTTTCAGAAGCTCCCTCATCTATATTCTCCACAACCACCTATAAATTTATAAGGGTTCCTTTCATAAGTCGGGAATCAAATACTTATCTCAATTGAAAAGCTTTCATAAGCTAGACACTAATCCAAATTGGGCCTTACTATATATCTTCCTGGTATATATCCTAACATTTTTACAACATGTGCTTTTGATCATACTCTATAACAGAGTGGACCTTGAAACAAAGATACTTATGAAAATAATTATGTCTTTGCAAACAAGGGGAAATTACATTAACAGCCAAGTAAATTATAGCAAGAGCCATATATTGTTCCCATGTATTTTAGAACAGAAAACACAGGTGCAGCCAAATGACAAGTTTTCTACAAGAACATTATATGATTGATTAACAGATAAGAGACAATAACATTTCTGAATATATTGCATCCTGCTTTACGATTACTAAATAGTATAGTTCATTATTATGATAGCTCCACAATATTAACCATACTGGCATGAGCATACCATCAACAAGAGGTAAATTTTCTGTTGGAGCAACAGCATCGGGTTTGCTTTTTCTCACAATGGTCTTAATGACACCTCCATCACCAGTCAAATCAATTGCATCACCCATAGCTTGCACTCTGGTAATAAGATAGAAGAAATAACAAACATAAACATGGATAAATGGAGTATTTCCTTGCGCCTCCAAAGGTTATATTATATCTAGTCATCAAACTCCGTGGAATAATTAGACAAGCTGAGCAATGGACACAAGCATGTACCAAAACACTTATTAATGGCCACAGTCACTCAAGGTTTTCAAAAATGTGAGAGTCGTTACATCTAAGAAATAAAAACGTTTGCAATGACAGTCACTTTTGTTTTATGATATCTGTTACTTAATTTTTTATAATGTAACAGTCTTTGAGATTACAAAATCTTCTGTAGGTCTAAAAGTTACCAAAAGCAAAATCAATCAATTTCACATCTACACAGAGCAAATAGTGTCTGACATGCTTTCTGCATAAAACAATGACCATGAAGCTTTAGCGACATAGTGAAATTGTGGAAGTTAAACTATTATAACTCAGATGAGTCATTCTAGATCCAAAGCCAAACAACGGCATTCATTTAGCTCCAGTTGTCTGAATGCCATTGTCATTGTGATATAGATGTTAAATTTATAAAGTTTATAATGCATTAATGCAATTATAGTGAAAAGTATTGGGTTAAGGAAACTGAGGAAAAATGCTCGAAAAGGCCCTAAATGCCTTCCACCTTAGTAAGATAAAGAATCCAAAAGGGTTTAATTGGTCGTCACACTATAGACACTCATGCAAAGAATTGAAAAGCAATAATAATAAAAGGAAACGGAAATTGAAACCAGAACACACAAAAATCACCGAACATCACAGTCAAAAATGAATTACAATCAACAACATTTACCGCACAACGTATAATAAATCAGTACATTTTACAACCCGACATCAAATCATGCAATTCTCAACACAACACAACGAAAAACAACAGTTCAATTCTCCACACAATAACAACAATAGTAACTTTAAGCCGCCCAACTTTCTAGAACCTTCAAATCTGAAAACTTTTGCGTGTTTTTCACAAGACCCGTCATTCATACACTTAAAAGATTGGATTTTTCACAGACATTAGTAGCATATTACAGTTGTAAAAAATAAAATCGAAATGAATCCGAAGCAATGAAATAATGGAATTGATATAGGAAACTAACCCTTTATCAGGTGAAGGGTGGAAACAGTGGAACGAAGCGAGTGAACGGTGTATCAAATGAAAGCGGCGAAATTGGGGTGGCCATGCGTTTGATGAAGCTCTTCATCTTCAGGGGTTTTTAGAATAAACGCCACAGGAGAATCACAAGCCACGCGCACAATTAGCGCGTGAACTAGTCTGCTTGTCAAATGCTATGCGCGTGTTGTATACGTACCCGTGAAGAGCGTGAGAATAGGGTATGAATGTACAGTTGTACCAAACGAGAATTTAACGTCGCGAGGAACATACCTACCACTCAATACCGTACCGTCCGTTTGATTTAGGTTTCAGAAATTTGAACGATGGAAAATAAGTTTGCGTGTTTTGTTGTGTTTGTACTTTAACTACTTTGTAGTGTGAAAAAAGAATAATTATATTCTCTTAATCTTTTATGTCTATCATTTTTTAATTATTAAATAGAAAATATTAAATATTTTTTAACATTTTAAAAATATATAATACATATCTTATAACATAATAAAAACATTTAAACATTATAAGATGATGTAATAAATTTTGTAAAAAAAATTATTTTAATAATTAATGATATATTAAATTTTATATTTATGTTAAGTAAAAATTATTTTTATATTTGAAACAATAAAATTATCAAGTATTTGTTTTCTTTGTTAAATTATAATACATCAATTGATATGATTTTATCTTAAAATTACAATCACAATATACTTCAGTAAATAAATTGTGCTGTCTATAAAATTTTTATTTAACATGAATTAAATTAGTTAGGTGTCCAATATAATATTATATACCATGGTCCAAACCAACAATAAACAAGTGGTATCGGGCTTGAATTCCTTGCTTCAAGTATTAGGTTTTTTTTAGCATAAATATATATATATATATATATATATATATATATATTTATTTATTTTTATTTTTTTCTAAAACATAATTTTATTTGATTTTTCTCACTTTAGTTTTTTTTAAATAGTGTATTATAAGTTACTCAATAAATATTCAACAAGGACTGAAAGAAGATTCGTAATTTTTAAAGATAAAATGAAAAAGATTAAAATTTCTAAAAAAGCAAATTTACATGTACTAAAATTATATTTAATTTATTTAAAAAAAGCCAAAATCTTGAATTCTAGTCTCTTGCATGAAAAAACAAAAAAGTTGGTGTGAGTGTTTCCCTCTTAATTATTCTCAGGATTCAAATTGAATTAATCAAGGTAAATGACTTTCAAGTATCAATTAATTATCAAACTAATGAATGTGTAAGACAAAAATGGATCTAATTCATTGAATTGAAAACTTTTATTTTGAGTCAAGTCTCTAAATACACCTCTCAAGTCTCAACTATAATATTCAAGTGATAGAAGAAATATATATAATTAATGATTAACTGACATGAAATAAACGTAACTAACATGAACTACTAGATGTTGCTCAGAAACTCATATTAATGAGTTAGACATTGTAAACTAAAACACCCTTAGGAAGAAGTTAATTGTTAAGAACTCCTAACTTTGACATGAGAGAACAATACTGAGTACATGTGAGGGCATTTATGATTGTGTTTGTTGGAGTTGAGATTTGATGTGAATCATCTGTAAGAAATGAGAAGCAACATGCTCTTAGATGAAGTGAGGGTCAATGTCTAACATGCATGTTTAAAGAGTTTACATGTGACGTGTGGTTAGTGGACAAAATAATGAATGTTAAATTGATTGTTGTGGAAAATCAATGACTTTGTCCATAGGAATATCAAATGATCTAAACTCTCTTGTCACATATATTTTAGTTGAAGTGAGACAGTGGCTTATCACTTTGATTTTCATGAGATTAAAGCATTAGCATGAAAAGCATTTACATTCAGAAACACAGTCAATTTTAGTGAAGAGCTAAATATAAAAAATAAACCTAAACTTACCATCTGCGTGGATTTCAAGGGAAAAGAAATCGGTGTCTTGAGGCAATTCTTAAGTGTATTTCCCTTATGATGGATGTTTGTCAGTATAGGATTTTGCAATTTGCAACGCAAAAAGAGATTTGAAGTCACCAAAAACCTTTTTTAAGAGTTGTTATAGTAAAGCTTGTGTTTGTTAAGTAAAATTACTAAAAAAATGTGTTAGAAATTATATTTTAATATTTTTTATTTGTATTAATTAATTAAAATTAATTAGATAATCTGTAAATTAATGCTAAAAAATGTCAGAAAATTGTGATACTGACCGCCATTGTTGGTCATCAATAAATGCAAAACTCATTTTTACATTTTTTATGCATAAGCATCAGTGATCAGTTTTAAAAGACGACAACAAAATAATTTATCAAATCGAGCAAGCTTGTAGACGCCTGTATTTAATTAGCCCAACAGTCTTAAAAAGATAATTTAGTTGTTAATTAATTGAACAAATGTAAAACATCAGAGATTGAACTAACATGAATACATTAATTAAAATTTGATTTGTTAACTAACATGATGAATAAAATCATATTCTCTCCATCTTAATTTAGTTTGGTAGCTAAGTATTGTAAAATGCTTAGTAACATATTTAAAGTTTTGTCCTTCGCTCATTCTCCTAGGATAGGTGACCAAGCAGCTCGCTATAACTAGCAAAATTCGCCTGCAATAATTTACAAATTATCTAAGATAATAACAAATAATAATCAGATCTAAATCATCGTACTAGCACCATTATTAGAATAATACAACATTAAATACATTAATGATATTAAATATTATTTTTTATTATACATTCATACAAATTTTTGTTAAATGAAATATAGAAAACTAAAAAGTGAGAGCAAATTTTAAAAAAATACTATAAAAGTAAATTTTATTTTTAATTTATAAAAAAATATTTATTTTTATACTATTTTTTATAGAAAAAAGTTTTAAAATATTTTATCCTCAGTTGAGCAACACGAATCAACTTCTTTTGTCAGTGTGCGTGCGTGTGTGTCTGAGTGTCTCTGCGTGACAATGACACCGTTATGTCTAACAGCACCGTCAATTTGTTGCTGTTTCTGTGACGGTAAAATGTCACGCACCAATTCGAAAGCAACACGTGCAAAACCTTTTTATTTTTTAAATAAAAGCTAAAATTTAAGTACTATGTGTATTCGTTAATACTATTACGTTGATCCTTAATATAAATATTTATTTTATAAAATTAAAAGTTTAACTCTAATTTAAAAATAACACAATATTAATAATCCCTTAAATTTATTTTTGGTCAACTTATAATATCTTAAATAAATATGAGGCGTTTGGTGACGTGACACTTGTCCATGCCTTTGGGCCCAGCCAACCACTTCTCTCACATCCACTGGGCCCACAGGGTCTTTCCTTTACCCACGGGTTTTTCTTGTTTCAACTCGAGAAACAAACCCACTATTTGCTTTGCTTTGGGCTCCACCTCATCTTCTATGTCATTGAATGATCTGATGTGAATGGGCCCACCACACCCATGTGATTATCCGGAAATATTCTCATGAACCTCAACCTGGGCCACCCGCCCCATTCTTTGGGCTTTTTTGCTTAACATTTCTTTCTTGGATTGAAACCCACTCCTTTTTAAATTTAATATTTGTACACACATCCTTAAAGAGTTTATTGTGTGTGTATATTTTAATAGCCAGCAAGGTTCTCATAGATTATAATGATATTTTCAAGAGTTTTTTTTTTTTTTATATATATTAAACGGGACAGAAAACCCAACAAAACAAGACTAAACTATGAATCTAGGCTGCAAAGATCTTAAAGAATCCAGTCTGAGAAAAAGCTTTAAATAAGAGGGAACTTCACTAAAAACAGCAAAAGTAAACTAAGCTCAAAACCTAATTGATTGTGATTACTCTATTTTATTATATAAGAATACATTAAAAAATTATTTTATAGTATATCAATATTTAAAATTTAGAATGTGTTCAAATACATTATTTGATTAAATTATTATTCAATATTTTTTATATAAAAACTTATATCATATATTAAAATATAAAATTTATTAATTTTTTAACAAAATCATGAAAGAACTAAAGTTAACAAAACTTTTTTATATATTATAAAAAATTTTTCATAAATGCTTGTACGTGTATTTTGATTGTATAATTACTCTTACAACTTTAAGTAAAGAATAGTGATTAGGTCATGTACTTTTTAAAATGACAGTTCATTAAAATTACAGGTAAAATTCGTAAAAAGTCACAACCAATTATTACTACAATGATTTATCATTCAATTTTAATAACATTGATAAGTTAAAGAAATACGTCATTAGAAGAGACAAATTTTTCACTTCAAAAACTGTTAGGTTTAGAAAATATATTTTCTATAATTTTTTTAAATATATTTAACGAAGTTATACAGATTTATATAAGCAATTAAAATTAAACAATTTTTATTTTTTTAATGGTTCAACATGTTGACTTTTTATTTAATATATTCAAACGTAATTTTATTATCAACCTTTTATTTTAAAACTTTTCTTTTTTATTCATTTTAATTTATAATTTCCATCAGCTTCATTTCTTAAAGATAATTAGAAAAAATATTCTGTAGAAGGTTTTGTAACAAAGATAATAAAAACTTTTAAAAATGTCGTATGAAAAGGAGTATATGAATATGAGTAGACTGAAAAAAAAAAACTATTCCGCGAATTTATTGATGTAAATTAAAAGTCTATGTAAAGTGAGTTCACAAACTAATTAGGAAAAACAATTATTGATTGATAATTACAATGGGTCAATATGAAGAGAGAGAGAGAGAGAGAGAGAGAGAGAACCTTTCAATAAATATGGAAGAGGAACTATCAATTTTCGAGGTTATAAATTGCAATAATTTAGATGGGTGTGTGTTGTTAGATACACTTTGAACAAACTAGACAAAGATGGTTTAAGAGGGGACAATAGATAATGATAGTTGATAGAGGTGCTTTGCTTTTTTGGCCTTAATATAGATTACATATCAAGTTAATATATAAAACACTCATCATAATATGGATTCAAGAAAATCTCTGTTCTCTAGCACGTTGATCAAAACGCCATAATTATATTAGAAAGAGTCAAAAAAATTGGTGGAGAGAAATACAATGACAAGGGAACAACACCCCATGCTTCATCACCTTTAT